ATGACAAGTGCCACGTCACCCTCGGAGGCAGCCGCAGGCATCCGGGTATCCCTGTGGGGGATCCCGAGAGCGTCTGCTGCATGCGCGCGTGCTGGGCACAGCGGGGAGCCGTCCAGGGTGTGTGGGCCAGACGGGTCAATAGTACATTGATACAAAGGAAGGTGGTCCGTGTAGATAGAAGGAAATAAACAAGAAAAGGAAGATGATGTCAGAGACCAGATTCGAGATGAAGGAATGTCTCTGTAGCGGAGGGCTTCGGCCTCAGCGACTTCTGCCAAGAGCGCTGTGCCTAGTGACACGTCCGTGCCCTAACTTACTGACTGGCAATTAGAACCTAGGGGGGGTAACTCTAGTTGATTTTACTACTGGGGTGTAACCTATGTACAATTGGGATATATATATGGTTACAGCGGAGACGGGTCCGCAATTGGCAGAGCCGAACGGAGCGGAGCTAACGGGGTTTAAACATTAGCCGACTGAATATTACCGACGAGTCGGTTCGCGGGGTTAGCGGAAAGGCAGGCAATAACCCAGAAACGGAAAGGAGGGATAGGCCCGAAGGTGGGCTCTGCAGGGCAGGCAAGTGTATTGCCCAGCGGAGGCGGGGGTGCGCTAGCGGACGTCGGAGCTGTCCAGAAGTCTTTGGGGCTCCGTACTTAGGGAGGCATAGGTAATAAATTGAAATGAGGGGGTGGTGACCATTGAGGGGTACCGAGAGGATTGCGGAATACGGGGGCTCCGAGGTTAGTGAGGGAGGAGCGGAGTTAGAACGGAGGGATTGGAGGGACCGGAAGTCGATGGCCGGGGATGGATATGACAGATGAGAGGAATGAGATAAAGAAAGGGGAAGAAAGAGAGAAAGGAAAGGGGAGGAGAGACAGAGGAAGGAGGAGGGAGAGGGTTGGACAGCGGGGAGCGGGTGTGGTGTGGCCGGGTGGGTCCGGGTGGACCCGGGTCAGGTGGGTGTGCCCTGACACTGCAGAGATTACCTGCCAGCAGCGTGTGGGGACCTTGTTTGCAGCACTTTCGCCACTTGTAATGTATCTCTCACGTTTTCCCCTCATCCCTATTTGGACTGCTGCTTCTTCCCATTCTAGCCAGTTAGTCATCATCCCCACTTCCCCTCATCCTCCTGCCCCTCTGGGCCTCGCCCTCCTTACCTCCTTTCGGACGTACCACAGGTTCTGCCTTATGACCCTCAGTACCGCTCCACTTCTGTCATCCCTTTGTTCCCATTCAGACGCCTTCATCCTGATTCGGATCCCCTTTGTTTCCTTGTGCTTTCACCCCCTCCATTATATATATCGGCGCTTGTACATACTCGTTTTAGGCCTTAGTCTAAAATCGACCTGAAATGCCCCCTAGAGACTTCCTGCTCACCTACTGTGAAATTAAGGACCAAATGGACAAACAGCAATGGCACAGCGCTCTGCTTGAGTCGCTGAGGCCAAGGTCCCTCCTTGCTAAGTCTCCGGTTCCCCTCCAGAATCGTCCGCCCTCACCCAGTTCTAACAGCTCCTCAGAGTGCCAAGTTACTGTCAGCAAGCCACCACACCTGCTGCCGGTACGCTCCTCAGAGTGCCAAGTTACCATTAGTACACCCAGCCTCAGATCTCCTCCTGCTCTCCCTTCAATGGCTATGCAGCCACCTCCATCCGTGAGCAGAACGGCTCAGGTTGGGTTCCCCAGTGTAAGGGAGATAGGCCACATACTGTCAGGGTACTGTCAGGGGACAGACCCCAGGTCCCCATGACCCCTCTCTATGGCCCACAGTCTAACCTGTGAACAGCCCTGTCCAGGGCACAACTCTACTGTGGGTAAGAAAGTGTATAGATAAATAGAAAGTAGGCTACACTTGCCTACTGTGGGTAAGAAAGTGAGAAGAAGGTTAACTTCTCACTTTCCCACAGTGGCCCCAATATGGCGAAAACTTCCAGGGATACCCAGAAGTCACATGAAGGTAGGATCCGGGGACTGGAGCATGCAGCGCACAGATCATGCGGCGCGGGAAGCGCATGCAGGAAGTGGAGCGGGTCCGGATCCGGGTCTGGGTCCGGGCTAAGTCAGGGTATGTGCCCTGACAGGTACCGAGCTGCTCGGACTCTAAGTTGAGGGATCCCAAGCCTTCACTGGAGCTGAGGCCGAGGGGGACAGGATCAGTCTCAATGGGGGAACCTGGCAAAGTGGATTGCGATAGGGATTCCAGCTGAGCAGCAAGGGGAAGTGAGATCATATCATTGTATATACTATGTACAACATACCTGAGCAGCAAGGGGAAGTGAGAGAAGAAAGTTATCTTCCTCACTTGCTACCCAGGGAATGATAAAGTCAGTATGCCCGGCAAAGCGGGGCTGCTCTACAGAAGGAAATATAACAAATGTCTGTGCCAGTCCAGGGATGATGATCAGGCTGTGCAGGTATGAGGCAAGTGTGTCATCAGTTGTGTGTAAGCAGTCCGGACTTAACCAGGCTGTACTCTGACACATACTCGTGGCCCTCCCTATTCATTCCTTATTTATCATGTCAGGTTTGTACCCGACGCGATACCTTCATTTTACCATGCAGTCCCAAGCCGCACTAATCACATGTAATTACATTATGTATATATAACCTACATGAGAGGGGATAAAGGCTTCCCAAGCCTTTACTCCCCCATTGATAATATAGCTGCATACAGCATATATCTGACAGACTGGGAGTGTGAGGCAACCTGACTATTGTGAGATCACTCACGAACTCAACCTTTAACAACGCTTACACCTGGAACCCATTCCTGTAACAGGAGTGGTATAGCGGGCAACCCTCTCTTGGGCTTGCGTCCCTCCATGGCTTCTTAGGCTGAAGCAGAAAATGTATTGTTATTGAAATGAAGGGCTACACTAAGTTAGGGTACTTGCCTGAAGCAGAAAATGAGAAGAAGGTTACTTCTTCGGTTCTGCTTCAGCTTGGTGTATGCAAGTGGGAATCAGTCATGTGAGGATGCCACATCACCCCCAGGTGGAGCCAGGCTATTGTGGGTGGTTCCGTGGGTGGTCCCGAGTGTCAGAAAAGAGGAATACAAGTAGAGGTGTGTGGCGCATCCGGCACCATGGTACCCATGCGGGGTACCTGACATCGGACGTGTCCGTGCTACAGGTGTAAGGGAAAAGGTCGTCCATATGGAGAAAGAAGGAAAGAACGGGGGAAAGGCAGGAGAGAGAGGAGGCGGCGTGCCCTGACACTTAGTATGGCCAATGATGACATCACATTGAGGTCACACAAGGTGAGCCTTGCCCCACAAATTTCACATGGCCTCTGGACCGATGCCTGTGTCCAATCTTTAACCACAGAGATGCCACGTGGACACATATGCAGACATGCACAGCCCTCTCAAAGCTATACCATCATCACAAAAACGCTATCAGTTGAGTGAGGTTAGAGTCCCCTGTTCTCGTAGCAGAAGGTAGTTACAAGAATAGATGTGGCATAAGATGTGCAAGAGTCCGAAATCCTACATAATTAATATAGAGTATGAAGTGGACAAGAAATGGAAGCAATATGGTCTACTGCCACAATGCCTTGTGTCACAACTAGGCAATGCAATTCTCTGTACATATTTGTTGGCCCTGACAATATTCTCTTTCACAGCAGGACAAGTGCTTGTCAACTTGGTTCTCCCAATTCTGCTCAATGCTGTCAGAGACCAGATTCGAGACGAGGGAATGTCTCCGTAATGGAGGGCTTCGGCCTCAGCGACTTCTGCCAAGAGCGCTGTGCCTAGTGACACGTCCGTGCCCTAACTTACTGACTGGCAATTAGAACCTAGGGGGGTAACTCTAGTTGATTTTACTACTGGGGCGTAACCTATGTACAAGTGGGATATATATATGGTTACAGTGGGGATGGGTCCGCAATTGGCGGAGCCGAACGGAGCGGAGCTAACAGGGTTTAAGCATTAGCCGACTGAATATTACCGACGAGTCGGTTCGCGGGGTTAGCGGAAAGGCAGGCGTTAACCCAGAAACGGAAAGGAGGGATAGGCCCGAAGGTGGGCTCTGCAGGGCAGGCGAGTGTATTGCCCAGCGGAGGCAGGGGTGCGCTAGCGGACGTCGGAGCTGTCCGGAAGTCCTCGGGGCTCCGTACTTAGGGAGGCGTAGGTAATAAATTGGAATGAGGGGGTGGTGACCATCGAGGGGTACCGAGAGGATTGCGGAATACGGGGGCTCCGAGGTTGGTGAGGGAGGAGCGGAGTTGGAACGGAGGGATCAGAGGGACCGGAAGTCGATGGCCGGGGATGGATATGACAAATGCAGTGAATGATTGTCGGCTTTCTGGCCAATCAAGTATGTTTCTGTATGTCTCAGGGAGGAAGGCAGAGTTCAGTCTTGTGGACCGGTATTCAAGCTGGGTGATTGTCCCGGACATGCCGTGTGATATACATATCGCTCCGGACACTTACACAGGGTTGACAACATGCTCGCTTCTTGCATCTTCCAAGACATGTATGGATGTGGTGTGTGGGCGACACAGGAATATGGTAGTTACAACCTGTGTGCATAAGCATCAGAGTGTTGGTAATGAAGCTAGTGATAGTATAACATTGGCTCCTGACCCACGGCCCTAGGCATGAAAACAGGTGGAGTCTGCATTACCAAGGCTATGCCAAAAACACACAATGTTGGGTGAGTAACACACCACAAATGACAAATAGCAATAGAATCTTCAACGAAAGTTAGAGCCTTGGCATTCATGGTGGCTTTTGCATGAGCTGGTGAGGCTGTAGAATGATCGTGTTGAACGCGAAGTGGATGATATCAGATAAATGACAACTACTGGCATAGGAGTCTGAGCCGTTCTTCCTTTACGAGGAGTGCTTCAGAACAGTGTCCGAGATTGTTAAGAGATATTACAAGATTCCCAAGCGCTCGAGCCAAATCTGGGGTGTATGATGCCGGATGGGTGGCAACTAGCTTGCGCCAGAGCTTCACGCTTTCTTCATTCACGAGGAGTGCCTCAGAATGTCATCCAAGGTTGGTGAGCAATGCATCTAGATTCCCAAGCACTTGAGCCAAATCCAGGGTGTATGATGTTGGATGGGTGGCAACTAGCTCACACCAGAGTTGCACACATTCTTTGATCACTGTGAGTGCCTTGGAATGGCGTCCAACATTGTCGAGTGATACATTAAGATTCCGGAGTGCTCCAGCCAAATCTGGGGTGTATGATGTTGGATGGGTGGCAACTAGCTCACGGTACGAGTTGCACACTTTCTTCAATCATCATGAGTGCCTCGGAATGGCATCCAACTTGGTTGAGTGATACTTTAAGATTCCGGAGTGCTCCAGCCAAATCCGGGGTGTATGATGTTGGATTGGTGGCAACTAGCTCATGCCAGAGTTGCACACTTTCTTCAATCACAGTGAGTGCCTCGGAATGGCATCCAATCTTGTCAAGTGATACAAAAAGATTCCCGAGTGCTCCAGCCAAATCCGGGGTGTATGATGTTGGATGGGTGACAACTAGCTCACACCAGAGTTGCACACTTTCTTCAATCACAATGAGTGCCTCGGAATGGCGTCCAACTTTGTTGAGTGATACTTTCAGATTCCGGAGTGCTCGAGCCAAATCTGGGGTGTATGATGTTGGATGGGTGGCAACTAGCTCGTGCCAGAGTTGCACACTTTCTTTGATCACGGTGAGTGCCTTGGAATGGTGTCCAACTTCGTTCGATGATATAAAAAGATCCCCGAGTGCTCTAGCCAAATCTGGGGTGTAGGACTCTGAGTCCGTAGACACAAGGCAACGGCACAGTGCAACTGAATCACTTGCCATCTCATATGCCTCCTGAAATCTTAAAAAGAACGCAAGATTTTCCCTCATATTGAGAAATACTTTGACCAACTTGTGAATGACTTCTTCGGAGACCCAATCAACGTTCAACTGAATGGAACATGAGACTGAACAAGAACCTCAGATGATCGCTACTGGTGATTCGTACCTTGGCCCATTCAGGGAACAATGACATACTAATGTACCCTTCTGTCCTCACGCAGACTTCCACCCAGCGCGATATTTGCTTGTTGAGAAATGCATGAATAGGCCCATTGGGCACCTCCAGTGGCTCCTGAGTTTGGCTGAGATGATGCATGAAATGCCGACATGCATAATGGACATGTTCGGACAGCGCCTCCTGAGGAATGGGGGGCAGCTTAGCTTTTCGGGATAAGTCCTCGATCAGCCCCAAATCCTTTATAGTGGGAAGATCTTTATTCAAGATTTCGATGCAGCGCAGGCCCACTCTATTGTTCTCCCTCCTCGCATCCACTCTAAATCGACCGAGGATGGGCGATTGTGGATCGACTCGGTCCGTGAGAAAGTCACGAAAGGATTGATGCAGAATACGAATTGGCATGTCAGGATTGCTTACTCCTGAGAGGAGAGGTGCAAGTTGGGCTAATGTATATCGGATGTCCGACTCCAGCAGTGGTGAGAGAATGGCATCCCAGGCCGTAACAGATAGTGGCTTCTGTGCAATTAGAATTGCTCCCATCACGATTGGATAGTCATGCAAGAAATCGTCATTCGTCCAGTTACACTTCTCCAAAATACTCGCATACAGCCTATCCATCTTTTCCTCAGCAGATGCCTTTGATCGGCTGGGATTATCATCGAGCAATTTCTTTAGCATCTTCGCGGCATCTCCACCGGTGATCTTCATGTAGCCAAACACAGTACTGATCCAAATGAACAAGCCACCTGCTCGCTCTAATATGCATTGGACCAAGTCATCCTCCTCTCCTATTCCGACTTTCAAATCATCATGCACAGCCTTCAGTTCACGCAGTTGCGATCGGATGTAGGCAGCACAGTCATGGATGTTAGTATTGTCCGAAAGACTGATGGTAAGGGGGTCATTGAGTGATAGAAAACGGTCAACAAGGTCGAATTGCCTGGAAGTGACAAAGAATTTGATGTTGGGCGGTAGTTTTAGAACTTCTTCTCGAAGTATGTTGGCAAGAAGTGGGAATGCCTCTGTGTTGCACTCATCTAATGCATCAATGATGATCACCATAGGACGATCAGACGATGTCCTGAGACGGAGAGGTTCAGCCACTAGTTTCTCAAATTGTTTTGCGAATGGGGCAGTCGAGAGGGCTGGGTCCCCCTGAAGAGTCGATATGAGGGAGGCACGGTATGCAGCATCATGGGTTGCCAGAGATCGAGCCATGCCGCTGAACAGATGGTCCGGCCGCGACTGCTCGCCTGCTTTGAAAAAGAAGCTTGACGATGATATCTTTTCTCGTTTACACTCCTCTGCGACTGAGAGCGCAACGGATGTCTTTCCGGCGCCGGCCACGGCCTTTAGCAGTAATACACGATTCTTGCTATCCTCCGTGGTACGACACCACGTCATAATACGCTCGATCAGATCAATCCTGGTGCCTGGCAGGCACGGCTGAGTTGAATCGTGATGGGGGACAATGGGATATTTAAGTTCATTCAGAACTTGATTTGCATTAATCATCAAGGTTGTCTGCAGCTACGATAATGAGATCAGAATGGAAACATAGCCGGGGATTAACGGAACTACCTGGAACATTGCCAAGGCTTCACCAAAATCTTTCTTTAGATCATCGAGCTTACTGGGGTTCTTCAAATGGGAGAAGAACTTATGGATACCAGACCGTTCTTCACCCACTCGACGGACTTCAGTCTGAATGCGCTCCAGTGCCCTATAGAGTACTTACGTTATACAACCGTAGTAGCTTGCATAGAGCAGATACTACTTACTTGCCCAGCTTGTTGACGCTTTCAACCCACGAGTTCGGCTTTTGATTGGATTCATCATACGGATCCTCGATGGCTGTAACCACATGGACCATAGCGTCCCCGATATATTCTCCAAAACGCTCCCATTCTTCCCTTTTTCCCCTGAACTTCTACCCAATGTAAATTGTCAACTTCCGTTCCAGGATCGGCATAAATTGTTACTAACTTTGATTTCAGTGAGGATGAAAAGTGCGGCATTGGTGGCAGCCTGTAGGGGGGGGAACAGGCCCGACACAGTATTGACGATGGTGAGAACCGGAATTGCAACATCGCCGCCCTCGGCGAAGAGATGATTGACCCTCTGCTTCAGCGACATGGTCAATAATGGGTGGGTGGAGGGATGGGGAGGAAAAGGTCGGTCGCGCAGCGGGTGGTGACACTCAAGCAGAGGCTGGGGAGTTCACAGCCATGAGATCGCCGCGCGCAATTCATCCCATTGCGCACTTCAAATGGAAAGTCTTGCGGCAGATTCCATCCTCTGATGCAGAACCAACTGAGAAATCGTTCCTAGCTGCTTACTTCCATCTAGCTTGGTCTTGTTCTAGGTTCGCTACGGGAGATTCGATGCAAAGTTCGGCAACAGGAACGAACATTCTAGGAAGGCCAGGTGCACATGGGTTGTTGCATATTCGCAAGATGTGCCCCGCAAGTAACAAGAAGATAGCGGAATGGGAGGATTTAGCATTACCACCGCAGCTAAGGACCTTGCCGTGTCACTGTGACCCGGGCGAAGCAAGTAAGTGGTACGTTTAACAATGGTGCCCTGACACAAATTTGAGTTAATGCTTGTTCTTCGATAAGTCTGAACCTCAAGTGACATAAAACACCTGAATTTGAACACACCTCCAGAGGCCGAACCTATGGGATCACCACGGAACGACGATGACAGTACGGTAAGACGACCCCTATACAGGCAGCAAACCGATGACGGGCCCTTCGCCCTACATGTGGGTCAGAAAAGGTCAGATTGGGTAGCTGCACATTACTTACCTCGTCGCTCCGGATTCCTATCGAAAATGATATTATGTAATTAGTCCTGGTGGTCTCGATCTCGTCATCATGATCGTATGCAACAAGCCGAATCTCTCACTTTACAAATACAGAACAATCATCGTAGTCTAACCTCCGACGAATCTTGGTTGTATGACATGTTACGTCAATATCTATCACCCTCGAACCTTCTTTCATTATTCTCCAAGTCCGAAACCTCGCGGAACATAATTACTTCCTCTTCGATAGGATCCTGCCACGTATCGTCTCTTCCACGGGGATCCCCAAGCACGTTGGCTCGAACCCAATCACCGCGACTAGCTCAAAACAACTCCTGCATAAGTATGTTGGGTCCACCGTTAATTATAATGATAATTTCTTCGACACGCAATTGTAGAACATTCGAGTGTTCACACCACTTGAGAATGGCAAAGACAAAGGTTTCTATCCTGCGCATGTCCAGTGACATGCGGATGTGGGCCGCAGGCGACACAATTTCAATATACTCTAATCAGTTCGGTTCCGTGAGCGGTCCATGAGTTAGTGGACACGGTCCGTATGGACCTGCAATGCGTATGATTGTGCGCCAGCGATGCGAGCCGTACGTCAATTAAATACATTAATAGTAAATGCAGGAGAGGGTAGCAAGTGAAAAAATGATGTAACGCAACGGAGGCGATGGGGAAGGAGGTGGGAAGCGCGGAGATTCAGTTAAGAACTATGAAAGTAAGAGTAAGCGCGCGTTTAGTGGATAGCGAGAGCAGGGATAACCGTGTGCAGGCCTGAGGAGCGGGGCCAGCACACACGGTTAGAAGCCTCATCGCACTACCGTTAACTTACCAGTTAGACGTTGTAGTACGATTGCGCAGGCAGGTGGGGAGTGGATAAGGTGCGCTATTTATCTCGCTCCCGGATGCAACTTGTCTCTTCCCGCAGCTGGTCTGAGACCAAGTTTGGGCCCGGAGGAGGGTTTCGTCCGTCTTGTTCCATCCGCACTGCGACAGTGCAGAACAAGACGGCCTCCTCTGAGGCGCGCGCGGATCCACCTGATTAGTCACGTGAAATGGGATTAAACTGAGACTAATCAGTTCGGTTCCGTGAGCGGTCCATGAGTTAGTGGACACGGTCCGTATGGACCTGCAATGCGTATGATTGTGCGCCAGCGATGCGAGCCGTAACTTGTACACGTATAATGGCTGGTGGAGGGGTGGTTGGTGGTGAGTACTTAGACTCAATGATCTGCACGCTGGCCGTCGAATGCTGATCGTCCCCCCAATGTGCCTTGGATCAGTATCGGGTTTTGGCGCAGGTAGATCAGGAAAGCTTCTGAAGACCACCTTCCAATAGCGCGTATCCGCTCCAAAGGAGTACCTGCAAGTGCTAACGCCGTTGCACCACCCGAGCGCAAGGAATGGCCTGCAACATCTCCCGTCGTGATGACTCCTTGCAGTCTGCCCAAGAACCAGGACCGGGTGGGGATCTTTCCTGAGTCTCGCAGCCATAAATCGGGGAGGTGTCGGAATCGATAGTCTCGAGCGTTCAGGTATTGTTCGAAGATTCCCAGGGGGTCTAAGTCACTGTCTCGTCTCTCTAGCACGACCGTTGAGCCTTCAAACAGCCTGTTCGCTTTGTGCATTGGTAAGATGAACGCGTAGTGAGGTCGCGGTTCGGAGTGGAATCTAACTGAAGATCTTCTTATTGATTTTCGGTAGTTGCGCAGTGCCCCCGAGTCGCTGTCCACTAGTTCGCCAAGCCGCATGAGGCAGTGCCATCCTGTGAAGGTGATTGCAAGGAAGAGCATATCGTCATGTGAAGGCTGAGGTGGGATTGATTGTAGAACGGTCCGCAAGTCACTTTCGGTTAGAGCCCTCTTCCTGACAGCTGGAGTGCGGAACATTTTGGAGCATCCAGTTAGAGTTCTCGAGACGAGTTTTGAGTTGCGAGTGTCGCGGACCTCCGGCCAGTATGCTTCAAGTTCTGAACATATACCTGAAAGATACGAAGAGACCGAGTTTGGTTGGATGTGGGCACACATGTAGACGATGTAAAAGGTGAGTGTGTCGATCGTTGGTCGTAATGGGAAATGGTGGAGGTCGCAGAAATTGATGTAAGACATTAGCGCTGACATATAGGTACGAGCAGTGCTAGGCTCAAGAGCGGCTCCCAGGGCAGCTGCTCGAGCCTCCCGGAGGCGCTCCAGGGACCAAGGCTCGCGCTGTGGTTGATGGGTCTTGGAGCGCCTCTGATCATTCATTTCTTCAATGCCCCCAGCTTCATAAGCGCCGGAGGCATGAAGTGTTTGATGACCAGCTTCGGGTACAGACCTTTCACCAATTCAAAATTGCGTCGCGACAGTGCATCTGCCACAACATTCCGCTTCCCTTCCACTAGAAAGACGCGGAGGTCGATCTTGTGCTCTATCCGTGTCGAGACAGCCGTCATGAGGATTGGGTTGTACAGGTCTGTCGCGCGGAGCGAGTTGAAAATGTTCAGTGAGTTTGTCGAATCGGTGTAGATTGCGAGTCGCTTCGGTGGGGGGGATATTGTTGTAGACCATTGGAGTGCCGCGAGTATTGTGATAGCTTCATTGTAGAATATGTTGAATGCCTCGTCAGGTTGGGTTACCGGGTCGCCAATATACGCAGCTTTGTATTTCGGTGCCCAGAATGCGAGCCCAATCTTGCAGGCATCTCCCCATACAACCACATCAGCATCGCTTGGCCCCCATGATTCGGCGTTCAGCATGCGAACTCCTTCCATCCGCTCTACTGAATCAGCAAACCATAGTAGGTCATTTCGTACCTGCTTGTTTATATAGATGCTTTGATTCATCATCCGCTTCCCTGCGATTTTCTCGTATGACGAGTTCAGCGCCGGCTTGAGAAGTGGGAATACGTTGAGGACCCAGTTCGCATACCCAAGGGTCTTCAGCCAGTCCTTCAGAGGTTGCCTTCGCAGATTGTCCGGGGTGTCAAGGACGAACTTTCGTATCGCAGCGCAGAATCTTCCCTTTGCCTCTTCTGAGATGGATATCGTGAGTTGCTCTGCGTCAACGAGGAAGCCTATGATTTCAAGCTGGGTCCCAAAGAGTTGCTTGGCCGAATCGTGTGGGACTCCGATGTGGTCGAGCAATTTAAGGAATCTTGTCTGGCCTCGTGGTAACTCCCTATTGTATGGGGGATAAAGTTCAAGTTCACTGTCGAAGCTTGCATTGAATGCATCATCGACATAGTGAAGTAGACCTCGTATCCCGCAAACATGGATTCCAATCCAACATACGAGTCCGAAGAACAAGCACCACAGCCGGCCAGAGGCCCGATTCCCGAAGACTGCACATCGGTCCACATGGTACTTCCCGTCAATCAGTGTTGCCTGCCGTGCCTGCCATCGTGGGTGCATTGGTAGCCGTCGGTAAGCTTGAGATGCATCAGATTTCCAGAGAAAAGCTGGCCTCCTTCCTCCATTCTCTTTCATGATGGCATGGATATTGGTCCCAAGGTCAGTTAGATTGTCCAGGACTACATACCCGCCTTCACTCGGGATCAGCGAATTCAGGGATTTCTCCCCTGCGCTATGGTCGTTGACAAGCCGCAGCTTCGATGAGCCTTTCTTCGGTACCGTAAAAATAGGTTGCGCCACCATCCCAGGCAGTAGCTGGTCCCCAAACGCTTCGGAGTATCGGTCCAGGCCCATCTCAGCAGCACATTGCTGTCTAAGGAATTCGACTGATTCATCGTCCAATTCAGGAGCGCCCTTCGCACACTCTACAATTCCTACCGGTACGCTCTTCGGGTCCTCGACATCTGCAAAGGGCCAGAACCCAGTCCGCAGTCCATCACATACAGATCTGACGAGATCACGATTCGGGTGTGATTTCAGGAGGACTTCGAAACGGTCAACGTTGATAGGGGTAACGATTTTGAACAGGCTCGGGTTGTCCTTGATAGTCATAGTGATGTCTTGATATCTATAATCACTTTGAGGGACGCTCGGGACAGGTTGAGCACTCTCAGTGTACGATGCCGATGGTGTCTGACCAATATCATGCTGACCGAACACGAACCTCATGTATCTTGGTCGTTTGCTCTTCTCCTCGGCCTCATTGAGATCCTGTGGTTGTCTTCTCCTTTTGCTGTGGACACTTTGGCTCGGCATGGGCACTGGATCCACAAGATCCACACTTGTGGAGGTAGCGACATTCGGAGCGTCGACATCCATCCGTTTTGTTGAATTCTCGGCAGATCGGGTAATCATTGTTGCCACGCTTTCGTTTTTTGGTGACATTCTCCCCAGCTCCGGTCGCCTTGTCGCTCCCTGCTTCTCCAGCCGACTTTCCAGGCTTACCTTCTCCCCGGGTATCTCCGTCTCCTCCTCCGAGGTAGATGTCGTGGATGATTTCGTTGAGCGCATTAATGTCGGAGAATGCTCGGTGGGTTTCTTGGAAGAACTTCCTTGCAGCCTGGTCGTATTCGATGTTGAGGGCGACATTCCGGTTTCTGCTGAAACGCTTGACGATGTGACGGTGGTACTCATGGAGCTCTGGACCACGGTGGGGGTATGCCCATACAACCGCAGCGACATATTTGTCCCACGCCTCCGTCCATTGTGATTCGTTTGCCAGTTTGGTCTTGCTCCGGCTACTCGAGCCAGTCGAGATTTGAACCCCATTCCCGAGGTCAACGGAGTCTTCATATCGGATGGCATGGGAGCGCCTATCTTCGACCAAGTGTCCGAAGTCGACGAGTCGGTCCCCAAGGATGTCCTTCCAGAGGTATGGTGGGAATTCAGGTTGACCGCCCCAACAGATGAGACTTCGGACGGCACGTTTGACGTTGGTGTTGTACGCGTTCTTGAGGAGTTGTGTCTTCTCGGCGTTGGTGAGCATGGCCTCCTCGCTGGCATCCCAAGGTGGTCCTCCGTTCCCGAATTTCCAGTTCCACGCATACTCGGCACGATGGTCACTTTCTTCGTCGGCAACTCGTTTGAAAACCTCGTTTCCACGGAGCCGTCCGGAACTGGCTTGATTGGTGGGTTGTCTGACTTGAGAGGTAGTCCGAGTCATGACATTAGGGTTCGATTGGACAGTCCCATCCTGCTCGGCCGAGGTCTGTTGTCGGGCGATACCTCCATCGAGGTCACGGTCTCCTCGTGCTCGAGCTCGGATCCTTGCCTCTGCTGACTGTTCCAGTTCGTCGCCGTATCGGACGAGCGTTTCCCTGCGCTCTTCCTCGTTAAGGGACTGATCCGCAGCGACGGCTTCGGAGAGGGTGGCGTACACCTCTCTAAGTGGGATCTGGTTGGCATTGTATCGCCTGACGACTTCATCGAGCTGCTCGACCGTACTCGCGGCCTCGAGCAGTGACTGGAACGCATTGCCGCGGGAGATGGATTGAGCTGCATGATGCGACATAAGATGTAAGCGTAGTTGATCGATAGATGATCGAGTTCGATTAGATAAGCGCGGAGATTCAGTTAAGAACTATGAAAGTAAGTGTAAGCGCGCGTTTAGTGGATAGCGAGAGCAGGGATAACCGTGTGCAGGCCTGAGGAGCGGGGCCAGCACACACGGTTAGAAGCCTCATCGCACTACCGTTAACTTACCAGTTAGACGTTGTAGTACGATTGCGCAGGCAGGTGGGGAGTGGATAAGGTGCGCTATTTATCTCGCTCCCGGATGCAACTTGTCTCTTCCCGCAGCTGGTCTGAGACCAAGTTTGGGCCCGGAGGAGGGTTTCGTCCATCTTGTTCCATCCGCACTGCGACAGTGCAGAACAAGACGGCCTCCTCTGAGGCGCGCGCAGATCCACCTGATTAGTCACGTGAAATGGGATTAAACTGAGATAAATTACCCCTAAATTAGCAGCCATGCTCAGGCGCCTTAGATAGGCTCTGATGAATCAGACTCCTTCCCAGTTGCTCACATGATTTCTCCGAGGTTTAGCCGCAACTTACGTTGCCCTCCGAAATCTGTCGAGCGACTGGTACAACTTGCAACACGTGATGTTCCCACGCTAAGTTGTAATGAGTTGTACATAGGTTATGGAATATAATTTTTAGTATTTACGCATGTGGTCATTGCACCCAACCCAACCCATGGAGACTAAGGGAGCACATCCAAGGTTGTGAAGTCAATATCTGGGGGTGCGCGAAGTTTAACAGTTTATATATTACTTAGTTACCAGTCACTTGTTTGTGCCCGGTGGCATAAGTGGTATAGCGTTAGCTGAGGCTATGTAGTCTCTTTAAGTGGCACATGTTCGATTCTCACTTAGGACACTTTTTTTTTCATACCCTCCATTCCTTAGTGTACAGAAAACAACCATTTCACACAATTATTCCATGGGAGGGCCCAAAAAAAGTTTCCCTAAGTGAGAATTGAACATGTGCCACTTAAAAAGACTGCATAGCCACAGCTAACGCTATACCACTTATACCACCGGGCACAAACAAGTGACTGGTAACTAAGTAATATATAAACTGTTAAACTTCGCGCACCCCCAGATATTGACTTCACAACCTTGGATGTGCTCCCTTAGTCTCCACGGGTTGGGTTGGGTGCAATGACCGCATGCGTAAATACTAAAAATTATATTCCGTAACCTATGTACAACTCATTACAACTTAGCGTGGGAAGATCACGTGTTGCAAGTTGTACCAGTCGCTCGACAGATTTCGGAGGGCAACGTAAGTTGCGGCTAAACCTCGGAGAAATCATGTGAGCGACTGGGAAGGAGTCTGCTGATGAATCAGAGACTGAACGGATGCATGCAGGAGTGGCATGCCAGGACTTACGCGATGTTCACTTGAATGACCACTTCTTCTGGTGCCGAAATCAGCAGTGGCCGGGGTCAGCGAGTCGAATTAATTCACGAGTGTGCAAAGGGTAGATTCCCTCCAACGATGATTTATACTATATTACCTTCAGGATCGCCAGAACCAACTGTCTCCCTCTGATAGGCAGGATCCCAGCCTCTACTAAAGTAGATCCCTTTGAGCAACTGCTCCCTTCTTACGTTCTCCCTCCGCGCGTATCGAGATGTTCCTAGTCCTTGTTCACCTTTTCATCATCGATGAAATCCTGATCGGACGAAGTAGTTGTGGAAAATTGTGCATGTGATGGTACGAAAGCGTAATCGATCTCATTGGACTTTGATTGAACTTAACCCCCTTCGCAGTCCGGCTTTGGAGTTGATATATCGCGACTCGGATAATTACATCACGTTGAAGCCACACAACAAAGACGAGACGAGACTTCCACTCTGTGTGTGTTTGTGCGTGCGTGCGTGTTCTGCGAAATAGATAGGGCCGCCCTCCGTCCCAGATACTCCATTGACAAGTCGCTTTATCGATATTCCCGTCGCCACTGTGCTCACGGCCTCTGGACCGATGCTTGTATCCAACCTTCAACGTTCATACGTCGCGTGGACATAATATTGCACACAGGCAAAGCCCTCTCAGCGCAATGGAGCGATCTGCCACACTCAGTTGAAAGGCAGCGCGTCAACAGCACGTACTAGTCAAGGAACAATCACTACTCTCCAATTTCTGGAAAGCCCATTACATGAAATCACAACCAAATGGGAAAGGAAAAAGGAGTCCCATCCCATTCGCAATCATTTCCGCAGAGCGTGTGTTCAGGAATTAGAAATCTTGCCCCATTTCACATTCCGGGTCACCCCACCATTCTATCTTTCTACACGATGGATTGACAATAGACTGAAAGTTGAGAGGTCCGTGCCTGCAGAGCCGACGGCGAGTGCTTGTATGACAGCATCCATAATGTCAGATGCCCATTCTAAAAAGGGGGGGTTAAATGAAAGAATGGGGAAGATGTAGAATCGCTTACGATCCTAAAGCTCGTCTCGAGTCCACTTCGGTATCATCAAAGGCAAGTGCGAATAACTCCACTTTTGTCCAACACCGAAATTGAGCTACTCTCATCACCTGAAAATACCACATGTCCAACGCGAGCACCTTTCTTTGTCAGCAGCTCCTTTGAACGCGTCTATGGCACGCGCTCGTGGGGGAGCAAGACACTCGTCGGTTGGACGGTCTCCACACCATGACTTGGAGTCTCGACAGCGAATTTGAACTAGGCAGAGAGTAGTTACCTCCCAGCGGCTTCAAGTAACGGCTTGTTGAGGTGTTGATGTCGCGCCACGTTTCGTCATCCAGGGCTCCAATCAAGACCTCCATAAACGCCAACCCTGCATAGAAAATGTAGTTCATGCGGATGAGATGCTGTTATGGGAGCAGATGCTAAGAAAACGAAGTTTGTGACGTTCGTTCAAATGCCAAATGGACCGACCTCTCGTAAAAAGTTCATGATTTTAGTGCCTCGAACGTGAATCATGCGATGCGCTTCTCGTCCTCTAATGCGCCTTGTGAATGCGTAAGACCTAAACAACATTCACATTAGTCATCGCGTTACCGAAGCCCAGATTATGCACTAGATATAGGTGTCCGGGGAAACACCCCGGGAGACTCGAATGAGGTGATTGTATGAAAGGGATTTAATCGTTGCGGATCCACACCCAGTGAACTCACCGGTGGACAGGACGTCCGTAAAGCTGCTTCATTTGCTTGGGCGTGCCTTGTTTCCCGATGGTGCGCACAGGTAATTAGAAGAGTCAGAGATATCCATACCATGTTGACCAACAGCCCATGACGTCGACGTGCTCTCATTCCGGCGGCTTCGCCTCCAACTAGTCCAGTATAGGCCATTTCAGCGAGGTGGCACCGAGCGAAGTAACATCATACCTTGATTGAAGTATATCTTCTTTCGAGTTCTACGTGATGAGAAAAGGATGGAGACAGAATAATTGGGATTCGATCGGTCATCACGGCGAAGCGTGTCAAGTTCGTCTTTTGGCGGCCATATGAGAGAGGAGCAGCGATTGGGTGGGAGGGTGATGTGAAAGCGCACAGGGGCGTAAAATCGTTAGCTAACGATCGTAAGATTATATTGTAACGCCACCAGGGGATTGGGTATAAATGTTTCACAACTCACTGGATCTAGCGATGCCCACCTTTCTGCAAGAGTCAATCACAGCAATCCGGCATGTCGTAATGGAATTGTCATCAGGCCTTCCGAGAAAAAAAAGAAAGGTGAGGCACACACATGCACCCGAGTCATGATCGCGGATGGACAGCGTTGGGTGAAGGAAAGCAGTAAGATTTTTTCTTACATAAAAATATTACTTGGCAAGGTGAAGATGAGACGTTGTATCTTTCTGGTTTGGTGGTGTTTCAACGTCTAGGTAGGTTACCAGCCTCTATTTGCGTTGCGGTAGATTCGAAGGCAGCAACCCAATATAGCGATGAATAATGCGCGACTGCACCCGCGAGCATGTTTGTCAGAGTTTGTAGCACCATCGGGATTCCACATTACCTCATTGCTCCCGATTCCGGTGATGGCATCCGGATCCAGCTCGGCGAAACCCGTCAAGCCACAACGATCGACTTCTCTGCAGCCCGTTGTAAGCCCATTGCTGGTTTCATCTTGACTTGGAACCATTGGAAATAGAATCAATGAGTCTAGTCAGGCATCCTGGTTAGTCTCATCATGAATTATGATCGTAGCTCAAAATGAATCACTTTGCAAAACTGCAACCATCCACCATATCGTCATCTAATTTAAGAATCCCCCACGAAGCGGGCTCAGCTGTGTATCATCGATTACTTAAGTCCGAGATCTCATTTGTTTCCTCCGGCTCCGGAAGGTGCCCCCTATGTCTCATCTCCTCGATGAGGACCTACAATCACCTTCGCTCGATCGCAATCACCATAACCCAAAATACCTCCGCATATGTTGTGTTCTTGATTACACCGCTGGTTATTGCTTCGAGACGCAATTGTGGAGTATTCATGCACCTCGGGATTGACTTGCGTTGCACGGAAAAGTTCTCCCATCAGCTCCTAGCTGGTGCTCGTCCGCTAACATGCAGATGTTGGCAGGCAACACAGTCTCTCGCTCAATGATTCATTATACTCCGAATCACGACTAAGTTAGTAACTGTGCTAGGCGCCCCCGGCAGACTAAATGATGGGCTCTCTGGATGGCAATCACGAATCAGAGTGAATGGGTGCAGGAATTACAGTATATCATGTCAGGACTTACACGACCAAGGCTTCGGTTCGCTTCCTTTCCTGTCAAAATCTGCATAGAACACCAATGACCGACGTCAGCGAGTAGTTGTTCATTTTCCTCCCACGATTTTGGGATCGCGCGGCCCAACGACCCGTCCTCTGAGCGGCTCCTCCCTTCTCGTGTCCTTTCTCCGTGCTGAGTACTGAGACGTTCCTGTTCCTTCTCATAGTTGTACGTAACATGCATTTTGTTACTCTCTGGAATCTTATTCACTTTTTCGTTACCTATGGAATTCTAAACGGCCATTCTCAGATGAAGTCCGGAAAAAAATGTGATGGTAGTAGATCGAAAGGGTGATCTCGTTTGGACTTTTGGTCGTTGAACCGATGCTCGCTTAACGTGCTCTGCAGTCCGACTCTGGAGTTGACACATCACGTCTTTGATAACAATATTCAAGTTACACACGCATGCAAAGACGTAGATTTTGTCTAAATAGTGATCCCTCCCTGTCAAATTGGTGCAGAATGCTACATCGTTTGCTGGGCAAGCCACCTTGTCGATGACAGTACTATCTTGAGGGAGAAGCGTGACAACAGAAGACGAGGCTTGCGGCAGTGTCAGCGTCTCGGTAAGCAAAAGAACGCAGCAAACAACCCCTGCAGCGACGATGGCATGTATGTGTCTCTTCACAGTTGCCATGAGGGACAAGAGTAGAAGAAGGGAAGGATCCACCAACAGATGCCTTCCTTTCAAGGCACCTTTCCTTATTCGAAATGCGCTCGGACGGAGGTGAGGGAGATAGTTTCTGATGCAGGGAAAACGAAATTGAGAGAACGCAAGGAAGAAATGCCAAGCTCGCCGAGTCTGATTGACAGGGCCACGCTGGCGGTACAAGATTCCGTACACATGATGGTGGGTGAGTAACACGCCACGAACAACAAATAGCAATAGAATCTTCAACGAAAGTTAGAGCCTTGACATTCATGGTGGCTTTTGCATGAGCTGGTGAGGCTGTAGAATGATCGTGTCGAACCCGAAGTGGATGATATCAGATAAATGACAACTACTGGCATAGGAGTCTGAGCCGTTCTTCCTTTACGAGGAGTGCTTCAGAACGGTGTCCGAGATTGTTAAGAGATATTACAAGATTCCCGAGCGCTTGAGCCAAATCTGGGGTGTATGATGCCGGATGAGTGGCAACTAGCTCGCGCCAGAGCTTCACGCTTTCTTCATTCACAAGGAGTGCCTCAGAATGTCGTCCAAGGTTGGTGAGCGATGCATCTAGATTCCCAAGCGCTCCAGCCAAATCTGGGGTGTATGATGTTGGATGGGTGGTAACTAGCTCGCGCCAGAGTTGCACACTTTCTTCAATCACTGTGAGTGCCTCGGAATGGCGACCAACTTTGTCAAGTGATACAAAAAGATTCCGGAGCGCTCGAGCCAAATCTGGGGTGTATGATGTTGGATGGGTAGCAACTAGCTCGCGCCAGAGTTGCACACTTTCTTCAATCACCATGAGTGCCTCAGAATGGCGTCCAACTTTGTCGAGTGATACAGAAAGATTCCGGAGCGCTCGAGCCAAATCTGGGGTGTATGACGTTGGATGGGCGGCAACTAGCTCGCGCCAGAGTTGCACACTTTCTTCAATCACAGTGAATGCCTCGGAATGGCGTCCAACTTTGTCGAGTGATACTTTAAGATTCCAGAGCGCTCCAGCCAAATCCGGGGTGTATGATGCTGGATGGGTGGCAACCAGCTTGCGCCAGAGTTGCACACTTTCTTCAATCACAGTGAGCGCCTTGGAATGGTGTCCAACTTTGTCGAGTGATACAAAAAGATTCTGGAGCGTGTGAGCCAAACCCGGGGTGTATGATGTTGGATGGGTGGCAACTAGCTTGCGCCAGAGTTGTGCACTTTCTTCAATCACCGTGAGCGCTTCGGAATGACGTCCAACATTGTTGAGTGATACAGTAAGATTCTGGAGCGCTTGAGCCAAATCCGGGGTGTATGATGTTGGATGGGTGGCAACTAGCTTGCGCCAGAGTTGCACACTTTCTTCGATCACAGTGAGCGCGTCGGAATGGCGTCCAACTTTGTCGAGTGATACTTTAAGATTCCGGAGCGCTGCAGCCAAATCTGGGGTGTATGATGTTGGATGGGTGGCAACTAGCTCACGTGAGAGTTGCACACTTTCTTCGATCACTGTGAGTGCCTCGGAATGGCGTCCAACTTTGTTGAGTGATACAAAAAGATTCCGGAGCGCCCGAGCCAAATCTGGGGTGTATGATGTTGGACGGGTGGCAACAAGCTCACGCCAGAGTTTTACACTTTCTTCAATCGCCATGAGCGCTTCGGAATGGCGTCCAACATTTTCGAGTGATACTGTAAGACTCCAGAGCGCTCCAGCCAAATCCGCGGTGTATGATGTTGGATGGATGGCAACCAGCTCACGCCAGAGTTTAACACCTTCTTCATTCACAGGGAGTGCCTCAGAATGTTGTCCAAGCTTGGTGAGTGATGCATCTAGATTCCCGAGTGCTCGAGCCAGCTCCGGGGTGTGTGACTCTGAGTCCGTAGACACAAGGCAACGGCACAGTGCAACTGAATCACTTGCCAACTCATATGCCTCCTGCAATCTTAAAAAGAATGCAAGATTTCTCCTCACATTGCGAAACACTTTGACCAACATGTGAATGACTTCTTTGGACGCCCGATCAACGTTCAACTGAATGGAACATGAGATTGAACAAGAGCCCCAAATGATCGCTTCTGATGATTCGTACCTTGGCCCATTCAGGGAACAATGATATACTAATGTACCCTTCTGTCCTCACACAGACTTCCACCCAGCGTGATATTTGCTTGTTGAGAAATGCGTGAATAGGCCCATTGGGCACCTCCAGTGGCTCCTGAGTTTGGCTGAGATGATGCATGAAATGCCGACATGCGTATTGGACATGTTCAGACAGCGCTTCTTGAGGAATGGGGGGCAGCCTAGCTTTTTGGGGTAAGTCCTCAATCAGCCCTAAATCCTTCATAGTGGGAAGATCTTTATTCAAGATTTCGATGCAGCGCAGGGCCACTCTATTGTTCTCCCTCCTCGCATCCACTCCAAATCGACCAAGTATGGATGATTGTGGATCGACTCGGTCCATGAGAAAGTCACGAAAGGATTGGTGTAGAATACGAATTGGCTTGTCAGGATCTCTTACTCCTGAGACGAGAGGTGAAAGTTGAGCTAATGTATATCGGATGTCTGACTCCAGCAGCGGTGACAGAATGGCATCCCAGGCCGCAACAGATAGTGGCTTCTGTGCGATTAGAATTGCTCCCATCACAATCGGATAGTCATGCACAAAATCGTCATCCTTCCAGTTACACTTCTCCAAAATACTCGCATATAGCTTATCCATCATTTCCTCAGCGGACGCCTTTGATCGGTTGAGATCTTCATCCAGCAGTTTCTTCAGCATCTTCGCAGCATCACTGCCGCTGACCTTCATGTAATCAAAGACAGTGCTGATCCAAATGAACAAGCCGCCCGCCCGCTCTCGTATGCTTTGGACTAATGTATCTTCTTCCCCGATTCCATCTTCCAAACCAGGATGCACATCCTTCAGTTCGTGTAGTTGTGATTGGATGTAGATAGAACAGTCATGCAGGTTAGCATCGTCCGAAAGATCGATGGTGAGGCGATCAATAGGGTAATTAGGTGATAGGAAACGATCAACGAGGTCAAATTGTCTCGAAGTGAGAAAGAATTTGATGTTAGGTGGTAGTTTTGGGACTGCCTTCCGAAGTATATCGGCAAGATGTGGGAATGACTTTGTGTCGCACTCGTCTAACGCATCAATGATAATAACAATGGGACGGTCAGACAAGGATGTCCTGAGATGGAGAAGTTCAGCCACTAGTTTCTCGAATTGTGTCGGGAACGAGGCAGTTGAGAGGGCTGGATCCTCTTGAAGAGCGGATATGAGGGAGGCTCGGTATGCAGCGTCGTGGGTTGCCAGAGATCGAGCCATGCCGCTGAAGAGATGGTCCGGCTGCGGCTGCTCGCCTGCTTTGAAAAAGAAGCTTGCTGATGACATTTTTTCTCTTTTACACTCTTCTGCGATCGAGAGCGCGACAGATGTCTTGCCGGCACCGGCCACGGCCGTTAGCAGTAATACACGATTCTTGCTATCCTCCGTGGTACGACACCACGTCATAATACGCTCGATCAGATCAGTCCTAGTGTCTTTCAGGCACGGGTGCGTTGAATCGTGATGGGGGACAATGGGATATTTGAGTTCATTCAGAACTGAGGAATCTTCTACTCCACGAGTTAACCGATCTTGGTTGTTTGTCATTGCACCAACCGTCAAGTTTGTCTGCAGCTATGTGGTTTCGATGAGATCAGAACAGAAACATTATCGGGGATCAAACGGAATTACCTGGAACATTGCCAAGGCTTCGCTAAAATCTTTCTTTAAATCATCGATCCTACTGGGGTTCTTCATATGAGAGAAGTTGCGGATACCAGATTGCCCCTTCATCTTCCCACGCAATCGACCAATTTCAATTCGAATGCGCTCTAGCGCCCTACAAAGTACCTACGTTATAGGATGGTTTGGCCTGCATAGAGCAGATCTACTTACTCGCTCGGCTTCTTGACGCCTTCCACCCACGGCTTAGGCTCTTCGTTAGATCCATTATACGAATCGACGGCTGTAACCACATTGACCATGGCGTCCCCGATATATTTTCCAAAACGCTCCCATTCTTCCTTATTTCCCCTGAACTTCTGCACAATGCGGATTGTCAACTTCCTTTCCAGGATCGGTATAAATTGTTACTAACTTTGATTTCTGTGAGGATGAAGAGTGTGGCACCGGTAGCGGCCTGTAGAGGAGGGAACACGCCCGATGCAGTATCGATGGCGGTGAGAACCGGAATTGCAACATCGCCTCCCACGGCGAGGAGATGATTGACCCTCTGCTTCAGCGACATGGTCAATAATGGGTGGATGGAAGGGTGGGGAGGAAAGGTCGGACGCGCAGCGGGTGAGTAGAGGCTGCGCAGTTCACAACCATGAAATTGCCGCAAAGCGCAATTCATCCCATTGCGCACTTATGGAAAGTCTTGCGGCAGATTCCATCCTCTAATGCAGAACCAACTGAGAAATCGATCCTAGCTGCTTACACCCATCTATCTTGGCCCTGTTCTAGGTTCGCCACAGGAGATTTGATGCAAAGTTCGGCAACAGGAACGAACATTCCAAGAAGGCTAGCGCCAGGCGCACATGGGCTGTTGCATATTCGCAAAATGCACCCCGCAAGTAACAAGAAGATAGCGGAATGGGAGGATTACCACCGCAGCTAATGACCTTGCCGTGTCACTGTGATCCGGATGAAGCAAGTAAGTGGTTTGACAATGGTGCAGACTCCTGGTCTTTTCCGAATTCCCGAAGTTTAACTGCAACTTACATAGTTGAGGAAACTCCCCAACCCAATCCTTCTATCTCCAACTCCGCCTCCAATCCCTCTACCTACTACGATCCCTCAAAATCTGAACAGCAATGAACAGCGGAAAGACGCATATGAGCAGTGCCTTTCACTGGAGGGGCGAGAAGCATGGGGTCTCCAGGTTCGTGACCTTGAGAAGGATTACTTGGAGAACATTATGAACCGCCTCAGTCCGGATGTTGTTGCACGTGTCCTGGGACGAGGTTTGCTTACGGCTCCTAACGAGCAAGGATTTGACGAATTAACGCGTGAGATCACTGCATGCAACGGCCGACCAGAGAAATTAGCTGGGCTTGCCCATTTGTGCCTTTTGGGCTAATTCGTGTTTGTGTGGAGCGTTTTCAGCGGCCTCTGACACGCTCTCTCGTTTTCAATCCAAAAGGTCCCACGCCCCAACTATCCAGGCAATCCTTTGAGCAAACAAAGCAGAGGGGGTCTCCTTTGCTCCAGCAGCCCTCAATCCCCGATACGAAGCTGAAGCAGCTCGTGAGCACGTCTTGCTGCTTGTGTTGTTGTTCCTTCATCGATGCACTCCGCCAGATCTTGCGTCGCGACAACTATCGCTGCATATTCACTGATCTCTTGGATTCTTCGGCAGAAGGGGAGGGTTCTCCGATGGAAGAGGATATCAGCACAGAGTCAGACCTAGTCGAAATGACTGAAGACAACATGCGTGTGCAGGAAATCAAACCTACGCTCGGTATTACATTCGTCTCTCATATCGTCGTAGGTCACTATCAGAGGGCAGTGCACAACAGGAAAAGGCAATGACACCCATTTTCCGGAGGCCTCATAATTTCTGATCCAATTATTTCAGCTTGGCCCGGCAGCAGTGTTGATCGAGCGGTTTGGAGGTATCCCCTCACAGATACTTGGGGATGAAAGTCTGAACGGTCCCTTAAATGCATTCACAGCGTCGGCAACGCCTCACCAGCTGTGGATGGTGCCAGCTAAGGTACTCGTTTTTTCCACTTTTCACCCTCGTTTCTTGGATTAAATTGTTGCTATTTAGGACAAGGAAGGTCACGCCATCACTAATACTTGTGTTGTGAAGCACTTTCAGGGCGACAGATTGCGAGAACGATTTGGGATCAAAAGAGTCGTTACGCTAAGAGTGAAGATGAAGAACCTCCCCACCTCCCTGACTCACGTCTTATCGCCCTGCATGCTGCCTGTGCAATGATTCTTCACCTGTCTGGTGCCATCGAATATGTATGGGATTTTCTCTTTCGAGAACCCAAACCGATCTCGCTCATGACCGAGCCAAATGCAGCCCAAGAGCTAACCCAAGCTCTAGAGAAGTTACAGTACATCTCTGCGGTAGCCTGATGAGTTTTCCTTTATTTATTGATCGGTGCATGTGGACTCGCGAACTGAGAACATTTCTTTCTTTCTTTCTATTTTTTTTTGGATTGAACGTCAGCACATCAGCACACTAGCAAGAAGTGGAAATTCGTCTTTCTCTTAGGTAGATCATTGCTGCTATTGACGGGTTTAGGAGATTCAGTCATTCCCACACCCAGTCAACAAGTAGTTGCGAAATAATCCCTATCCTCCAATTTCCGGAAAGTCCATCACATGAAATTACACAGCTGTGTGGAAGCTGCACTGATATACTACATAACCAAAAATGAAATGAGATGGAAAAGATAAAGAGCATTCCCGTCCCATTTGCGTAAGGGCAAGGAGGGCCGAGGGGAGTTGAGTTCGACTTTAGGAATTATAAATTATAAATTAGTGTTCATCCGCCCCTTTCTGACCCCATTTCACACCCCGCGTCACTCCACCATTCCATTCCTCTACACGATGCGTCGACAACAAGCTAAAAGTTGATAGCTCCGTGCCTACAAAGCCGATCGCGAGTGATTGTATCGCGGCGTCCATAATGGTAGATGTCCATCTAACAAAAGGGGTGGGGGGTTGTTATATGAAAGGAAAGAAACAGGAGATGTAGCGCCACTTACGATCCCAAAGTTCGTCTCAAGTCCATTTCGGCGTCATCATCTTCAAGAGCAAGACGTCGCCAACCAAATAACTCCACTTCTTTCCAATACAGACTCGAGTCCTTGTCATCACTCGAAAATACAACATGTTCAACGTGAATCCCCTTCTTGGTCAGTAACTCCTCTTGAACTTCCTTGACGCGTACATGGTACGCCGATGGAGGAGCGAGGCAGTCGTCGGCTGCACCATCTCCACACCACGATTCAAAGTCTTGACGACGAATGTGAACGGCAATGAACTGTTTGTGTGCAGAGACGTGAAAAAAAAAAAAAAAAAAAAAAAAAAAAAAAAAAAAAAAAAAAAACGATAATCCGTGTATTTCCTCACACACACTCACATGTGGTGTCGTACCCTCTTCCGACGTTCCAAATAACCTCCGGATGTACCTCCTCCCAGCTTCGAGTAACGGCTCGTTGAAATGTGCGTGTCGCGCAACGTTTCGCCATCCAGGGCTCCACTCGACACCAAACATGTCCTTTGGAAACGCTAACCCTGCATAGAAAATGTAGTCCATGCAGAAGAGATGCTGTATAGAGAAAAGAAAAAGTAGATGCTCAGAAAACAAAACAAAACAAAAACAACAAAAAAACGTTCACTGAACGTTCAAAATGCACCAACCTCGTCCGGAAGGAGTTCATGTTTTTCGTGTCTCGATGGAACGGGCTTCTCGTTCTCTAACGCCCATTGGCGACCTTGTGGATATGCAAGACCTGAACAACATTCTTCCATTTAGTCATCGCATTGCCTGGAGCCCCCCGTCGTAAACGCACTAGATACAGCAGATATTCGGGGAGGCCACCCGGGAGGTCCGAACGAAGCCCAAGTAGGGGTGGTCGTATAAGAGGGATCTAATCAATTGTGGTGTGGACTTTGTTGTAAAAAACGCGGCGTTGTAAAAAGTCGGCAAGTTTGTAAACTCACCGATGAACAGGATTTCCGTGACGCTGCTCCATCTTGGTTGTTTCTCGGGTGCACCTCGTTCCCTGAATTTTTTTGAGCGTGAGTAATGAGAAGAGGGGGAGGGAAGAAGGTGTCCATACCATGTTGACCAACAACCTATGATATCAGGGTGCTCTGACTCTGGGGTCTTCACTTCCGACCAGTCCAGTATGGGCCATTTGAGCGAGGCACTGAACGAGGAGACATTGAAGACTTGATTGAAGTATAGTTTCTCTCGAGTGTCGACGTGATGAGAAAAGGATGGGGGCGGAATAATGGGGATCCGGTCGGTCATCATCGCCAAGTATATTAGATTCATCTGTTGAGAGAGAGATGAGTGAGGAGTGAGCAATTTGGGATGGGGGAAGGACTGGGCGGGAACGTACATAGGCCATAAAATCGTTAGCTGATAAGAGTGAGATCGATGCTATTGCGGGACTGTGTAATGTTTCACGACTTACTGAATCCAGCGCTGCCCCATGTCTGTAAAGGGTCAGTCAGCAGAAGTGTCAGTTCTTCCATCAGCTCGACATACCGTAATGTAATTCTTATCAGACCAGAGATTGTCTGGGAAGAAAAAAAAAGAGCAAGTTAGGGTATGCACCTTGGGTTGTATTCGTGCTTACATACCACGGAAGGAGAGCGTCGGATGAGAGAAAACGGTCAGATTTTGTCTAAATAATGATTGCTCCCCATCCGATTGGCGTAGATTGGGCCGAGGCGTTGCGTCATTTGCTGGGCAAGCCGCGTTGTCGATGACAGTACGTGGGACGACAAAAGATGGGGCTTGTGGCAGTCTCAGCATTGCGGTAAGCAAAAGAAAGCAGCAAACGATCGCTGCGGCGACGACGGCATGGAGGTGTCTCCTCGCACTTGACATGAGGGATAAAAGCGGAAGAAGGGATGGATTCACCAACGGACGCATTCCTTCCAAGGCTACCTAATTTGAAATTGCGCCTGAGCGGAAATTGACCCCGGCCGCGCGCACGTGTTTGGACAGGCACCATCATCATCCGCCCATGTTGTTGAGTTGGAAAAGATGGAAGTTGGACCCGAAGGATAGTTTTCTGATTGCAGGAAAACGAAATTGAGAGAACGAGATTGGCAAAGCTTGGAAGAAATGCCAAACTCGCCAATTTGCGGATCGATGTGATTTGGAGGGGCCGGGGCCACGCGCTTTGGAATCTGGATCCGGAGAGCGGGAGAAAATGCCAATGTAATTTAAACCATTCCCATCGTTGACGGTGCTCAGCCTCATCACAATCTGCATCGCATTATGTGTTTAAAGAAAAAGAACACAACTTGCCTGCAATTCGGTGTGCGTTTTTTTTTTGTGGATATTTTTCGAGAAGGCGCCAAGGTTCTTACTTAATTAATTCAGCCCGGATGATTTCCTCGACTTCGGTGCCCACAAAGAGACGCTGGTCACCTGCCTACCACTTCGGCCATTCAATTCAAATCCAACATAGTACATACACCTTCTTCATGAACCTCCACACCCTCGGGCACAGTGAATCCTATGCTGACGTCCTAATGGAGCAAGCTCACCCAGCAAGCATTAAACTCACCGTGAAGTGCGGCGTGTGACCACAAGCCAAATGCTGTCATGGCACTCTCTAAGCTCCAAAGCCCAAGGCAAAGGGAAACTTGCGTTCCCAAAGTTGGCCACGCACGACTTTCGGGTGCTTAAAAAGTTGACTAGTTATGCGAATAGATGCGGACGCCATGACCTTTTTCTGCTGAAGACAGTACTCGATTCGATTCAACTTTTCTTCCTATTCTTCCTGCTCCAATTTATTTTGGTTGGTACTTTACCTGGTGTGGGGCTGCGGCAATTTTTCATACGAAAAGCTAGATTTGTCATCATCTCTTATCCATCCATATCATGATTAATTCCCCCAATCCCGCGGAACGCTTCACAGACCTTCGGCTTCCCACTGACGTGTGGACTATGCATTAACCAGCCGCTCCACTCTATCCATTCTCAGTGATCCGAAGCTCTGTATAAGTAACAATCTGTGAGATGCAGCAGCATGCCAGGAGGATCATCGTGTCAAAATTCATTCACCATCGGCTTCATAGATACATCTAACTCCTCACTATTCTGCCATTAACCCTCTTTCTGTGTAATCTACGGCGACTCGTCGATTAGCTGGACGAGGGGCCTGTAGAGTAAGACACATCGTATATAAGCTATGAGGAAAGTCGTGTGGTAAGTTGGCAAAGGGTGTGGTGTGGCGAACGGGCTTTGAGCCGAGTGCTTTGGCGGGTGCTTGGAGTGAGTGACCCTAATTCAACACTTTCAACGGCCGCCTGGATCATCCGCGGAATCGCACGTACGATCGCGCGTGTCAATACAGGTTCCGAGTGCACCAATCCCCATGAAAGGTACCGCTCAAATGACAAATGAATGCTTCGAATCGTTCCCCTCATCATCGGCTGCGGTCCGACTTGCAACTGTATCCACACGAGAGTAATTAATGAAAAAACACCGGACGGATATGGGATTACGATGGTTGCCTATAGCTTGCGGAAGCCGAGGGGCCCCCTCAACGTCATACCGTGCCAAATGTTGCGGCACATACCGACTGGCACGGGCACGTGTTAGTCAAATGAACCTGGATCTTGGCCAAATTCATTATTGGTTGCATCTGTATGGCGGGCCATCCTCCACCTCCACCTCCTCCTGGGGCATTATTTGGGGAGAAATATCTTGACATCCCTACCCAAGTGCGTCACATTCCATCATGCACCCAATCATTTTCGCTCAACTTAGCCTTCTTTCTTTGTAGCGCATACTCGTCCTGGGGTTACTCGCCGCTTCCCAAGTATGGCCACCGCGTTTTATTGTACTCAGCATACGACCTCATTTGTCGTTTATTTCCTAGGCGATCAAGTTTGGGGAGTTTACTGCTTCCCTTGTAGAACATGACGGACCAAGTGCATCTCTGTTGTTCCTCAAATGGACGTTCCTTGACGCCATCCTGTTGTGGTTTCTTCCGTATCTACGCATACCGAGGTGTGCCCAGATTCATTCAGTGTTAAAAATTCAGACCCTTTCAACGTGCATTCACAAGACTTCAATTCGATCAACGCGCTCGTATCGCCCAAATAACATTGTTAACTGGGTTTAATTATGTCCTGTTCGGAAACTATGTCGTATGTATTACCTCCCTTTGTTTATGCGCTCCCGATGGTTACCCCTTCATAGATCTTTCTGGGAAAGTTTCTACCTTCCCCTATTCGGGGTACGTTCTGGGTTTTCATTGGTCATGGCCATCGCTCAACACGACATGGTTTACTTGGCTTAGCCATAATGGGACTCTTCGAATATGATGAACTTACAATATCCCAAAGACGAGTCAAGATCCAAGATGTGATTGATTACGGCGCCCACCTTCTTGGACAGCATACCGTACGCATAACCCCAATTGGGTACGTCTCAGGTCCAAAGTGATTGATTATCTTTATATACATTGATTTTTTTTCTTCTTCTTCTTCTTATTAGTGCGGCTATATTCAACCCGGATTCCTTGCCTTTCTGTCTCGCCAATCCAAGTGTTGGAGTCTTAATCCCCATCCTCCTCAACAACTCAAAGTCGCTCTCACTGCTCCAGTACTCAATCGCTCCCCTTGGTGACAAAGGGCCGAGAGACTACATCAATGTGACGTCTCGAGAACTGAACAAGATGCAGAGCATAGCGGCCGCGTACTTTGCCGAGCAAGATCGATTATTGGGATCTGCCGAGTCCGATGAGGATGATGAGGACGACGACGACGAGTTGGATGAAGGTGATGGGGCTCTTGCTTCGCGAGTCCGAACTCCACAATCCCAGCTCAAGATGATGATATCATCCTCATCCTATGCTACTCTTCTCGCAAGGAAGAAACTTGAAAAAACTCAAACAATGAGATACTTGCGTATTACCCGACCAGGCACTGTCAGGCTTGAACGTATTTTAGACAACACCTATGCAGATGTCCGTATCCGACGGTATTCTGGGAAAATAGATACAGCGGTAGTCGAATGTCCTTCCGCCGTATTCAAGACGGGGGATCTAGCACCCTTGCAGTGTACAGGTGGTACGAAGCAGGTGTTCATCGACGTACGTGGCACTACGCCATTAACGCTTCAGTGGCATCGCGTCATTGGTGGGAAGAAGGAACATTTCACCGTGGAAGGCATTGAAGGGGGTTCTGAGGTATATATAGCTTAGTTTTGCTTTTTATCGAGTTTTCAACAGCGCTTTTTTTTTAACCGAATTACAAGTAGAGTCGAGGTCTTCCTTTAGCACAAGAGGTGAAAATACCATTAGACCTCCCTCTAAACGTGCAAGGATTACATGTCTACACGCTAGAAACGGTCACAGATGGTGTTGGAAACGTCGTCGATCTTCCATTCGCCACATCCCACGAATCAGACGTTCAAAAGTCCATCACCGTACTAGGCCGCAGTTCAGTCAGTTTCCGGGGTTGTGGGACTGGCCCCGATAGGACGGTTGACCTACTCCAGGGAAAGGAAGGCACTATTACGATCGCCTTCAACAACCTGGATCCTGCTGACGGACCTTGGACTGTGACGATTTCGTTCCAACCTGTCGATTCTAATAAGGGTAGGAAAGGCTGGACGAAGGAATTCGCGTCACAGTCAGGCAAGAAGACGTTGACGATTGGGGTCACTGAACCTGGTGAATATACGATCATCAAAGTCCAGGGGAAAACGTGTCCTGGTGATATCTTGAGTCCGGAAACTTGCAGAGTTATCGAACAACCCAAGCCGACAGCTGAGATTACATTCCAAGGCATACAAGAGTGGTAATGCGTTTTTTGAACCGAACCTATAAAAGCTTGGCTGACCCATTTTCCTTAGTTCAAGCGATACTGGCGTTTCAGCCACAGCGTTGCTGCACGGAACCCCACCATTCGTATTGGTATACACAGAAAAACACGATAAAAACCCACCAAAGACTCTGGTCAAGACCTTCAATAGCGCCCGGGGCGAGATCGTGTTGAAACCGGAAAGGAGTGGTAGCTATACCTACACCTTCATCCATATCTCGGATAGGAATTACCAAAGAGTTCCGATCGCTGGCACTCCGTCTACCACTCGACATGTTCATCCGTTGGCTTCTGCAAACTTTGTTCGGGGCGTCGGCGGCGGCGGTATGACGAAGCCTGCAGATTCTCGCATCCATACGAGTAATTGCGAAGGGGACTTTGTTGAAGTTTCCCTGGATCTGAGTGTACGCCGAACAGTTCTTTTTTGGGAGGACGACCCATATCCTTAACCTGATAATAATGATTGTAGGGCACACCGCCGTTTGTGGTAGACTTACAGCTGGTCGGACCTAAAGGTTCTGAACTTCGAAGTTTCAGATCTCTCAACGAGACTCGAGAGACCGTGGAAGTACCCATATTGCCTGAATTCCGAGAAACTGGAGGCACAATGGAAATTGATTTGGGTGAGTGTTTCTTTTCAGTTCAATCACATTTTTAAGCTATATTTATACCCATCATAGTCAGCGTTACGGATGCCAATGGTTGTCGTAGAGCATTAGACACTACGGGTATCTCCGTATTCGTGAAGCGCGTCAAGGTATTTGTCCCTATATATTCAAAGGCAAAGGCAATAACACCTCTCTAAATAGCCGACCATCAAGGTATTACCATTATTGGCTTGCTAAACCGCCTTCTGATGTCGATCCGCTAGTTCTATTCTACGGACAGCACTCGAGAGGCGCTGATCTTGGATACGGAAACAGCCCATTTGCCCCTTCGCTTGACAGGAGATGGGGTAAGTGGAAACTAACCCTATCTATAAGACCTTTCGGGCCTTACATAGCTCCTATTTGTACAGCCATGGGATGTCTCCTATCAAATAACCGATCCGGCGGAAGCAGATGCTGGGTCGAGAGGCCCCACCGGTCGAGTGGCCCGCATTCGGTCGGCGAACGCCAATCTTGATGTCAAGCAGCCTGGGCTGTACACTTTGACCAACGTACGTGCAACTCAAAGCCTGTTCTATATATCTGCTGTCTAAGAGGTGTCAAACAGGTGAAGGATTCGCATTGCCCCGGCCGAGTCATCCAAGAACAGTCAACGTATCTCGTGAAAACTATTCAACGCCCATTTGCGGTGTTTGGAGAAGATGCCGGGTAGGTATACTTGGTCAGTCTTTCAACGGGGGGAGAGAGTTTCATTGTCGTTTCAGGAAATTGAGCCTTGAAGGAATTATCGTCCGACCACCTGTTTGTGAAGGGAACGAGGATTTCGTAGACATCCAACTGCAAGGTATTTAGGTGTACTGACCGTCCCTTTTCCACCGAAGCGCTTAAAATAGCCTATAGGACGCCCCCCGTTCCAGGTCATTTATGAATATGCCGGCCAATCTCGAGAACGACGTATGCAGGATCGTATCACCTTCAACAGCATTCAAAATACAAGCAATCTTCAACTCAAGACGAGTGAAACTGGGCACCATGAGTACCATATCGCCAAAGTGGGAGACTCAGCCTACCCCTTGGTGTCGTCACCAGAATTACGTCGCTTGAGTGGTCTGGTATTAGCACAGGACGTTCTGGCCCGGCCTTCGGCCCACTTCAAGTCGTCCGGCACAGGATCTGTCTGCCTGAACGACAAATTCATACCTAAAGCGACTCACGGTAGCGATGGAATCGTCATTCTTCACGGACAACCCCCATTCAAGCTAGATTTGGCAATAAAGGACTTGGCAACAAGCTCCGTCGTGACAGAGAGTGTGGAAGTCTCGTCGCACGAGTGGAAACTTGAACTTCCCAACTACACGTTCAAGACAGTGGGACCCCACATCATCACTATCGAATCATTTGAAGATTCGTCTCAGTGCCCCCCATCGACAGTGGAGTTAGGGCCTCAATCCTTCAGAATCGACGTTGCAGAAACAGCCGCCATCCTTCCTTTTGAAAGGAGGGAGGACTTCTGTGTTGGAGACGTCCTACAGTTCCAGCTTGAGGGCAACGCTCCGTGGAAAATTGAGTAAATGACTTAAACGATCTCTCATTTCCTATGCACAGACATCACTGAACGTGCTTTGCAGTTACAGGTTCGATGGAAAACTCATCTCCGCAACCTCGAAAATTCCAAAGTTCAGCAGAGTAGCAGAGAAGCCTGGCATGTTCGAAATCGTCAGCATCGCTCACCAACAAGCTTCTTGTCAGAGTTCCGTGTCCGATCTTCACATGAATATCAGGCCGCTGCCATCTGCCCGTGTGAGCCAGGGGAAAAACGTCATAGAAGATCTTCGGGAAGGTGTGTAACGCAATTTTTTTTCGCCGCGACTAAAGGTGCCTGTTGGCTGATCCGTCCGCGTTTACTAGGCGAACAGGTGCGCGTTGTGCCTTGTTAGAGTGTTGGCCTGCTCCGCATTCTAACTAACTTCTTTTTTTTCCCATAGGCTGAGATAGTCTTTACCCTTATTGTAAGCTCCACCCACACCTTCGACACAAAGAGAAATTATTGATGTCCTAGCAGGGAGAACCACCATTCACGTTCACATACCAGCGGGCTTCGTTAGAAAGCCACAAAGGCACGCATCGGATCTTGGAAACACATACCGTTTCTGGGGTCATGACTTATGAGTACTCGATATTTTCTGCATTGGAAGGTGATTCAGTTGATCCCCATTCTTCGTAACTATACCATATACTGACTCGATACTTAAGGGACATGGACAGTAACATTTATATCCGATAAATACTGTCGATACCCACCTGTGGCTTCAAACTCAAAATTCGAGTCGATCTGATGACCGGCCGCCTTAAAACTTGCATTTGTCGACGCCGCACTAACGCTTTATATCACAACCCACATCACCGCTGTTTCATAACAATAACATCCACCAATGGAGCACAAGAATCTGATGATCGCTGTAACTACCGTAAAATAACTCCCTCTAAGTCGCTGGCGCGAAGTTCCCCAGAGGTCCATCAATGAGGCTTTCCAATAGTTTGGATCCATTAATGATGCCCGTCGTTCCAATCACAATCCTTCTCCCTGTCAAGGAATGATGAACGGGCCTCAAATACCGAAAAAGAAAAAACTTCATTTGATCGTACCTTTCATCTGAGTATTGAGCCATCGCAAAGCAGCAATTTCCGTGAATGTGCAGCCTCCTAGGAAGAAAACCATTGTTGTTGTCTGTCTCCCAGAGGCTGGTACGGAACCTATGAATTCGATAAGCCCCAAAACATTGCAGTGAAGATGGGTTGCCGCTCGTACTGAAGGAAGTAGTCTGAGTATCTACTTCGTTACTCGGTGTTGCGCCGTGTTGAAATCTATCAACTGTCGCTCCTGGTATAGATTTAACCGCATCTTCAAACCCTTTCCAGCCGTTGATGGGCTGCGCGAAAGGAATTACGGGAGTTTCCGTCGCTGCGCCTTCACCTTCGCGGGCGGGAGTATTCCCGTCGGGAGAAGAGAGCACACCAGTCTTGTGGGCGACACATTGGACCAGGCGAACGCTGAGAGGTGCATATCCAGAGTAGACGAAGGATATGTCCGTCGGAGATGATTCATCTGTATCGGAAAGCAGTCGGAGAGCCTTTCTTATGTTGTTGTAGAGTAACGGAGCTGGGGCAGTTTTCGGGGCTGGAATTGGGGAGATTAAGCCTGTGGCGGTTAGAGAGAGGAACATAGGAAGGTAGCTGTATCCATATGTCTTGAGACAGCATGAGATGTGGTCATCAGAAGCAACGATGCAGGTGAAAGACACTGACCTGAAGAATTTCTCGTTTCAGGTTTTCCAGTATCTTCACCTTGATGCCTCCAATAGTCAAATTCGCCAGGCAAAGCAATCTCGTGACGATATGCATGGGTGCTTGCTCAGACACGAGGCCTTCGATAGCTGAAACTTGCGCCGACGTATCGTAGCGTTGCAGAAGGTCTGTATCCATCCAAAAGCATCATGACGTTAGAGAAAAGCCCAAAGGTAACGTGTGAAGTTGCCGCACTCTGCTGTATTTCCAAGCTCTTGTTGAAGTGTTCATGCTTGGTTCGAGCAGCGATCTCCTCTGAAAGCCCAGTATCTAGCTAACAACGGCGTTAGTGGACGTGAGCCTCTAAAAGGTTTCACTGACGAAGTCTCAAGGCTTGATGTTCACTTTGAAGACCCCCGAGCTTGTTAACAAATTCCCGCAGTTGAGTTACGGTCTGTGCATTATGCCGGTTCTGCAAAAAAACATTTAGTTTTACTGGTTTGCTCCTATGATTGCTTTAGATACCTTGTACTCTGTGTCAAGCTTCCTGGCTTCCTTGCTAAGCTTCCCACCAACAATCGCGAAATTTGAGTCCCTCAGTTGAGCGAAGAGTAGATCTGAAGACTTCAAGTGATGCTTCTTCTTGGCCTGAGCAGATGCGCCAGGCAGTGACGGAGCGGTTGAAGGGCCTGGGGACGCGGTAGCAGGTTGTTGTGCCGCAAGGAGAGCGGCATCGACTTTGACGTGCGCTGCAGTGATTGTTTGCGAGTGAGCCATGTGTCAGGAAGCGCACGAAGACGGGGGAATAAGAAAGGTTACCCACAATTTTGGATGCTGAAGAACTCGTCAATGAGTCCCTCGTAGGTGAGCTGCGTTAGCAGGGGAGTTATGAGGTCGACATTTCTGTCTATAATGATGAGTGAATCTATCGCCTCCGACACATTCGTCAAGGTCGCAGGTGTGCGGGACGAAGGCGCTGGCTTTGAGCGAACAAGAAGTTCAACCAGTTTCTACCCGATACGGAGGCCCCAATCAACAACGGACAGCAAACCAATTTAAGATTGCATACCTTTGCACCATCGCCTTTCCCTAATATCCGAGGAAATAGGCCGTACGCTTGCTGTATCGTCATCAGAGACTGTGAAGCATAAAAAATGGACGACTCGTCGCCATCCTTGCAGAACGTCAACCTGACGGAATCAGTCGACCAGGTCGAGAGGGAGACGCACCAAGTAAATCTCTCTCCACACACGGTCCAGCTCCAGGCTGATCAAGTCATCCTCGAGTGGGATGAATTCCAGTTTGTACGAACTAATGTTGACTTCGCCGAGAACGCCTTCCTCTTCGAGAATACGGTCGCAGAGAACAGTTCGACGAGGAACAAGGACAATGTTGTATGAGTGAGAGGTGGAAGAAGCGTTTGATTGCTTTATTTGATCTAGTAGGTTTATTCAGGAGTCGAAGAACGGCTACGCAAGTTCCACTACCTGCTATCATCTTCATCCATTTAATTTCGGGGCGACACAGGTACACGACATTTGCAGTGGAGGCATTGAGAGGCCCTGGCTCTAGCCAGAACATTTTATCAACTCCATGATGCTGTATGATAAATCTTCATGTGACATGGAAATATAGCAAGTGGCAAGATAATAGTGTTGACCTTGAGAAGTGACACCTCCGTGACGAGGCTGAGGGGCCCAGCAAGCGAGGGATCGAGTACGAGTGTTTTCGCACCATTCACCTAGCGAGCAGCTATCAGCAGAAATCTAGATGATAAATGTAAGAAACAGGACCTCACAGCATTCAGAGCGTCAACCAGGGCTCGCTGTGCAAGCGTCTTCAGCATACTGAGGTCCAAGATGCCTTGACCCAGTGCCTCATTTTCCAGCTTAGACTTTTTTCCGGCTTCTGGATGCTCATGGGAGTGAGTGGCAGTGGCAGGTGTAGCCATCAAAACTCTGGACAAGCGCTGAATGGTTTGACGGCGCTTAGATGGCCGAATAGACGGGAGGTGCCGATCAAATCACGCCGCATCCAGGCACATGAACACACCGTTTGTGTCATTCCCCCATAAGCGTGTCCAGCTAGGCAGGACTCCAGCCTCTATGACTTCGTAATATTAGGTAGATGTCCAGGCGACATCAAAAGTAGATCGCCGTGCCCGTTGGTCAGCGGATCGATCCTATGGGTGATGCTGCTTGGATTTGAGTTGCAGAAACCATCCAATCCCGTCGCGTTACCCTGCTGGGGTGTGCCTAGGTCTCAGGGTTGCCTTAAAAGAAGTTCACTTCTTCGCACAGTTGGGGCAGTTTCCAAGTACTCGGTTCAAATTAGTCATCCGTAATACTCTTCGCAGTCTTCGCTCCGAGTCCCTGGGCACGGATCTTGATAGTTGCGCTGGATTCACCCGGCAACCTTGAAGTTGCCATCTGTGCATGCAGTTGCGGCATTCCAAGCCATTTTCCAGACCGGAAGCATCAACCAACCCCCATATACCCCCGCAATCGTTGATCCTGCTCCGGCGAGTCTCACCCCGAGAAGCGCACGTGTTCCCCCGCAGTATCTTGACATATCCCCAGGGGTACAGACCTAACCCCTACCCTTTACATTTGTTATATGGCATAGAGTTGGGGCCGGACCTTCAGCTAATAAAATGCACCGAATTTTCCTTCTGTAGTCACGCAATCGTACGTGAAAAAAGGGAGAGGTAGACTTGGGCGGAATTCTTCTGCTTCTTTCTCCACGTTGAGGTGATCACCCATGATTCCCACCCCCTTTGTATCTGCTAACACACCTCCAACGCGATTCACAAGCTCCGGTGTCAGCGGTGAGCTCATTGGTCGATCTGCTTTGAAATAAGCCTCAAGGCATGGCCGTTGATTCAGAATTAGGATTTCTTGAACCCAGAATTTCCATTACAAATTTGCCAAATAGTTTTCTCACCTCCATTCGGAGGGTTCCATTTTGTTCATGCAAAGGCGAATGAATACAAACCCTCCACGAGCGCAACTTCTTCTGATTGAATCGGCTCAAACGATTCTCTCCAGGGACTGTGTACGTTTAGCTCCGTCCTGAGCCCTTTACGAGACAAGGGGTTCATAAAGCACGATTGCCTATCGTCCCTAACAGTAAATCAAGATTCACGGTTCGGTGAGGGAGTGCCGATTGCCGACTGTGCCGGAAATAGTCAAGGATGTGGAATGGTCGTTCTTATTCGAAACGGTGGGATGCGATCCCTTCCTCATGAGGCCTCCCAAGCTGATGTGTTCACTGCATTTTGTTTTAACCACAGAATTTGCGCCAATGAGCTGTTCGCATGCCGTGGGATGTTAACATTTCTCCTCTTAAGCGTGACAAACAATCACTTTCCGTGTTGACACACCGGGGCAGGTCATTGCTGCGGCAGTTGTGCTGATAGTGATATATAGGAAATTTGTAAAGAGAATGGCATCGTGAGGAATCCATGCGTGAGCCGGGATCATGCGTTCGGTTGTGGTGGCGTATGGTGCACATTGCAAAGCGTTCTCCCATGCAATGCATTCTTTCCATTCCGGTTCGATGGTTGTGTGCTGCTGCGGTCCGAGACACAACAACGCAGACCGTTATATGAAATGTTGTTCGCATTCAACGTTGATAGTGATTGATTATCATAAATACCCATGCGCCAACAGAGGCAGAAATTCGGGTCAGTACAGAGTGTCGCGGATCCGTTGTGAGGCAAGTAGAAAGAGGGTGACAAGGAGAACGCTCGAAATGTGCCAAATTCAGTAGGGCAGCCGCGGCACCCAAGGTACAATTTTATGGGATTGTACATACTAGTGCTGCTCTCCTAGGGAGCTTTCTAGTCCTAATATGTATATTTTAATTTCTGCCCTTCAATGAATTTTCAACTTGAACCGATTAAGTAATCGTTGCTCAACCTCTGCCGATTTGTGTACTGCTGGTCATGGTACGTGAAGTCATGAGCAGTACTGTCACTCCTATGAGCGGTGCCTCCTCCAAAGGGGGAAACTGATACCCGTGTTGAGAGGCTTGACAATTTTCTTGATCTCTGAACAATTATCAATATGTTGGACCCAAGATTCGGGACAGTTCAGTTATTGTCAGTTTGCATCCGTTTTGTATGATAATAAAACCTCAACTCCTCGCTGCAACGATGCCCGTCGGAAACCCCTTCGCCCCCTCCTCCAACCGCTCTTAGTAGCTCTCCATCATGACTATCTCCTCGTTTAGAGGGTCTTACACGTCCTATTTTTCCCCAATGTCGCTCCTCAGCCTTCCCCCTGAGCTCCTCACAGAAATTTCGAGCTACATTCCAGATCGACATCCTACCCTTGGTTATGTCACAAATTCCAGCGACATTGCTGCATTTTCATCAGTGTCAAAGGGCCTTCGTGCTATTGCACGACCAGTCCTTTTCCGAAGCGTTCCGATCACGTCCAAGGTGCGTCTGGACAGGCTCAAGGCGGTTATGCCAGATGCCACCGATCCTTTGGAACTCATACGGTTCGTTCACACCCCTTTGGCAGCAAGGGCCTCGCTCATTCTGGTTTTTTTTAGGGAACTAATCATTGTTATGGACGTGGATTTTGTGAAAGCCTTCGAACACTTCGCCTTGTCTTACTACAATGACCCAGCCCCATCGGATCCCCTTTGTCCTTTCCTCTGCTTGATTTCTATCCTCTCGCGCACATCACGCATACATACCCTTCGCATGCGCGTCGCCCACGCCCTAGGGACTCACGCTTTTCCGAGACGCCACTCGTCAGTCCTTGACGCTGGTCTCCCTGTAGGCAGGGCTATAGCTGATGCACTTCGGCATGTTGAGCCATTTGACCTGCTTTCACTGCGCGGTCTCGAAGTCGATGGCTTCCAGGACATGGAGTGCCTCTTACGACTCGCCCCTCGTCTGGAGAGACTCAAACTTAGCATGCCCGCTGGTTTCGGCATGGGCGTCAACGAGCAGCTTGTGAAAGCATTGACCTGTGTGCCTCAACTCAAAGAGCTTTCATATGACCCTGTCACTTTGTCTCTCCCCCGGGGCGCCGTGAATTATGATGATGACAGTGACGTTGAATCTGAAGGAGAGGAAGATGACAAGGACTTTGAGGATGACCCCGCCAAAACCAGCTGTGACTTGCTAGTTGCTCTTGGTCGAATTCTTCCGAACCTGGAAGTACTAGAGCTTCAGCCTCGCTGGTTTGGGAGTGTCACTCTCTTTTGTTCGAGTCCCCCGCTGCCTGCAAATGTTCGTGGGATTTCGTTAATTTGCCCCGCACTATGACTTACTTTCCTTCCCTTTCTAGGTCCTGATACGGGCTACCGCATACCTTCCCAACTTAAAACGCCTATCACTACCATCATCCGTACTTTCCCCTGAACAGCACACCTGCCTTCGCCTTAGGTCTCTTTGGAAAGTTACGCCCTCGAAATCTCTACCAGCACTATTCAATGAAGCTCTGCTTCGTAAGCGCACCGAAATCCTACAGCTTGTTCAATCAGCCGAGCTTGACACCATCAAGGAAATTGCACAGCACGCGCCAGGAATAAGATCAGTTTGTTTTCTCAGAGTTGCACAACCACATGAGATTCGGGAGCACAGCATATCCTATCTCGTGCGAACATCTTCCGCTTCGCCAGGGCGCCATACTGAGGACAAACGCCGTGGCAAACTGTCCGTTCGTGTCGAAGACATCGAAGTTGTGTCACCGAACGATCTCTATTTCCATCAGCGGCGGATCAAGCATACCCTGAGGATGCCAACGGTGGCGTTGCCTATGTTGCCACTGGGTATTCCATCACCCGATCTCAGGGCTTCTGCCATCTCCACTGACCAAGATGACTGAGAATAGAATAATTCGAGAGCCAGCTGACTCCAACTCAAGACCAGAAGACTTGCTCATTCAGTCTCAATCCACCGGAATCATCACTCTCAAGCATAGTTCGACAAGGTGGTCTCCACGTTACCTCATTACCCATTCTTTATTGGCTATTTCATTAGACCTTCCACTTAATGCGCATGCAACACGCTCGTTTCTCTTGACTGTCGTATTTTACTATACCTCGGACCATTCCATTGTCTTTTATCGTCCTCTCCTTATACCCTTTTGTAGTATGGAAATCCATGAATACTGTATCCATTTTTACGTTGTTTTGTACCTGCTCAGTGGTTTGCTTCATCGAAATATTAGTATTCCAGGACTTCGGATTCATTTCTCCACTTGAACAAGGGGCGTGCTCCCGGTGATTCATCCCCATACATCAAGCGAGTGAGGAGGTGCCAATCTTGACGCTACGGATCACGTCGAAGCCAGGGACGCAGGGATGAAGATCTGCTTGGATTGACCACATCCGAAATAGGGCATTGAAGCGGAAGGCGCAACATTACGCCGGGAAGGACGCGGCCAACGATCCATCACTGACACTGACATACGTGGTGACATGCTGTAGGTTAGAGTTGGCTTGAAGAGAGGCAGCCGATCAAATCAAATCGGAATGATGCGCTGGGTCGGAAAAGGCCGGCCCGCAGCGGCCACTGGTCACCGATCGCGACACAACTGATGCTGGGAAAGAAGCTATGCAGAACGACACGAGCTTAACAAGAGTACTTGGTTTATCTCAGCATACAGAGACGCGGACCGTAAACTCAGTACGCATCATCATCGCGGCGTTTAACTTTTCATCGTGAGTAGCCGGGCCCAATAATCGTTATGAGCTAACTCTGCGGCTACGCCCGACAACGACAAGGATTTATCCCCATTAGTAGATACTACGTAGTCGAGTTTATGGTACAGCTGGGCTATTGAAAATGCGAAGGAAAAGGGGGGATATGTGATGATGAGGCGGCGGTGTTAAAGGCTGCATGTCATCATTCCTTCACAATAAGTAGATGCTAAGTCTTAGGCTACCCATTATATATGAATGGCATCGATACAGTAAGTTGATCAGTCTGAGTTCTCCCTGGCTAGGCAACCTTACTGCGCTGAACAAAAATAAAGGTAAAGGGGACAATGTGGACATGTCTGCAGCCCCTTTCCCGTTCTCAGCTTCTGCACAGTAATGCTGTCGGATAGACCGATCATGACGGCAGCCAGTGCCCATAATATTCGGTCCCAATCGTTCGGTCCCAACCCGTACGTATTAGGGCGGCTTTGTCATTGTCCTGTCATATATTCCTCGTTCAAGTTATTAGCCTTTACGAACTATTTGGAATAATGATCGTCATCCGGTTTGGTCACCCACAGCGTGAGATCCCCGCGGGAGCCATGGTATCAACGTTACCTTACACCGCTAATTTGCTATGGAATGGGCAGTGCGATAAAAACTGTATGATCTTAAAACTCATAGTAAACTAGAACAGGGGCTCTGTGGTTTTAGTACCCGTGCTCATGCGGCCATCCACTGTTGACACTCGTGCAATGTAATGAAGAGTTGTGAGGTCAGGAGAATATCGACGTGGTCGTCATTCTCCAAAATGGTCCCTTTCTACCACTCCTGGGCGCATCCGGAACAGCTCTTGTCCAACATTTATGTCGTTGGAAGCCCTCAGACCTCGAATGAGGTGCTTGTATGAACTGGGCGGACTTGAGTTGAAGCAGATATCCTTTCAGTCTCCAAAATCTGAGCCTCGAACTCCCCCTCCTCGATATTAGCCGCAATGCGACCGGCCCCTCATTCCCCTAGATGTAACAATGCTATTCACCATAGCCCGGAATCCAAAGCCCGCGCCTCCAAGCTATGAGTTGTCCCGGGAGATGAGCCTAAATTAACAGAGGCTTCTGGAGGGATAGATCCGGCTAGCAATGTTTTTACTACCTTTTGGCGTTTTCACTACTTGGGAAAATTCAGGACCCCTGTATAATGGGATCAACCACCCAAAGCACCGACAAAGGTACAGACCTTTTCGGAATCAACACCGCAAGTTCCAGCCTAGCAACATATCATTACTGTAATAGCATCCCAGTCTTAGCACACAGCCTAACGCAACGAATCAGCATTCCCTCGGAGCTTTGTGGCGATCCATCGCTCACAGCAGTAAACTACGGGATAAGGCAAGCCTGAACCCTTTCTAGAATTTCACCAAAGAGGGAGAATGCAACCAGTTATTTGCTAACAAATTCATGAGAACGCGCCGTAATCCACCCGGCCCTTTCGACTCCAAAGAACCAACGATATGATAAATGATATAGTGATTCGGTTGGGATAGAACAAAATGATCACCTCTCTAAAATCTATGTCTATCGTCCATCCCAGCATATTCTTCCGGCTGCACGGGCCAGCGGGGGCTTCTCGCTTCTCGAATGCACTCCATCCAGGAACCTTCCACTAGGGGAAAGACATCAGTGGCTGCACGGATTCTATCCATACAATGGGTCTCCCAACTTGATTCTCAACCTCCAGAAGATCAACGCTACGAGATCTTTCAACATTAAGTTTTAATTTCCCCATCTCACATGAAATGTAGCACTGCATACACTTGACGGAGCTCAGAACCGGAGTGGGGGTTTCCATCCAGTTTAGAAGATTGCAAGCTATGGCTAACAGTTTCAATCGGGGCGCCGGTACCGCATGCTTAAAGATACGGCCGTTGAAAGGCCGGAAGACCCGTCTCGTACAACGATTCAACGGCCGCCGACATCTAATGCGGAATCACAAATAAGCAGAATTTGCCAAACGGGAACCTTTCGGGTCTGCTTATACCGTGTAACGGAGTCCTGATTCCATTCCCACGATGTGTGGCCGGATAAGTACGTGCGGTGGAGATATGCTGCGAGATTAATTTCATCTAGCGTGAGTACTAATCACAGCTTACGAATTGAGTGACTCACTTCGCTATGAATTCCCTTGTGACTCGTCAGCCAGGTGTCTCAGTACTCCGCTGAAGACGGAGAAACTGGAGATAAATCCTTCGATCATAGCGATCATAGTCCGCCGTTCCTGGGTACCGTAGGCAAACAAAAGTGCGAGTGGTCTTGGCCCAAGCGCCAAGATTGGCACCACTAAAAGATATACAGGATCGAGGTGATAGACACTTACGTTGAGCAGCAATGCCTACCAGCTGAGCTGAGCACATCCTTTGGTATCATAGTGAAAACAACTAGGTACATTTGCACATCAAGAGTGGTGGGGAGGACACAGCTAAAATTTTCGCATTTTCTGATGAGAGCGGAATGTCACCAATATCCTCATCCAACGATGATGCCAACAAAGATGGCGAGGGAGGCTGACACTTGGAGCGGTGCGCTTGGTAGTCGATTAAGTGGCTATGGACCGAATGCGGGAATTCGGTTCTCGCGATCCTCTTGAAGCATCTCTTTAAGAATTTGGTCTGATGGCTCGTAATCTGAGAGATGTCCGGCAAACAATGCATTGAGCTCATATCCAGCTAAGTTCAAAACGGAAGTTTGATCCACGCCTAGGGATTCCTTGATGATTTCGACGGCCCCCCGGCACATGAACGGTTAAGGGTCGGCTTCGCCATGGTGATCCGTTCGTATGCGGAGGCTGTATCGAGCGAAAGTCTCTAGCTAAAGATTGTATGAGAATTCCGCAGGACGCGCCATGAGGGTTATGGCCACTCACAAGCTGCTGTGTCCGATCTCGGGTTTCGTCCTCTTTTTTGGGATAAGCATGAAGTTCGGATCTCGGCATCAAGACGGGAGAGAGATCACTTTGTCCCCCATAACTGCGTTTCATACGAAACAGTGGATCGTTCATCGTGCGTCTGCGCATCAGAGCGGAGACTGATAAATACGCTGAGCGTACAGGAAATTCCTTGATAGGGGAGAAGGACTCCCAGGGCTTGTCACCCAGCAGCCACACGCTAGAGAATATCTGACCTTCCCAATAAATAAACATGTGGCGAACGGCTAACTTGCAAAAAAAAAAAAAAAGATCGGAAGCTCATCGAAATAAAACATAGAACCAACCATGTTCCACGGTAATGGGAACTCCAACGTAGAATCTTACATTGAAGGAACCATCCAACACAAGCGGCTGGCGAATGTACTGCGATTCCAGAACAAGAGGGATAGTGAGATATTTTTTGTCCACTTGCGTTCGCTCTGGGTCTCCACTTGCCGAGCGCATTGAGCACAACCATCGCTTCTCCCTTGCTAAACGGTATTCTACGGGGGAGTGCATTGGTCCTGAAAACCACTCACGATTGGTGGACACAAAAGGCAACCTGTCTTGACAGTACTGCTGCCTACGTACAGGATTCAAGGCAATCGTTGCACAGATATAAATGAAGTAGTGGCAAACTTACAAGTGTTCTGAATCCATTGGGTGAAGGGGTCAACGACTTGAAGGGCGCATTTAAGTCCACGGTAACATACCGCGTGTCTTGTCAATTAGGGAAATCAAGACTTGTTTGCAATTAAAAACAGATTTGGCCAGAGAAGCAGTGCGGACCCAGTCCCTGTCATGCTCGGGGTGATGAGGTATATTCGGACTGTCATAAAGCGGTTGATCATAAGAGGCATCTCCGATAGGAGATGTATCGCGATAATGCTTTTAATCGTTCGGATTCACAGTGACTCGTCGGTGCAGGTAAGTTATGCTTTGTTTTGCAAGATGGAAATTGGATCTAGGAGTTCTTCGGCTTCAGGTCCGCCCGATTGATGGAGCAGCATCGGCAGGTGAGTAGACTTTCACCGACGTCCTAATGCTGGGCGCCTCGCAATGGGTCGCAACAATACTCCCGTTTCGGGAAGTGAGGTCCGACGCGATAGGAAGCTCGTGCTGGGAGATGGGTAATTCAGTATTGACAAAACAAGTCAATTGAACCATCCAAATGGTAAAGTTGGGGTCCATACTTCTAGGGCCTTGGGCCAAAAAGAAAGGGGCCACATCGAGGCCATAACCCATCGAAGCGCTGAGAGAGATCGAGGTGACGAGTCATTGCTAACTTGTCCGCCAGTTTGGTTTCTGGCTGATTCGCTTGGATAGATTAATCAAGACATGGATGGTTCGTCTGCTGTACATGCAGCACACTCGTGGCAACAGATTGGTGATGTTGGAGTATTCTGATCCGAAGCTGGGAGGCGCGTCGCTTGGGATTGGAGGTACTCTGGAGGGATCCTAGACAAGATGAACCGAAACACTGAGAGCGCTCGTTGTCGTCGACGTTGAGAAGACGATTGGAGTTGCTGGTGCCTTATTTCTGGCTATTCTTGAGGGCTGTATCATCCAATCAACACCAAGAGGGAAAAGCCCTGCGGAACTTTGCGACTCCCCAAATGAATCTCATTCATTACATCATCGTTGCAGAGTTGATCCGAGGAATCCAGATTGGCTCGCCACGGATACAAGCTGTGCAAGGAATGTTCAATGTTGACATGCAAGAATATGTCACGTAAAGACAGGCTCGGGACTTTTAGCCCGCAGCGCTATTTAGCAGGGCCATTTCCACCCGATATCCATAATGTTCTTGAACAGCACCAAATAATCCAAGAACTTTGCTCCATCGTTGTGGTGGTGGAAGGGGGCATGAACTTGGTGGAACATAGCGAACGACGGAAGGAACACACATGGTTTTTCATCCCCGCAATCCCAGATTTTTGGTGTTGCGTGGACTGCTTGAGTCATGAACAACTTCCCCCGAAACAAACACTAGTATGCAGCGGCTAGCTCCCAATACTCTTGGGTATCCGCCCCTGAAGTAAGGAAACAACATAACGGATCCTATTCGGGAGCAGGAAAATCAACAAGGTGCTCCAAGTTTCGGGGAGGCTCCATTGAAGCGACGTAAGGGGACCAGGACATGGCTGACTCAAATTAGGAAGAATCAAGTTGAGTTTATGCATATCGGGTCCCGACTTCTCTGCTTCTGGGAGCCTTTCCGTGGGTCCCAAGGTCGACTGGTAAGCTCACGTGAAAGGAGTGATTCAGCGAGTCGCTAATGTACAGATAACATCGCGCCTTTAAATGGGCTTCTGTTGTCGGTCGTGCACAGCGTTTGAGCAAGGAATACCAAGATGGTCCTACCGTCACTGTGAACTCTCCCACATCCCGAGTAGAAGTAGAAAAGCCAGTCTTTGGACTAGTAGGCGTGACGACTACGGCTCATTTACGGCCGGACCATGGAAGGGCGAGAACTTGAAGATGCCGTGCAGCCTGTCACTGGCAACAAAATTTACTGAAGCTGCATCAGCTCAGGAATCGAGACCATTGAGTCTCAAAAGAAGGCCGTGAATGCCGGAAGCGAATCAACACACCCCCAACACGTTTAGGGGTCAGCGCACGGTAGAATGGAAGGCAGCCCCAACAGAGCGGGTTAAGTGTGCACGGCTCCCCCTCGCACTGAGAAAATCGGCCGAAAAACTGATTGCGATGGCTACCATACAGATAATATCTGGCCGTTGATCGGCTCTCGAGGGGGGTTGCGGTTCGCAAGTACAAGTGACACACAAGCGGTAACTGAGCTGCCGCAACATGTCGACGTAACGGGAGAACGTGACCACTTCGTGTCACACGGGGAGTTTGATTTGTTTGTGGCTTGCAGACAGCGCTTGTCAGTGTTCTCTAGCTCGCTCACCCCCTATCTAGTCCGTGGAGGTTACTCATGTCGCGGCGCATGAAGCCTCGTCCCTCTGATGGGGGCTTGAGGCCCGACCACATTCCAGTGCGAGATGACGATGACGACGAGCATCTACACTCATCACACTACCGAGACTCATTCGAAAACCTTCCATCACGACAAGCCCCTGCCCAGAGATTAGACGGGTCACCTCAGAACAATGCGCAATATGCTCCCGTCTACAACGACGAGGATATCTACGACGATGGTGATGATGATGATGATGCTGATTTCTATGGGGATCCCAACACACCTCCCCGACCAAATGTGCTACTTCCACAACAACATCCCCAACAGCTCTATACGCCTGCTCCTATCAATGCCTCTCAAGCCGGCCCCCAGCAGAATCATCTCCAACGGACGCCTTCTCCGCCCCCACTCTTAGACCATTCTCACTTGCAACCCGGCGATAACGCTTCACTCCTCTCCTACGAGCGAACTTTGGCCTTATACCGTGAAAACGCGAAGAAGACTAACCTTCCTGGCACTCAGTACGAATTCGCCGTATTTATGTTAGACGCCGTGAAGAGTTTGCCCATCCCGACCCTTAAAACGGCAAATCAAATCGAGATTGAGAAAGTCACAGAGAAACGAGATGATATGATACGCGAAGCAACTTTACTCTTGAAAAGGCTCGCAGATCGTGGACATTCGGAGTCTCAGTACTTCCTAGCTGACTGCTACTCGAACGGGATTGGCACTGTGAAGGGGCGACAAGATTTTGATCGTGCATTCCCTCTATTCGTTCTTGCCGCCAAGCACGGTCATCCTGATGCTGCCTACCGGGCTGGTACGTGTTGCGAGAATGGTTGGGGGTGCCGACGCGAATCTAGCAAGGCCGTTCAATTCTACAAGAAGAGTGCGGCGGCGTTGCACCCAGGTGCAATGTATCGACTCGGAATCGCGGAACTCAATGGTGAATTAGGGTTGACCAAGAGCCCTAAGGAAGGTGTGAAGTGGTTAATGCGTTCTGCTGAGCACGCTACGGCCGAATTCCCACATGCGTTACACGAGTTAGCGCTACTTCATGAACGGGGCGTAGAGAACGTGGTATTTGTGGACTTTGAGTATTCTGTGGAGCTTCTCGCACAGGCTGCTGAGCTGGGGTATGCACCGAGTGCATACAGGCTGGGTGAGTGTTATGAATACGGCAAACTTGGTTGCCCCCAGGACCCTGCATTGTCAATCCATTACTATGTACGTCTTTGACATGTTCATACACTGTTAATCGGCGTGCGCGTACTGACGTGCACCTTTACAGAATATTGCTGCGCAGCAGAATCATCGTGATGCATGCTTCGCATTAACCGCCTGGTATCTTGTCGGCTCGCCAGGCGTCCTACCTCAATCCGACACGGAAGCTTACTTATGGGCCAAGAAGGCGGCTGAGCAAGGCCTCACTAAAGCTCAATATGCCATTGGGTACTTTACAGAGGTCTGTCTCTCACCATTGCAAAATGATTCCAACACAACCTTAAACTGCGTTGCGCGTCTTAGGTTGGTGTTGGCGTCACTCCTTCCCCACCAGAGTAAGGCTTGATTGGAATTACGGCATGATCGGCTAACTGATAACGTTTAATTTTCAGAGCCGTGCAGTGGTATAAGAAGGCTGCAGAGGCTGGCGACAAACGTGCGATACAACGGTTACGTAACTCAGGTAGTTCACAACCAGGCAGGCCTTCGGGTCGCACGGTGCCTGATGGTACGGAAGATCCTGAGGACCGGGCATCACCTGAACCGCCTGTGAAGAATAAGGACAAAGATTGTATTATCATGTAGGACATTCAGCTCCTTTCAGGAGCAAGTTACCCTGTCATTTCTCGTGGACGTTTTTTTCTACTGTTTCTTCGCCAGAGCGATGCATAACTATTACCTAATGTATTCACCAGCACATATTGCTGCCTCTTTGATGGACCATTTTTGCATCGTGTAAACTGTAGTGAAACCGCTTCCGGATAAGACACAACAAGACAAATAAATTCGGCCAACTCCGCTATAATACAAACCATCCTCGGATAAAACCCCCGAAGGAGCACGCGCTGGAAAGTGTTTTCCGAATCAAGATTAACATTTCAATTTGCCTGCGCTCTGGTTGACCTGGTGCTGGCGTTCAACGGCGAATGTCATCACTTCAGCTATTATCATAGAGGCTGGTCAGGCCCAGGTACGGAAAAATAGCACGTTCTTGATTGTAATAAAATGAATTCAACTATCAAATACATCTTCACGGGGAAACTGTTTGCCAGTTTGGCTTCGTCCTATTTCTGAACCGCCGGGATCGCGGAAGCCTCGGGACGTAACATGCTGAAGCAGGTCTTCCCATGTAAATGATCATATATATGGTGTCCTGATAGATGGGTCTCCCAAGCCCCTCCGACGCATAGTCCCATCTCACCGCGCTGCCCGCGATCTCTAGCCAGTGAACGAGAACTGGGGGAGTTCATGCCACTCTTAGGCCCACACGATAAGCTTGTCTATCCGCGGCGCCACTTCTTCCTGGCAGCCTTCCGGCACAATTTGATCTGGGGTACATGCATAGCTTTCTTATCCGAGCTGTTTATTCCCGCCGAACGTTTCTTATTGGTTAATGTTGGTGGCGGCGTTTGTGGCTTGCGCCTTCATTCCGGTTTCCGCTAGCGCGCCACCCGTGTCAGACATGCTTGAGCTCGCAGGGTAAGGAACAGTGAACATCCTCCAACGGTTTCTAGAACCCTCCGCCACTGCACGCTATGGCTAGCAGATGCCCAAAGGACGATCCACGCAATCCTGACGACTTTTGCCTTGAGACAAACTTTCCTCTCCACGTTGGCGTTCTTGTGAGCAACTTCTCGACCGCCCGGAATTTACTGTCTGATATCCCTCAAAGTTGATCTCGGTAGTTGGCCTACTGTCGTTCGTTTTGGCGGCCTCGCTCCTCGCTTACGCACTGGTGCCCTTTCGTCCGTTCTGATTCATTGAGCGATACTTCATTTGTATCTTAGCGACATGCGTACAAGAAGTAGCGCAAGTGCATTCGTATATCAATCTTCGACGATCGAGTTGGGCTCCAGCCTGCCGGTACCGGTATTATTTCTGTGTGCCATTTTCTTAGACACGGTGCAGGACCAGGGGGTGATTAAACAAATCGGGAATGATGGTGTCGGTATGCATTCGATCATCTGATTTTCGGCCTCGATATCGCGCTCTTAGTACTGTCCTCAGCTTGGTTCACCATCGCGATTGCACTGTTAACATTCTTCCAGGTCATCTATCAAAACCGGTTTGCTGCTATTCACCTTCCATATTATGGGCGATACAGGTAGGTCACTTGTGCCACATCCCATCCCATCTCGCATTCTAGGATGTGATGTTAGATTGTTACGAGAGGAAGTAATGGGATACTGCGAATCGGTGCACAGGGACTGCGTAAGCGCTGCGCTTAGTAGTGTTGAGACTTAGGTTTTTGAGGAAGTGATATATGCGCATCCTGGCAGCCGAGCAGCCACGATACCAAACTCGGACCAATATTTTGAGCGAAATAGAGGTGTATTTGCAGCAAAACAATCTTCCAGGAAGCCAAGTACGATAATTCACCGCCGAGGGATATATATAATACGGAAAATGCTGCTGTCCACTCCAAATCTATTGTCACTCTTGACTTCTGAATCAGAACGGAACGGAGGAGTTCGAAGGTGGTGTCGCTTAGCTAGTGAACGCTCATTATGTGAACAAGCGGGGCTCTTGGATTGCTGGACCATATTGTCAACAACCCAATCTAGAGTGCGCTTGTGCCCACGCGTCCAACAACTGCACTCGCGCACGTACGTACTACTAGAAAAGAAAGAAGTTTATGGCTAACACAGCGAGAGCGAGTGTACAATACCCTGAGGATGGCGGTGCGTTCACCTCATGGAGCTCGATTTCGGAAGACTGGATTGATCCACACAGCTTCAAGGTGTGCCAATGATGCGCGAATGAGATCATGGTAGGGACGCATGCACCGCCGGCGCCGACGGGAGCCTTCGCCCCGCTAAGGAAAGAGTAGACCAGGACGTGCAAGTTACCGACAGCAACGGAGAGGGTCCAGAAAAGCGGTAGGTCGACAAATTAGGCAGTTTGAGTTGGTGAATCTCATAAATCGCGAACCCTTGAAATGTGAGTAGCTATTCTTAGGAAACTGCGTCCTCAAGCCTCACATCCCTCCCTTGGTCCGCTCACCCAACAAACTACACCACATGGCTAGCAAATGCTCAAACCCCGATCCTGGGAATCCTGATGAATTCTGTTTTCAGAGCAGCTTTCCTCTCCGCGCTGGTATTCTTGTGAGATTTTCCTCCTAAGTGAGCGTTCGATCAATGGCTGCTGTCTAACATCCTTTGAAGTTCCTCTCACAAATTGGCCTAGTGTCATTCGCCCTGGCAGCCTCGCTTCTCATTTACTCTATGGTGAGACTTAGTCCTCCGAGCGCCCGTCCCGGACATTGAGTCATAGTTTTTGTGCACCCTGTAGAGACAAGCACAAAAAAGGTATCGCAGGGGCTTTGAATATGAACCCGAGCCCATATCTGTGTTGTTTCTGTTCGCCATCTCTCTAGACGCGATGTGAGTCTTATCTTATCAACGACAGTTCACAGACCCACACTCACCAGGTCGCCGTAGTCAAGGTATTTCAAATGTTATGTCCGTCAAGTGGGCATTCGAGGGTGAAGTCACCGAAGGATCGTACTGCACGGCGCAAGCAGTGATGAAACAAATTGGCAATGACGGCGTTGGTGCGTAGTCGACCTCTAAACCGACATCAAGTCCGGCCCTCAAAGTCACTTGTCCTCAGCGTGGTTCACCATCGCAATCGCGGTGTTGACCTACCTCCGCGTTTTCCACCCCGGTTTTCTGAGGGAGCGAGGCGAGAAGATATTTATGACAGCATCAATTAGCTTCGTCGCCTTATTCATCTTTATCATGGTGTTGATTCCTGCTGCCACCCTCTATCCATATTATGGCGACACTGGGTAAGAAGGACCTATGCCTCATTCAGTTATATTATCTAATCCTGTATTCAGATTGTGGTGTTGGATTGTCAAGAGGAAGGAAAATTCGCGACTCCGAATCGGTACATAGGTACCCACACAAGTATTGCGTCCTCTAATATTGAAATTTGGTTTTGCAGCAAGTGAATATGCTTGGATGTGGCTTGCCGTCTTAGTGGCAATAGCCGCATATGGCGCAATTGCATACAGATTGCTGCGCCATAGTGACCTCTATATTCGCCCCCTTATGAGGCGGAGTGCCATTGCTATGGGATGGTATCCCATTGGTACGTATGATCGCCCCGCACAGTCAACCCAGATGCTCACTTTTCCTGTATTAGTTTATTTTGTAGTGGTTACACCTCAATCCATAGTTCGTTTCCTTCAATTCCAGGCTAACCAGACACACCATGGATGGATGATCTTTACTTCCGCTATCTTTTCCTCGGGTGGTACCTTCAACGTCGTTCTGTGGCTCTGGACAGGTAGACGCTTTGGGTTTAGCTCACAAGACCACGAGGTGTCTAGTCTCGGAGACGTTGAGCTGGACCCAGCGTGATACGCTTGAGTTCGTGATCAATACGTGAACTGTATATTAATATGATTATTTACCTAGCGTGATACATGTAACTTGTGATCTCGATCTCATGAATCTTAATGTGAGTGCACTTGTGGGTCATGTTCGATTGTAAACATTAGGCTTGTCTTGTAATTCTTGTTCGATGTGGAGATATCGATAAGCGCTGCATGCAGTGACAGCTCGCGTTTGGTGTTGCTGTTGCGGCTTCATTTTCCATTCTTGGTTTCTTCGCTACCGCCATGCTTGTGCGTTATTCAAAGCGAATTTTTGGTCTTACGACTTCCCTTTGAGCAAAAGCACTGTACATACACAGCTATCCAAAATGTGCGAAAAATGGTAACCAAGATGGGGTCTGGTATAGATTAAGTGGGGGAGAACGCAAGGATGTGAAGGTAAGAACAAACAAGATAACCCGCGCGGCGACGTAAACAGGTAAAATAAGTGGTGCTGTCCACCATGGCGAGCAAAACTCGAAGCCGCGGAGGACAGTATTACGCCCTTCGCCCAACACTACAAAGACAGGAGCAACTGTGATATATATCGCTGAAACTCGCCACAAAACTATTTCCGTGCGTGTCGGAAAGGGAAACGACCATGCAAGACAATGGATTCCCCCAAAGATCATCCCAGTGGCTGCCATTATGAACAAAAATTCCAGCTTAGACATGGGGGATATCGGATCTGCGTCAAGCTCCGTTTTAGGTGATGGTTGATCGACATGTATTTCGGAAGTTGGAGGAACGGAAGGGGACTCTGGCATCACATCGATTGGGAGCTGAACGTTAACGGGTTTATGCCACCACAACACGTAAACGAAAAGACTTAATGCCGCATACGCCAGCGTCATTGTCTCGAGTTGCGATCTGTGCAAATGGCGCGTCCATCGTCCGATATATTGAGTGACAAACCATAGTAGTTGAACAACAACGATAAATTTGGAAAACGCATCGACTTTGCTTCTGTCAAGAATTTTCTTCTTTGTTATTGTGGCATTTTTAATTATGCCGGGGTATCGCTGCAAGTCGTTCGGGTCCACCGGTCTTCTTTTTGACGAGTCGAAGAAACCCCCCATGACGACAAAGTATGAATGCGTCGGGGTCCATCCTTGTGACAAGTACATGTCAGTGCCTCCCTTGCTGACTTGTGCATTTCCTCTCAAATTCAGGACACACCTCCAACCATCTTGCATTTCTTTGATATTCTCCAAGACATCAAAAATTGGCGCCATGCAAACGCCAGAATGGCTTCCGGTAAAAACAGTGAAGCCACTGCCAGGCCAACGCGCGATGCAAGTGACCAGATACCATCATCAGGTTCTGGAACATCTGGGTGCACTGCCGTCCAAATGCAAGCAAACACGGTAAGGAGACAGCTATAGACGATGCCTGACATGGTTCGGCAATTCCGGAGATCGTTGCAACCATCAGATACATTTTGCACGAAACAAGTCATATTGTGAGGGGGGATGGGTGCTGAATAAACATTGTGGGCAAGAAGGACGTTGATAAGAGCGGTTGCCATCGGATCCGGTCGAGTGCAGGCACTATCGAGGAAAAGCAAGCTACGTTGGCAAAAAAGACCTTGCGGTATTTACGTACTCCCACACATTGAGTTCTCAATGAGGAAAACGCAGCACTTCCTGTCAACAACATATCAACAAAGGAGTAGGAGCCTGTCAGAGTCAGCGTTGAGGTGGATTGAGTCTCAAGGTCATTGCACGTGTCCTTCATTCATGAGGGATGTTGAATCTGCGTGAGCGTGAGTTATAGGTTTGTTGAATCTCGAAATGGCATACCGCTTCTAGCGAGATGGACAGGTAGCAACGAACCGATTATGAAATTGGAATGGCGTAGGGAATGTTGGGCCGTACCAGACTCAGAACTATTGTCTTTCCCCAAATCCCCCCTTCGAGTTGCCTACTTAAATGCAGACCAACTTTTAAGTACCTGCTCGCATGGGCAGCCCTACGATGAAATGAGGGCATGACATTGTTGGACATTGTTTGTATTCAACAAGGGCGAGTAAATTTGCAAATAGCTGACAATGCCTCCTAATCCATAAAAAGAACGCTGGCAGCGCAACGACTTTTCCCCGATATTTCATTTTTCGCAGTAAGTACACGATAGCTAAAATGAAAACAAACCATTCCGTGACAAGGCCACCTAAACACGTGAAGGAGCACGTGCTGGAATGTTTTTGACAAGATCATTTTGCTTCCGCTCTGGTCGGGCGACATACCGACATACCGACAACCACAACCCTAGAGCACTAACCTGAATTTACTCTATACTGGTGTTCGACGTAGCACTAAGCGACAACTATGATAATAGAGACTGGTCACCTGTTTACGCTTCAGCTGTGATCCTACCAGTTTCTGGTTTGGGGAGTGAGGCCTGGTACGGAAAAAATAGCTCAACTGCGTTAAGGTTCTCGATTATACATAATACAGTAATAACGGGACCATCTTATGTAACTGTTTGCCGTTTGACTTCGTTCTATTTCTTGATCTGAACCGCCGGGATCGCGGAAGCCTCGGCATATCTATCATGCATGGACAGCCATCATTGACCTGCTTACGTCGGTCTCCCCAAGTCCCATCCGACGCATAGTCCCATCTCGCTGCGCTGCCCGCTATGAAGGCGTCTCCAAGTTCAACGCGTCCGGGGTTGGGCGTTGACGCGATGGTGGATATGGGGTTGGTTAAGAACCCCTAAGAGAGGAGTTTGAACAGGGTGTTTAGCGCTGGAGGGACGATTCTCCAGCCACTCAAGCGCGTCATGATACGTCCGAAGAACCAAGATACTTGTCCCCTAGCTCCACAGAGCCTGAGCCTCGCGATGTGCATGCCAAATCACTGCGTCGAGGTATTTGCTCGCGGAGATCAACCATCGTTCGTAATTATCTGCAACTATGTGCAACTCGAGGTTGCTTGCATTTGCATTCCTCGTCCTCTGTCTCTTCGTCACTTCTTGTATCAAATCGGTATCCCCTCGGAACCCGAGGCGGAATCTGACTGGGAAAGAGGTATAAGCCATCAAGCCAACACATCGCGAGTTGTCAAAGTCGCGCCTATGTGAATCTGAGATAGGACCTATATAGGGCACAATTATGCATCTGGAATGTCCTTAAAGCGTGAGTAACGCGTGGAGAGAAGCCAGCAGAGCATGCACAAGCGCGGTTCTCACAAAGAGAGAGAGCGCGCGCGCGCGTGGATTTCGCGCGTGTGAACCTGGATCGGCGCAACTTCTGGACTGGATTTGAGCTTGCAAGGATAAGGAAACAGCGAACTCCTTCCAATAGTTTCTGGAATCCCTTTCCTCCTTTCCCCCTCCCCAGTGCACGCTATGGCTAGCAAATGCTCAAAGTACGATCCACGCAATCCTGACGACTTCTGCTTTAAGACAAACTTTCCTCTCCGCGTTGGCATTCTTGTGGGTGGGCAATTTCTTGACTGCCGGGAGTTTACTGTCTGATATATCTCTCGGAAGTCGATCTCGTCAGTTGGTCTACTGTCATTCGTTTCGGCAGCCTCGCTCCTCATTTACTCACTGGTGAAGCCGCCCTTTCGTCTATTCTGATCCATTGAGTGATACTTTCAATTCGTGTTCTAGCGATATGCGTACAAGAAGTATCGCATGTGTAGAGGCATTCGTATGTCAATCTTCGACGATCGAGTTGGACTCCAGCCTGTATCGGTGCTATTTCTGTGGGCCATTTTCTTAGACATGATGTGGGTCTAAAGCTTAATCGCTGAAAGGTGTTAGCTTGCCAATTGACACTACACTGGGTTTGCTATAGTCAAGGGGCATCGAATATTTTGTCCATCAGGTGGGCTTTCTTGGGCGAGGTTGTCGAGGATGAGTACTGTACGGCCCAGGCTGTGATGAAGCAGATCGGGAATGATGGTGTCGGTATGCACTCGATCCATCTGATCTCCAGCCGTCGATATCGTGACCTCTCAAAAGATGTACTTGTCCTTCAGCCTGGTTCACCATCGCGATTGCACTGTTGACATTCTTCCAAGCCATTTATCAAGACTGGTTTGGGATGCAATACGCAAAGATATTTGCAAGAGTGTCGATTTGCTTCATCGCCTTGTTCATCACTTTGATGGTGTCGATTCCTGCTTCTACTCACCATCCATATTATGGCAATACAGGGTGAGGATCAACTTTGTGCCACATCACATCATTTTATCTCATCCCGCCATTCTAGGATGTGGTGTTGGATTGTTAAGGGCGGGGGCAACGGAATACTGCGAATCGGTACACACAGGGACTGCGTAAGCGCTGCGCTTAGTAGTGTTGAAATTTAGGTTTTTTTTAGGAAGTGAATATGCCTGGATGTGGCTTGCCATCTTAGTCACGATGCTCACGTATGGCACGATTGCATACAAGTGGCAACGTCAGGCGTCTCTTAACTTCGACTACCCTGATATGAAGCGAAAGGCCATTGCTATGGGATGGTACCCTGTTGGTGAGTGCGCTCACCTTGTAAAAACCCTTGCCTCAGAAGATTCATGTTCGCCGTTCCAAGTTTATTTCATTGTCGTCACACCCCAATCCATCATTCGTTTCCATTAGTTCCAGGCATCTCGCCCGATAGGACATGGTTGGACGGTTCTGTCTTCTGTCATTTTTGCCTCAGGAGGAGCCCTCAATGCCCTTCTCTGGTTCCGGACTGGTAGACGTTTCGGATTCTCTCCAGATCGCCCACAGGAAGAGGAAGAAGGTGACGACACGAACGATTGGCATCGCACAGGTGCAACTTCCCAAAGCACTCTGCTATTAAATCCCATCCATCAGCTGCCATCCCAATACCTATCCGTAACCCCTGATCCCGATAGTGACCCCTCACACTCGGTACAGATGTGCTGAATCTTGGTAGAGGCCACGGCAAACCCCACATGTCATTTGGTTCATGGTTTGGATAAGCCCTCCGTTTGATTCCGAGCCAATCCAAACTCAGCGATAAGCTTTATCTTGCCACCGAAGTTGTCCAGGCCACATCTTGCGCGTAGGAATGAGGGACTGAAGCCGTGCTGATGACATGGGGCCATACGCTATTGGCTTCGATCTGTCAGATGAAATCTAGAAGGAATGTACATTACATAATTTGATGAAACAAATTAACTGAATTCGACCCCCGATCAGGGAGGTTCCCATAAAATCCAGAGCCGCGAAAGCCGCCAGCTCTCAGGTCGGTCTTGCCCAACTGCGCCTACTTGGGGCGCCAAACTGGCAGTTGAGTGGCCATGCTGTGCGATGGGGGGTGGTAAAACCAAAGCCCAAAGCATAGAAGGCAGTGAACGCCGCATCCCCGTGTCCCAAGAATAGATCCTGGCGGCCGAGTAACTGCAACGATACCAAAATTGGCCCAATAGAAATGTACATGATTGGAATCAAGGTGCACTTGCAGCAGAACAGTCTTCCAACAAGAGCTGGGTACGAAACTAGAATCATTGCTGTCGATGTTGAGGACAACGGGATCTGCGGATATACTGCGGAGAAAGCTTCTATCAAGTCCTACATGCACTCTCTTGGACTTCGACATTGATGGCATCATCGGAGATTGAATAAGCCCGGCTCTTGGATCGCCGGGACCATATTGTCAACAACGGCGCTTATGCCCGCGCGTCCAACGACTGCACGCAGGTACATCCCGTTTGTGAAATAACGAACTGCGAAAGAAAGCTAAAAGTCCATGGCCAACACAGCGAGTTGTGCCCTCAGGAGGATAGACGGATGGCGGTGCCTCGCCTTTATCAGGGATTGACAGGTGGGCAACACAGCCTCAAGGGTGACTAACGTTCCGCCAATGATGCGGCGAATGAGATTCGTAATAGGGATGTATGCACCCCTGGCGCCCGACGGGAAGCTTTCGCCCTGCTAAGGAAAGAGTAGACCAGGACGTGCGAGTTGTCGAATAGCAGAGACGGAGGAGAAGTCCGGTGGAGGTGCCTTGCTTCAATTGAAAAGAAGCCAGATGTCCTGCATTCATTGAAAGGAGTCAATTGCGCCAGCTGGTGAGAGGGATTTGTGCCGTGACCGCAAACGGGCAAGGAATAGGGTGGGTAGTTGGCCAATCCTAGCATTTGATAATCAATCCCTGAGAGTTGGAACGGCTATTGGACTTATAAACTACCTTCTACCAGCGAATTTCCTCCCTTGTTCTGCTCCTCCAGCACCCGGCACATCATGGCTACCAAATGCTTAAAGCGCGATCCTCGGAATCCTGATGAATTTTGTCTTGAGAAGAGCTTTCCTCTCCGCGCTGGTATTCTTGTGAGATTTGTTCTCCTGGCAGTCTCGGGCGCTTAGCTATTGTCTAACATCCTTTGAAGCTCATATCAGAAATTGGCCTAGTATCATTCACCCTGGCAGCCTCACTTCTCATCTACACTCTGGTGAGACTCTTATCTAGTTCTTGCGCCCGTTCCGGACATTGAACTTTCATACTTTACTGTTACACCCTGTAGAGAAAAGCATACAAATTGAAGTACAGACGCGCCGGGGATCCCGACTCAAAACTTCAACCCATATCGGTGTTGTTTCTGTGCGCCATCTTTTTAGATGTGATGTAAGTCTTATCTCATCGATGGCAGTCACAGACCCGCACTCACCAGGTTTGCTCTAGACAAGGTATATCAAATATCTTGTCCGTCAAGTGGGCATTCCAGGGCGAAATCACCGAAGGATCATACTGCACGGCGCAAGCAGTGATGAAACAACTCGGCAACGATGGTGTCGGTGCGTAGTCGACCTCTAATCCGATATCAAATCCTTCAACGGAATTTGTCCTTCAGCGTGGTTCACCATCGCAATCGCGGTGTTGACCTACCTTCAAGTCTTCCATAATGAGTTGTTGGGGGAGCGAGGCGCGAAGAAATTTATGGCAGTGTCGATTTTCGTAATCGCCCTCTTCCTCCTTCTGATGATATCGATTCCTGCTTCCTCACGCCATCCATATTATGGCGATACCGGGTGAGAATCACTTGTGTGCATTGTCCCACACACACATATATAGTATCTGATCCTGCATTCAGACTGTGGTGTTGGATTCTTAACGAGAGGCATAATGGCCCACTACGAATCGGTACATATGGCCCAATCCCAGTTGTCGTGCGTTCCAATACTGAACCTTGATTTTTTTTTTCAGCAAGTGAATATGCTTGGATGTGGTTTGCCGTCATAGTGGCGATAGTGGCATATGGCAGAATTGCATACAAATGGCGACGTGACGCGTCCAATAACTTTGATGACCCCGTTATGAAGCGGAATGCGATAGCTATGGGATGGTATCCTATCGGTACGTGTAATCGTCCTTGCACAGTCTGACCCTTTAGACTCATCTCTTTTTTTTTTTTTTTCCATATCAAAGTTTATTTCATAGTGGTTGCACCTCAATCCGTCATCCGTTTCCTCCAATTCCGGGCCTCGGGTCACCGACCAGGTCATGGTTGGACGATCCTCACTTCTGCCATCTTTTCCTCTAGTGGTGCCCTCAACGTCATTCTCTGGCTCTGGACAGGCAGGCGCTTCGGGTTCAAAGGAACTACTAGCCAGGAGGAGCCTACGTCCCCCAGAGACGTTGAGATGACCGCTTATCCAGCACCTCACGTCGGAGTGAATGCCAGTGGAGCATATCATCACACAGTTACAACTCCCACCTGAGTCCTAACCATGACCAGTAATAGCCATGAGCTCAGCGTTCGTGATCGACCCCACATCGCACGGGTGCATTGGCTCACCTGTTATGAGGTAGAGGTTAGAGGTAGATGCTGGTAGCCACTTCCTACCGGTAAATTTCGTATTTCTTGGTTACTATTTATGGATGGGTCCGCTGGATTGCTTTCTGTACTTAATAAATATTTACAATTTTATAATTCCTAGTGTACGAATAAATGACAGTACTTGTAATCTTGTGTGCAACTGTGATCACGCAACTACTAATCATGAGACTCAAATCATATCAGGCGATCGAGTTGTCAAAATTTGTTGATGCTTATTTGGCCCGAGCCGAGAACGGTATCGACGTCGAACGAAGGTTCAATACTGATTCATTACCGCTGGGGCCTATCAGTGCTGTTCTCGCTACCTGGGGGGGGACATAGGCTATTGTTAGTGCTCATGTCCCCGCACACTCTCTTACTTTGTCAGGACCGTATGCCCGTAGGAAGCACACACCTTGTGTGCCACCGAACACTGAACTTGACTAAAGAACCGCTCTCCTCACTTGGGCTGCCAAACATGCAGCGCCATCGGGATCCCCACGCTTTTGGAGCTTCTACTGTTCGGTTAGCTACCCACCGTATTCGCTTGCTAGCTGAGAGCCAGTCAAGATGTCATGGTAACAAGGGCAACATAATGATTAATTCTCGCGTTGACGAGGGAAACCAATTTCCTTGATGGACTTGTCATGTATGCAATGGTGAGAAGAGTCAGGATGCAGTCATCGGCTCGGCTGCGCTGGCTGTCAGACTAGGGGAACTTCAGGGTCATCATGGTCTCCCGATGAATATACCAATAGGCCTAGGTAGACCTCGCCGTCAGACCATGCCACGCATCCGAGTAGCACATCACGGCTGAGGAGCATCGCAACCTGTACAGTTACAGGTAAATTGTACCATGGGGGGTCGCTCCTTGGAATAAGCGACCCCCGCATTAGCGCTAGCCTCTTCCCGAAATCTCGTTTCACGCAATAGCCTCTCGTGCTTCATCCTATAATGTCGCAAACTTCACTCTATATGTCGCGAGTATCCGTAATTATTTTTTGCTACCACCTTGTGACACCACCCAGAGCGCCCCTGTCGCCCATTTTGGGACGCTCAATATAACGCCGAGCGACGGTTGTGATTGAACCAGTGGGTGTACCCCTGGCAACGAACCGAACGCGTTCTGGTTGAGCAATGGGTCACGGTAGGCCTTCAAGGGGTGGAATTCGGCTCCGGTAACAGGCCCAGGTGAGAGGGTTGTTGTAGTTTCGCAGAGGAGGTTTGCACTACATGGAGATACCCATTGCAGCGGGGCCTTTTGTATTGGGCCTGAGAGTATTTAAATCTCGTCCGCGTGGGCATCGGAAGATCTGGGTTTCTTCCTTCCAATTAAATCGCGCCACTACGTCCTCCTGCTCTCTGATAGTTCCTTCTACTTTACGATGTGTATGTGGTGCGTAGCAAGTACGACTGTCCGCTCACCACCGCACCTCGACGTACACTGAAAAGTCCATTCCAGCACAAAACTTACAGCGCCCCGAACTGATTTGGTCAGCACACTATCCTCTGCTGGACGAAAGGGATTGTTTTCTGCTGAGGGAAAGGGAGCTTCCAACAATTTCCAACCCTCCATTCACCTACGTACATGCGATGACAGCGCGAAGAAGCGATGGTTCCCGTTGGTCAATGCTCTTGTACGTGCTTTAGCGCTGGTAGCATGACGCTCAAATCCCCCCAACGTTGAGTTTTTTTGTGACCAGTTCTCCCGAGAATGACGCACAGTTGGAATCATTGGTATACGCATATCAAGCCGGTCGCAGGTATGTAGTTTTGGCCTGGCTATTACATCGACTTTCCGTGACGGATTCGCCAGTCCTCTTCGCGATCTCACCGTCCACGTCCACGTGTCCTTATTTGATCCCTATATCCCTCAACCCTCTTCCGCTGAGGACGCATGCTTCACAAGACACACCTCACCTCACTTTGTGAACATGTCGACTTCGGCCGAGAACTTGAGATATATCTACCCGAAAGGTGTCGTTCCATCGAATTACATGACCCGACTCCGAAAGCCATCCGACGTTTGGAAGGCTTTGAATCCTCTCCTCTGCCGGCCAGCGGAGATGCCAAAGCTTCTGATCTTGCGTGACTGCAAGGCTGATCCTACTTACGATGGACTTTATCCTCGAAACAAATGTCTTCACGGCGACCCCTTAACCTCAGGCACTTTTGATGTTGGCGCCGTAGATTATCGTGGACAGTAAGCGTCTACCGAATCGTCCAATCATTTTTTACCCGCCTCTCAATTGCATCTTTTCTCAGCTTTGATTTCTCTCACGGCGCATGGTTCTTTCGTCACCTCCCGAAAGGTGCTTCGCGCTCACAGAAACGGGAGAAAGCCGAGTGAAGGCTCCTGTGCAGACGTTACAGAAAGTCTGCCAGCCCCCGATTCTCCTGTGCTTCACCCACCGCACTGTACCACTTTACCTCCGCCACCGGTCGGTACTTTACAACTGATATTAGTTTTGTGGATTGATAGATAGGATCCGACGACCACTTGTCTCCCTCGTATACCCTTACTTTTCAGTAGTGCCTCTCCATACCTGCGCATCGTATGTAACCTACTATCTGACACGGACTTTGGTTTGGGACTGTTGTACGTCAGATCACTTTACACGGAGATTAATTTCGCCGAATACACACCTCTTTCCATTAGCCGACCCGTCTCGGGATAGACGGCCTGGATATACGCTGTCAGGGGGCCTCACGATTGGGCACGAACGTACTGCCAGAGAGAGCGAGAGTAGGACACCAGCAGAAGAGGTCCCGGGTCAGCGTCTATTAGTCAGTATCTAGCCTGGCATAAATATAGATAGGCGGGCCACTCTATATATTCAATGGCTGATGAATGTGCCCGATACTCTTTCCAGCCAGAGCTTAGACACGCCTTTACGGCAACAAAGAACCATTGAATCGCTAGCGCGCAGAAACATACGTACAACAAGCCGTCGTTATTGTAATGATAGGAATTACATATCATCGCGCGATCTTGCCATCAGTAGAACCAGCACAAAGTCGCTGCAATCAGTGGCTGAGGATCTTCCTGGTAGATTTCGGATGTTCTCGATCTCGCTCTGTGGGCTACTGGATAATAGTTGGTCCCATGCTTCGATCTTTTCAATGGCTTGAAGTCGTTGACTGTTAACTTGAGTCTATCCATTGGAGAATGCGTTTCTTTGCAACAGCACTGTCGCTTCGAAACCAGAGTTTCGGCATTTCCGATTGATCAGCCAGTCATTCACACAATCAACTTAGTAATCAAGTACGGGGATAGACAAATTTTTGCCACCTGATCAACTAGAGCTATCTAGGAAGTTTTTGTTTTCACCCCATCGCGTACGTATGGCATGTCTGTTGGAGCCTGCGGACCAATAGCATAGAGCCTCTACTACTAATTCAGCGCACATAATAATGTTCGTGTCCAATCAGCATCTCTAATCCTGCCCAGAGGATGCCACGTTCAATTTGGCGTCCATCCATGCGAAGTGGCTCTGTGGCCCCTCCGTCTAGACGTCGACCTGTCATGCCCTTAATTTCTTTCACTCCACATCAATCGCCCCATACTCCGTTTTCCTCACTGTTGAAACGTCTAGATTGCGAATCGTGGGAATCCGAGCTTTTTCGCGGACTTCGTGTTCGCCAATTCTGGTACCTGGACTTGAGCACGAGAGTACCAGTGCGAGGAAAATCCTGTGCATGTTGAAGAAGATGAGCAGGTGTCTGACGGCTCTAATTTTCGACTTGACGTGCCATAGGTAGTTGTCGAGGGTCTGGTTGAGGTGCCCGTGAGAGCGTCGGGGACTGCCGTTTCGGGCCTGCGGATGGGCAAGCAGGAAGGACGCAGGAGAGGAACTGGGAAACACCGAAGGAGAGAGACGACCATTCTATTTTAAAACACTACTCCCCGATGACACCAGCTCCGAGGATCCCAAACCCGACATTATAATCCAGAGACTCCCTACCATGCCAGCGTAGAGACGATCCCCTCATGCACACTATAGTGTATTGTATTAAACGGGATGGCCGCACTACCACGACATAACGAGGCCGCGGGGTAATAAGAGGGATCCACCACTGTCTAATGTCGGGCGCTGGAGTGTCCGCCGGGGTGGCCTGCGGCGCGTCTCAGGCTGCTTTTTCCCCGTTCGACTTCCTAATTCTCGGGCCTAGGTCCTTATTAGTGGTCCGATTAGCGGCTGGCCATCCCTTCATGGACGCAAGGCCCTTCCAATGGGGGCTGGTAACCTACCTACTTCATTGGCTGCGACACTATTAGTATTGTACTAGTAGTGGCTTTGTTCCCTCGCCCTTTCTGTGTGATAACCCGCTCGCTTCCTTCTCTGCGCTCTCCTGGATTGCATACTATAGGTACCACAAACGAAAGGGAGGCGAGAGGTTTAAAAAAGGAAACCTTAGAGTGCTACTCGCAAACACATATAATCGTAAGGCTAACGTATAGTGTGAAGGATGTTAGGAACAAAGGGTAGGTCTTGTTGGCATAGCATCCAGAGAAGCTGTACTACTAGTGGCATCGCGCCTACAGGAGAAGCAGGAGAAGCTGGCCATTGTGTTTGAAACCGTCACGCCGCCAACGATGCGCTTTCGTACTGTTATATGAAGTCCCTCTACACGCCAGCCCCATCCAAACTCGTTAGCACCCTAATTAGTAAACTGGGTGGTTGAGGTATGGCTGGGGTTATATGGAACTCATGCTCTCAAATTCAGACGCCTTGGCTCCTGATTTGCTTCTCATCCCAACATGAAGGCGGACACAATTGATCGTATTCGTTGTAAGGCAGTATTTGAACGTCTATTTAGGCATAACCCACCAAACCTCGACTCTCCGATTCTCCGCTCCCCGCCTCTTCCAACATTGCTCGGTGTGGCCAGCGGATGCTTCAAGGGAGATACTCGTAATCTGACAGCTCGTGCCTTGAGAGGGGCCTTCTCCATGCCGCTGGTATTCACTGCCGTTTCTCGACTGTCAGGCGCTCACTGTCTGACATCCTTGATGCTTACCTCGGAAGTTGGCCTGGTATCATTTATTCTGGCAGTCTCGCTTCCCAATTATTCTCTAGTAACAACCCTTTCATCCGTCCCAGTCTATCCAATGGGGGAGCTGGTACATCGATCTTCGATGTTGAACTGCATCATGATCAATAGCGTTTCTGTGTGCGTTTGCTTGCAGGGCGTGGTTTGGGCCTTGGCTTATCGACAAAGGCCATCGACTGCTGGCTGCCCCTCACTGGAGTTGTTGTAGTCAAGGGGCATTGGATGTTTTGCCTGTCAAGTGGGTATTGAGAGTGAGATCACTAAGAATTTAACACTGCGCAACGCAGGCGATAACAGAATAAAGTAGTGATGGCGCCGGTGCGAGTCGATCTCTCAGCATGCACTTGCCCCAGCGCGATCGATATCTCGATGTCTTTTGTCATAACTGGTCTGGTCTGTGGGAAGCAAAGCGGCAACCTCATGGCCTTGTCATCGTTCCCGGGTGGTCCTGCTCGGCTAACGACATGTGTTGCGACGATACTGAGTGGGAATCATTTAGCCCATATCCTATGTGGTGTTGGATTGTTGAAGTGGAGGATAATAGGAAAATACGGATCGGCATGCGGGACGTATCGTGCTTGCCAATAAAGAAAGCTCAGATTCACGGGAAGTGCATCCTTAGTGACATAGCCGCACAATGTGCAAGTCGCCCCATAACCTTCGCGGTCGTGATGTGAAGCGGGATGCCCCAGCACAATTATCTACTAGTGAGTACGATTGTCCGGCGCAAGCCTCGCCCGACACTCATTGCTTGCGTCTCAGCTTATTTCATGTGATTGTGCCTCAATCCGTGGTTCACACCTTCCAATTCCAAGCCCTGTCCCCTCTTCTGTTCCTTATCCCTTAATCATTGTCGTTGTCAAGGATCTCGTCCCATGATTATATTTCTAGCCACGCCACCCCATGGTCTCGTGACGGGTGTCTTTTTTGGCCACTATTTATATACGATACACTTGACGGTCTATGTAGTAAATAATATTCTATAAATTCGACCATTTTCTTGTCCATTTGGGGGAATGGCAACCTACCGTAATCACTAAAACCAAACCGTCCATTCATTGCGGGCTTCCCTGAGAACAAGTTGACGTTTATTTGGCTCGAGCCGAGACAGTCCGACGTCGAAACAACATCGAGCTGTCAGGTATTGATACTCCCGCCTGCTTTTATTGGTGATGATCTGGCCTTCAGGGAAGACACAAGCCACTCTAAGCGTTTATGTTTCTGTGTATTCTCTTTGTTGGCCCGGCTTGTGCGCTCGTAGACAACTAGATTGTCCCCGAGAACAATGCGTCCCTTTCGCTCCTCTGGGCCACCTTGTATAGTCTGCAGCACCATCCAAGGCTTCTGGAACACTAGTGGCTTCCACACTCACTTTATGGAAAGCCAAGGGACGGCCAGAAATGTCATGGCAACAAGGGTGATGCAAATGATGATCAACTCTACCTTCAACAAGTGAGCCAATTCCCTTGTTGGACTGTCATGCATGTGGGGACAGACACGGGACGGTTCTTGTTGCAGGCAGGTTACGGGATCTTCTGCATTAGGCACTATGTTCGGGAAATTGAAGGGTTGTAGCAGTCATTCAACAAATCTAACTGGGTGGTTGGTATCGTGTTGCGCACGCGCCACACACGTCTGCCCCCTAAAGAGAGGCTGGTCACCTGCCTGCCACACACGGGGGCATCGCGACTTGTGAAGCTGTTCGTGTTTTGACCATCCAATGCTCATTGGAACAAGCGACCTCAGATTAAGCTTGCCTGTTCCCGAGCATTCCGTTCACACATCGCCACTTTTGCTCACCCTATATCGTGCAAGGATGTTTAGCTATTTTTGCTTCCACGATACAAGGAAGCGCTCCCCTGGTTACCCACTTTGGGACACTTTGAATGAGGCGGAAGCGATGGTTGTAATGAACTCCAGATGTGTGTCCCTAGCAACGAACCGCCTCACTCTGCTTGAACATGGGTGTCTTTGGGTGTCATCAGGAGAGGGAGTTTTAGCTCTATTAACGAGCGTAGGTAAAAGAGGCGTGTGCTTTCAAGAGTTCAGAACCCTGGTGCCGCATGTGAGATGCGGCGGAGTTGTTTCTCTGTATTGGCCCCGAGAGTATTTAAACTCCGTCGCATGGACATCCGGAAGATTTGGTCACTCCCTTCCCATTGGGTCGCGCTGCTGTGTCTGGTCCTCTGACAGTCCCACACCCCACGATGTGTATGTGGTGTTTAGCAAGTACGACTGTTCGAGTACTGCTGCATCCGGCCCTGCACTGAAAGCCCATTTCAGCACAGAACTTGCAACGGCCTGAACTGGATTGGCCCGCATATTACCCATTACTGGACGAAAGAGATAGTCTTCTGCTGAAGGAAAAGGAGACTCCAGTGGTTGCCAGCCCCCCATTTACCTACATACATGCGATGACAGCGCGAAAGGGTGACGGATCCTGTTGGTCAATGGTTTTGTACGTGCTAGTGCTGCGGCGCACAGTCGAAAAGCCAACATTCAGTCTTTTATGACCAGTTCCCCCGAGAACGACGCACAATTGGAATCACTAGTGTATGCATATCAAGCCGGCCGCTGGTATGTGATTTTGTCGTGCTACTAGATCGGCCTCCTTAACGCCTCACTAGTCCTCTCCGCGATCTCACTGTCCATGTCCACGTGTCCTTGCTTGACCCTTATGCACTTCAACCCTCTTCCCCTAGGGATGCATGCTTTGCAAGACGCATCACTCCTCGCTTCGTTAACATATCAACATCAGCCATGAACTTGAGATATATCTACCCGCAAGGCGTGCTTCCATCAAATTACATGACTCGGCTCAAGAAACCATCCGACGTTTGGAAGGCCTTGAATCCTCTGCTCTGTCGACCAGGAGAAATGCCAAAGCTTTTGATCTTGCGTAACTGCAAGGCTGATCCTACTTACGATGGGCTTTATCCTCGAAACAAATGTCTGCACGATGGACCCCTAACGTCGGGCACTTTTGATATCGGTGCCGTAGATTATCGAGGACAGTAAGCATTCCGTGGCCGACCTTGTTGTCCTGTCTCTCAATTGTCCCCTTCCTAGTTTTGACTTCTCTCATGGCGCATGGTTCTTTCGTCGGTTCCCGAAAGACGCTCGGCGCTCACTGAAATCGGAGGAAGACACATAATAAAAGCTCTAACCTATCGTCATCGACGCTACCAAAGGCCTACTGTTTCTCAGTTTCTCCGTGCATCATATATCGCGTTGCATTGATTTATGCCGCCATCGACAAGCCTCGACTTGGTTAGGCGGTGCCCTGCAACCAATCGGCTTCGTGGTTCAGCATGCAGGATCCGGTTGTCGATTTGTCCTTCTCACATACCCTTAACTTGCAGTAGTGCCTCTGTTGTATGTAGTCCGTTTCTCGACAAGGATTGGGCCTTGGGGTCGTTGCACATCCTACGAAGATCACTCTGAGAATACATTAGCCATAGAAAGGCCAAAAAAAATAAAGAAAGCCAACATTTTTCCTATGACCGTCTTGAGGCATATGCACGAAAGATTACCAACAGGGCGAGATACAGAATGGAACCGGGAAGTTTCGCAGCCAGTAGATAGTCTTTTCACGTATGCATAAACACCGCGCAGAGATACACTCACGTGCATGGTACACTAGTGAATCGCTGGAAGACATAGAGGGGAGACTATCGACATGGAATTTCAGTGATGAGAATTCCTTACTTTTGATCTCCCCAGAAGTACGACTATCGCAAACGCCAGGGAAAAGAACCGACACATTGATATTGCGCTATATCATTGTAATAGCAGAGACCAAAGCTCCATATTCGCGCGTCGCTTCTGGAAGAGAATGCTGAATGTAGGTTAGATAGGGGCGACGGAAGGCGTGGATTCGTTACGTTTATTTACGGGGACAAAGGTTGTCATCAGACACATCCTTTCCCGCGTTTCCAACGGAACGCAGCCATTTGAAGCCGTGGAGGTATTGTACATCGAGCAGAACGTAAGCTGCTGCAGCCATCTGCGAGGGAAAGCATCAAAATAATGACTCGAAATGGGGGGTTCCAAAGTATTGGATCATATTCCTCTTACTAGGTCAACGGAGCCATGCACAGCAGCATATTCAGTGGCGGCATTCCTAGGAAGATTCGTTAGTGATTTATTAGGGCTCTGAATCTCTGGAGGAGAGAGGAGGCAGCTGGGGGTGGACAAAGCCCACAATGAAGCGCCTCTGTTGTGAGGACCACTGGCCTGAACTCAACGGCTTACCCCTAACTGCACATTTCTGGAGTAATGTGTGCATAAAGTCCCCAGCATTACGAGGTAAAATGGGGTGATGAGGTCCACTGCTGCGATTGTTGTGCTAGAGTGCTGTTCCGTATGGTGGGTTTCGCCTCAGAGGAAGCTGCGTGGAAAATATACCACAGTCCCTATAATGCTTCCCCATCAACCAGTTTATGTCAACATAAAATAGCCCATGGACACTGAACCACGTCCTATCGAGGCAGCAGCCATGGGGGTCGCCGTAGGTTGGGGACGACTGGACTTCAAAGATAATGGAAGGCGGAGCTTCCATTTTCAGATACTAAGATGAAATGTCCGGTTGTCCACAAAGCCGCCGTGAATAGCCCCGAAACTATATTCCACCGGTTATCGATATCCCAGCAAATGTACATATGACCCCATGAATTCTACTCGTGCTTGAAACGTCCCAGACATAGTTCCTTCCGAAAATCATTAGCATCAGGTGTGAGCAGCACTCCGCTTCTCCTCTGCTGATGAGCATTCGCTGCGACCATACGGTGACAACCATGTCACTTCTTGGGGGCTACCATGCGTGTGGCCGTAAAACAAGTGCTTAGTAACTCTCAAATTCCCACGGCCACCCGAATGCAATTTGCTCAGTGGACTTCAGGAACCACGATCACCCGTATGCATATGGTAGGCAGGACTCCAGCCTCTATGACAAACAAACAATATATATGCAAAAGGGAGGCCAGAAAGATGGGAGGTGCAGCCTTGTTCGCATACAGTGTATCCCGTTATATTCTCCGTCATGTGCCAACAGGGACAGTCACGGAGTTTAGAATGATACCCACACACGCATATTGTATTGCGATCCTGCCGACCATGTTGAGAGTGGCATTGCAAGCTGAGCTTCCCGCCAGAGAACTTGAGCTATTGTCCTATAGGCTGATTGACCGAGCTTGCGAGACAAAGGGGTCAGATTTTCTTTTCTGCAGAGAAATCGTCACCCCGTGGGAAATGGCCAACATCGGATCCGGCCATTCGGCAAAAGCAGCCTAGTCGTGGTCTATGCCTGATGAAGAAAATGTTGTCAGCGCCGAGGCACAGGGGACCCAGAATTGGCAAGTTTCTGGCGAACCTGTTGCTTCTTTCGATGACAAAGTGGTCTGTGAAGGGACCATCGTCGAATTTATCGCATTCTACCGAAGTGGCTGGGGAACGTGCAACTGCCCCGTCTCTTTGACATCCCACTACCTGCAATTAGTTTGATACTGAATTATCACTTCGACTTGTGGGTTTCGACTCCCATCCCCAAAGCCATCCCCATTCGTTCTTCCTTCTAAGGGTCCTGCCGTACCCGGTGGGTTCTATCGATTTATCGCCTGAGTTGATGTGCTGCAAGATGGGAGCAGTTATGTTCCTACAGACGTACAAACGAAGGGACTACCATATGATGGACTGCAAATTCCCAGGCATGCTTGGGAGCAGAACGGACCAACATCTGCGGCGTTGTTCCATCTGATCGGGGAGCATCGTTCCCCTGACCTTCGTTTGCTTGGAACGTGTTCGTCGGGTGCCTCGCAGTTACTAGCGCTGGGTTTTTACGTCAAGGCATAATGATGGAATGTGTCGACTAGGGAAAGCCACGGCCCCAAGCAGCTTGGTGATACACGGTGGTGGGCAGAAGCATTGTGAGTTTATTCACAATTTGGCTTTGTTCTACGCCTAATCGAGAGCACGAGCATGCTAGTGCAGCATGATGACGACATCCGAATGCCACAGCGGTGTGAATAACGTTCGGATTGGCCGCACGTATCCCATCCGAACCGTGAATGCGGTGGGTCAGCCGAGGGCTGCTTGCACTGTATGTGGGTGCCGTCCTGGGTCATGACGGGAGACACTCAGTAGACCCCCGGAAAATGTCTAAGAGCACAACTCCATCGTGAAAGGGAAATTGGCAGTGTGCTTTTTGCGGATGGTTATTACTTGTGAGCTCCGGGAAAATATAGCAGTACTTGCGAAAGACCTCTCTCGGGATCTCGGTTCGCAGTAATCAAGGCAATAAGTGGTATGGGCGTCCTTGCGTCACCGAGCGCAGCCCAATGACAAGCCGGGTAGCGAGATGACAAAGTGAAAGCCCTGATTTGAGCTGACGCCGAGGAGTGCGGAGAAACATGATATTCATAGACCCCAGAGACTACCGGCAGAGCAGCGCCAGGGTGTGGCCATTGGATCATGTCACGTCTGTTGCCGCATGGGAACGTTTGAGCGGGCGATAGTGCGATAATAATGTTCATGACTCCCAAATACGAAAGAGGTGATAATGACGACTGAAAGCAGTCTTCAATCAAGCGACCGGTCTCCAATCGCACCCAAGGAAGGCACAAGAATGCATCAAAAGCCACCCTAACGTTAGTGCCCCTCGGAAGGAAAAAATGCTGGCCTGTGTGTCCATTGACAGGGACACCTTTGCGAAAATCCGTCAGAATGCTGTACAGAATGTTGCTGCTGGGATGAATTTAGATGCCAAAGAAGGCACCAGTAACTGTGGGTTGGAATTGAGCGACACCGTGCCCTGGATTGAGCCAATGCGCCAGAATCGCTCAAGAGGGCTTAGTTGTCGAACTTTTGCTTATGCCTTATCCAAGGCTAAGGAATGATGTTGCTTCTGCTTAATCCTCACTTGTCCATGAATAACCTCACAACGTAGGGTAATCCAGCTCCGCCTCCAGTAGACTTCGATCTTTTCAGTTCCTTGGTGGCTTGTCTCGGAATATCGGTGGGTTCCACTTGTTCGTACCGGGCGGCCGGAAATATCGGGTTAAGGCAATATCACGACTCACATCACATTGTTACAGGAGGTGGGTGCGTGTTGACGCTGCATTGCAAACTGGAGGGCAATAAAGTCGAGATAGGCCGAGCGAGCCTAGGGCTTAGCAATAGTAATGAAGTGACTTCCATGGTGGACACGTTGCGCTGAGGATGATGCACAGCTTCGGTTCAAACATACATCGATGTAAATGTAAGCAACCATATGCACTACCCTGGCTTGTCAAGACTTTATGGGCGCGTAGAAGGCTGACATCATGTGAGCGGACTGTGATAGACGACATCAAGGCTCCCACTTTGCGGCCGGGAAGACGACACCCTGGGCCAGTGGCGCTTCACGAGAATAGTTAACAGTGCACGCACTCCATCTTACGTACTGCTTCCAAGCATCGCCTCCAGACTCTCGACCCCTAAGCCATCAGTATTTATCAACGTGATGAACGTGTAATTGTAAATCACGACTTACCATCCAGTGCTCTTGTTGCCTCCAAAGGCGGCACCAATCTCCGCTCCACTGGTGCCAGCGTTAAACTACGGAAGATATTTCTGAGAGGCTGGCTGCGACCTTCTGCACGTAGCAGGGACTCACATTCACTATGCCAGCGTCCGATCCTTCAGGACCAATCCACTTCCCAAGGTTCCTTACATCATTTGACCATAAGCTGCTAGATAACCCTTGTGGGACGCCATTATTGAGTTCAATGGCTTCTTCTAGTTCATCAAACAGTGCTACTTTGAGAACGGGAGCAAAGGTCTCTTGGTTCCAAATGCGGTCGACTTTTCCCCTGTCAGCGGCAGTTTTTGGGCTCGAATTTGGGACTGCTATCGCCGGGAGGACATAATTCCCATGCTCCAACTCTTTCTGCATTGGGACATAAGGGAAGCCACCAGTCAAGACTGAGCCGCCACTTTCGCGGATGTCATTAATCGAATCTTGGTAGATCTTCACCGCCGCAGGGGTATGTAGAGGGCCAAGAAGCGTGTCGGGATGAAGAGGATCACCTATAGGTATGGTCGCGTAGGCTGCCTGAAGGCGTTCGAGGAAGACGGGAGCGATGGATCGGTGGAGATACAGACGACGAGTAGATGTGCAACGCTGTCCTGAAGTTCCAACAGCCGAGAAAAGAACGGAGGGGAACGCCAGAGACATATCCGCGTCAGGCATAACAATGGCAGCTTTGCGACGGAAGTGCATTAGATGAGAATTGACTTGTCAAGAATTACAGACAGACCATTGTTGCCTCCCAGTTCGAGCAAGATTTTCCCGAAGCGATCTTGGACGTTTTTACCCACAATTCTGCCCACACGCTCACTTCCAGTGAAAGATACTGCAACACGGCTGTCTGCAGGACGATGCAAAGCGGTGGAGTATTCTACTCACTCATGTCCACGTTTGGGCTTCCCACAACGGTCTCGCCCACCAGTTTATCCCCGCATACCAAGCCAGCCACTGCACCATCGATGCCATTCCTTTCTAGGACCCTAGCTATGATCCTGGTCACCGCAATAGCACAAAGCGGCGTCGTGGGCGCAGGTTTCCAGAGCGTAGCATTGCCCGCCGCTAGGGATAATGACAAGTTCCTGACAGAAAAAGTGTTAGGGAGATACAAGGGCTGGGTTAGGACCACTAACCACCCATAGACTGCGACAGGGAAGTTAAAGGCACTGAGTACACCGACGACGCCAAGAGGATTCGGGACTGAGGCGAATAGGTTCAAGCGCTTTTGCTACTATCTTCCACTGGGGTTTTTGTGACTAACCTTCGAAAATCGAATGACCAGCTCTTTCTGAAGCAATGACACGTCCGTTCATCATACGAGATAGCCCTGTCGCGTAATCACACTACTGACGGGTTGGAAGTAGCGTCAGACGCACGTCTGTCATCGACGCTCCGGAACGAAGCGCGAGATACTCAACAATGTCGATGAACTCCTGAACTTCTCCCACGCCTTCGGTCCTAATCTTCCCCATTTCTAAAGCATGCGAAAATGAACGAATCAGTGGGAGCAGCTCAAACTGGGCACGGATGTACCGAGGGAAACTAGAGCGCCAAGGGGCTCGACCTGCGCAGGAGGATATCATGTTGTTAGTTGCAAGAGAAAGAGTTGATTAAATGCATGAGATACAGCATACTTTCGCAGCAATACCCTCGCGGATTTGACGGGCGATCTCTCCCCGTCGTGGAGCAGGAACATTTCGGAACGTCTTGTATGCCAGACGAGACTTTGAAATCGCATCTAACACCTCAGAAGCTGTGGCCTGAACGATCGCCAATTAGTGCAGTTGTCATCCTGGTGCCTGTAATCATTCCACGAGCACCACGACTTACCGTACTAACACGTGCGATAGTCTCCCCGGTGGCAGGGCAGCTACTAACTAAAGGCTCCCCTGTTCCGCCCCACTCGCCATCGTAAACACCTTTCACGACCTGGTCATCCGAAGTTGGAAGCCCGAGCGAGCTAAGGACTTTCGATGCACGAGATGACAACACTCGGAGTGCAACTGAGGCCCCCAGAGTGGAGCGAGGGGGGATAATTATTCTCGCTTTCAAAGATAGCATGAATTGTAGGACCGAAGCAACGGCTCTCAGTGGTCAGGTGTCCCTCCGCCCATTCCCGAATTTCCACCATTCAGAGGCACACATAGAGTGTAGCCCCACTCGCCGCAGCAGTGACTGTGGGGCGCCCAGCTTTGACCTTTCCTGCAGAAGCACCAGCTGCGTTCCCACGGGCTAGCCCTATGTGAGCTCTTGAGGTCGGGCGATGCCGACAACCGAACCGAGCGAGAAGGCAGGAACTCGCTGGGCAAGTCAGTCACTAGCCAACTGAACTCGATTGGTGTTAGATACAAGAGAAGCTCTAACTATCTAACCAATCCGTTGTCCCGGCTTAGAGGGGTTGGCTTATGTAAGCGATATCGCCTTAATTACATTCGCCCTCCTGCAAGTCGTACTCGCACCTAAATCCGACGTCAGCGAACACACCCATGCATATAAGCAAGGGGAGATAAAAGGAAAATGTCTAAAAACTTACTGCTTCGCCTACCTCATTGCGCCGCCTCAACTTCATTTTGCTTACATACATGGGTATGTTCGCTGACGTCGGATTTAGGTGCAAGTACGACTCACAGGAGGGCGAATGTAGGGCGATATCGTTTGCACAAGCCAATCCCCTCTGAGCCACTAGTTCAGATAGTTAGAGCTCTTGTATCTAACACCGATTGAGTTCAGTTGACTAGTGACTTACCTGCGTGACCCAATGAGTTCCGGCCTTCTCGCCCGATTGTCAGCATCGATCGACCTGAAAAGCTCACACCCATATTACTACCAAGTCCAGCCTGATCGAGCGCCGGAGCATATAGCGCCCAATCTGTGCGACGCCCTTCTACCCGAAGTAAATAGCGACTGGATATCATTGCACGCCACCCAAGTCAGTCAGGGAAGCTTGGCTGTGCATGAACAAGATTGATTCCATGCACAAGAGCACCTTTCAACCTCTGAATGAGAGGGTTATGTGCAGTGCTTGGATGGTTAGCACTACTCTAGTTACCTGTGTGTACCGCAAACTCATCTTATACCCAAACAGTGCCTTCACTGTTTGGCTTGAAACAACCTGGCCAAAGTCGAAGGCGGCCGGTCGAGCGTGCACATCGTCGAATTGCCCATGTCCAGTGGACAGTGCTTCCCAACTCCGGTGGCTCTTTCGTTCAAGCAATAAAAAACATGCGTCGATGCTTATGAGGCAATGTCACGACGTCATCACGCTATCAAGTGTTTCTCGGTTTCTCCACTCAACACTTCAACAACACCTCTCCCGCAGACCCTCCCAGCTTCTTGATGCCGGGGACAACACAGTCGCAACTGAAGCCGTCAACTTACCTCCGCCACTTCTTCCCCCTCCTCTTTTGAAAGGCTTAGTCATATCTAGAGTTACACGAAAAAGTTATTACAATCATTGGGAAGCCAGGAGTCACCGGATGAATGCATCTTCCATATTCTCGCGTTGAACCCATCAGTCCTGTTTTACTACAGTGCAGCTCCCCATATAAGAGGGTTGTTAGTTGTGACAGAAAATAACATGGTGCTGTGTTCGGACTAAGGTTTGGCTGGTTTCCAACGTCCTAATTTGGGAGAACTCCACATCGTTGCACTATGCATTACTACACCCTGGAATTTCCCTGGAGGCTAGTGTTCTTCAGGTTCAGTGAGTGAATTGGAGATTCACTTACCGGCGGAGGCGACGGGCTTTGTGCCGATGCACTGGCCGAACGTATAGCCTGGGGCAGGCTGGATTTAGTTATCACCCTATTTCCGGATTCGTCCCGTCTAGGGCGTGGGGGGAACACATGACCGATGCATCGGTTCAGGGCCTTAGATGACCCGCTTCCCCTCCTATCAAACCAAGTCGAGGGCACAAGGTGTGCTTTGGTTCAGCAACTTTGACCGCCTCAATTCCTTCAAAACGATGCCCATCTTCCAGTTGCCAGACGGTGCTCAGTTAGGCTATGAGGTCCTGGGAGCCGAACTCCTTAGCAATGGGACTCGTCCTCTTGTTTTTCTGAATGGGTTGTCAATAATATACGAAGATTGGGCAGCGCTCAGTGTCCCTTTGAGCAAGCTAAGACCAGGTAAAGTGCCCCCTGTCCACTGAAACCTCCCGTCTTGCCTACACTGCGAGTCTTCCCAAGTGCTTCTCCTGGACCATCGGTGAGAGCGAGGAACTTGATGCCAAGCTGGGTGTTATCGTTGAAAGCCCTGTTTCGGATAGCGATATAGGCACTTCCATCCTAGATGAGCGTCAACCCGGCGAGCTAAGCATAAGGTTGATGGCCCAGGACGCCATCGCCCTCATCGAGCATCTTGGTTACGAAGACATCGATATCCTAGGATGGTCCATGGGAGGCGCAGTTGCACAACAACTTTTGATCATCCTTGCGTCTGCCGAGGATTCAGAAAGCCTGGGGGAGAATCATAGAGCTGCAGCTCCCTTTAGAGTTCATCATGCTATTTTGACGGCTACTCTTGCAAAAACTCCCCACGTGGAACCAGTGTTTGGGGAGTGGTTCACGAGTTTCGTTAGCACGTACTCTCCACTACTATTAGCGAAAGGCGAGCCCGATGAAGGGAAGGGAGAAGCAAAGATGAGCGATGAGCAGAAGAGAGACATAATGAAATGCGCCGTAGAGTGCTTTTTTGATCCCGAATTCCTCAAGACTGAGAAGGGGAGGAAGGTATTCGGTGCCCATATGGATGCCGTTGCCTACAAGCGGCCCATTGCCCAGATTGGTGCGTGCAATTTCTATTGCGCCAGCGCAAGCGCTTTCGGCGGTACTGACTTTCAACATTTTCCCAGTTCGCCAGGCCCTTGCAGTAGGTCCAATTGCTCGCTAGTTGGTCTTTGCCTGTCCTGCTCATTATTACGATATTCCGCGGGCGGTTAAAGGTCCTTAGCCTCGACCTCAGACCTGAACTTCACCTTATCAAACCTTCCACGAAGGTGCTCATTATTCATGGAACAAAGGATGAAATCATCACACCATGGCATGAGGGGAAAGACGTGGCAGACCATATCAGACATGCACAATGGCTACCCATCGACCCTGACGGGAAGGTAGAAGGGAGCGCTCCATCGGAAGAGTTCGGACATGCTTGGTGGCACTATTTTGAGATAGAGGTGTGGGTTGGGGTTGTGCAGACGTTTACGAAGGACGGCGAGAAGTAAGAAAGTCGATGCAATCCTCACAAGCGATTACGCAGTAAGGGGCAGTTTTTGTTAGTCACTCTCGGAGGTGCAACAATATAAGTAAGCTCGGACTGGTAGGACGCAGAGTCACGCATATGGGGTCGGGCCGCAACATTATCAATGACGCAAAATTCAACGAGAGCTCCAAAGGAGTGGATAGATCGCTCGTACGCCTCTCTGATTCGCGAGCGTGCATGCAATACATTGCGACGTCCACAAAATCTACCTAATTCAATAATCAATTTGAATTGACGGAGTTCTCTCAAGGCCGTAGTTTGTGCAAGAAGTGCAACTAGTTCTGGTCCCGAAAGACTTCTTCATAGCGTTCGGAATATTCTTGTCATCTCGCTTTCCGATGGCTGGGGAAGCATAGCATGTACTTCCCAACTTCGCCGACCTCCCGGTAGCTTATTCCAAAAGGTTGGTCCACAGATTGGTATACATACCAGCAATCACTGAGTCCCTTGGAGATGTCCTTCTCGACTTTGAAAGTAGATGAGAATCTACCCTGCATCGATTTCTATTAAGCCAAAATTCGCCTCGGAAGGTTGGATCAGATATTGGATTTATCATATAGGGGAGGCTTCGTCAACTGCAAGGGACGAAGTACTTAATCCAGAGGTCTATAGATGTGCCGTGGTGTAGAGGGAGACAGCATACCTTTGTTATTGTTATCCAGGGGGTTATGACCATGTTTATTGGAGAGATCAACGCCACACTTTACCTATCCCAACCCGTTGCTTTTACCGCCCCATGTGACGTCAACCCTCAGCACACACCAGGCCAAATGTAATTTCCGGCCCTCCTGCCCACATCACATTGGTTAGAAGTTTTTGGACTAACTCCTGTGTCTCCGTGATCGAATCAGTGCGCAGCACATAAATGCACCTGTTCTAGAATTAATTTTCCAGAAGCGAGGGAATTCGCTCTGATTTATCATGCGAACGACGGGTGCCCAAGTACTAGCGCTGTGAACACGACACATCAACATTCGGTTTACATAGTAATTTCAGAGATTTCGAATACTACGCGCGCACAAATACTGGATCCCAATAACGGGGAACTCTGGCTTCCCCGGGATGCCAGGTTTCACAAGGGCCCGAATGGGCCATCAATGGCCTTGCCGTTAGCGGGCACTCAAGTCTGAGAACTTACGGTGATCAGACCAAAATGCAAATTTGCCTTGAACTTGAAGCGAACGCATGAAACGAACGCACAAGCCTTGGAACGGCCCTCTGAAGCCGAACGACACCCCTTTGATGCTTGATCACCAGCCAGCCAGGAGGGGCCATATCAAGGACGGGATGTGCGAGCCGGTCCCAGTAGGCAATCCCCGGGCAGTGACACTGCGAAAACATAGGTACGGGAAAGTCTCTTCGTAACTGGAAACTCGTTGCTCTACTGCAAAGAGGTAATACCCATATGATGCACCGCATCGCTCACGGCAATAACGGGCAAGTGGGGTATGTATTTTTCAGACTAAAAACGGCTGACACCGGACGGAGTATAATCGGGCTTTGCTCGAATGGGTGCAGACGAGTGAGTACGTTCAGATCAGTCCAATTCCTGTTGTGTCCCGCATCGTTTTCGTCCACCTATACTGAAAACTGGTACTTTTTCACATCGGGCAGTCTGTGGCAGGCCGAATATAGATCCGCATAGCGCTGCCTAAATGACTCCGTGTTACCGTCCTGATACACTTCACAGCATCTCCGGCGAGTTTAAACAGGGAAAGGTCAATCGACCTTCCTGTTGAAGAGCCCGGGGCTGTGACGTGTGCTGGAGCGGGCCCCGTAGGCGCCCTGGAAATTGGGGTACAATTTAAACTGAGAGACTGAAAACAATGACACCTAATAAGAAAAACCCTAAAGGGACGACCGCAACCCCACAAATAATAGAATCTGGATCACAACCACACGGAATAAAACAGACTACCCACCAACCACAGTCTCTGGAGTCGGGTACTGTTTGAATGTAGCCAACATGGAGGGGAAGTTATCTGACTACCATCCCAAGTAGTATAGTCAGACACAGGGAATTAGATACCCGTGAAACCCTAAGTGGATCGGATATCACGGCAACCCCGGTCCAGAGAAACGACGACAAAAGAAATCAAATAGTGGAGCAACGAGGCTATACTGCGTACTCATGGTGGAAAGTGCACGAACCACATGGGGATTTGAGACATACACGGCGTTACGGCGCCGCTCAACGACCAGTGTCTAGGGAGACGACGATGAGGTCAAAAAAAGGAGATTCTGGTCCGAGACAAAAAAATTCCTAACGAGGCACATGTGATATGGGAAGAGGGCAGTGCAAATGCCTGAGAAAGTCGGGCTGCACACGGGGGAGCAGCATAACTCACACCGAACTGGCTAAAAAGCACCGGACATCGGGATTTTAGCGAATTATCCCCCTCCACCGCACCCGCCGTGATCGGGCAAGTGGCCTGAGGCCGACAGTACGCGCAGAGCGTTTCCTCACGCTGGTGCAGTCCCATGACGACATTCTGATTGGCCGGCTGCTAGCCCCGGGTTTCAAGGAAACAGGGCAACTTGAAGCGGACAAGAGAGAGAGAGACAAATTACGCTGCCGGCGGGGATTTGGGTACAACTGGGCGCTTATCTAGATACTGAGGCCACCAGCAAGAAAAGGAAACGAGGCCAGGCGGATCACTGTGTGAGGAACCATCTGATGAGAGATCTGGACCAGATGGCAGAAGCATGACCCTAAATTATGTGAAATGGACAAGATGTCCCCCCCCCAGGACAGTTGAATAGACAAGTGATACCCAAATCACGAAGTGCATTGGAGAGATCCTTAACATGTAAGGCAATGGTATCATCTCCACGGAAGCAAAGTAGATGAAATACTGTACAGGATATGGACCACCGTGGGAATAGAGCAATTCTCTCCAGGCGATGCACCGCGGCACTGAGAAATGTGCGAGAGTTAGCACGGGGCCGGTCTGGACAAGGTGCCACACACAGAATGGATGTGAGAAACCTTCAGGCTGAAGGCGGACCCGCATTTGAAAAATAGAGTTTTGGGCGCTACGCAAAAAGGTTTTAAAGATCAAAGCCCATCACTGAATAAAAAATAGAACCCATGATGTGTAGAGTGAACAGAGTGCAAGCAGTAGTAGGATCGGGTAACTAGTGCCGCAGGCATTGGACAGATTGGCGCGCTGATTATGAGCACAGCAGCCAAGTTCATTAATCAGGGCGCCTTTCCTTTTTTCTACGCGGCTTGGCAAGGGTCAGTAAGTACTTGCTGGGATATGCGGGGTAAGCGAGGAAAGTCCGAGAGGACGAAGAAGACCCCTTGACGAGTGCAACATTAGACAGATATCCGATCTGAGTAAAGCAGTAGGCTCAGGAGATGAATGAGCAACGACGATGACCAATCCACACCGGCAAAGCGCTCGACATGAAGATTCGATCGGTTCATTTCAAGAGTACTACTACAATAGTTATGTAAGCACCCCGTCCCGCAGGCAAGATTTGATTTCGGGAAGAAGAAGTTCATTCATATGTATGACAAAGCCGATAGCGGGCGGTGCAACAGCTGGAAGAAGTTCTTGGCTCGTTGCATACTCAGCTGGACTGTAGAAGTACAACCCCAGCACACGATAGTTAATATAGCGGGCAGATGCATGAACTCGACTTGCTAATGAAGACCATGCCGATCATTGCAGAGTGATCAGACCTCCCCCGAGAAGGCATAGATACACGAATTTGGGACGACAGATTAGGGGGCCCAGATAGCGGATCGAGTCGATCTTTCGATCAAATGTCGAATTCGCTGAATGAGTAGTAGAACCGCCCGGCGCTGGGACGGACGATCGCGATGAGGGTCTGGGCCCTATCGAGCACACAAAGTGTCTTCCGTCATACAGGTGAGAGATGAGTTAGGCTGGGGTGAGAACGCCAATATATCGTATGAGCATCATGAAGTGAGAAATGTGTATGCGCCGGTCACCTGTCTACCGAGCCCAGCGATAAGGAAAATAATGTAATTTGATGGGTGCTTTTGATTTTTTGCCCACGAACCATCTGACATAGTAAGCACCACCGGCTCTATCCGATCCAAATTAGGCAACCCGCGCACGGGCCTATGATGTTGGACAGGTGTTTATGGACCTTTACTCATTCCATGGCTCTATACTATAGAGGCCGGTCACCTGCCTTAGCTAGCGGCGCCCGGGGGGATGTCTCATGGTTCTGCTGACTGTTACCAATGTAATGAGGTTTTTTTATATGAATCGAGCGAAGATCGCAAGCAGGGAAAAAGTAAAGACTCCTCCCAAGTCGCTCGCCGATTTCTCCGAGGCTTAGCCCCAATGTACGTTGCCTCAACTAGGAGGAGTCTGGGAAAAAGTAGGCACTAGTGTAACCAAAACATCGATGTGCCTCTGACGAACAAACAATATATGTAATGCATTGGGACAGGGATATCATTGTCTAGCTAGTATGCATCCTGGTTCTGGTCAAGGTTCTCTCTCATCCGTGTTGATCGTATCGACAAGTGCAGCCTTCTCGGAGTGAGAAGCACATAGATCGGCGGCCGTGTTGCCGGGGTCAGGGTGTCAATTGCGTTGCGTCGGTCTTACACCGTAGCCGCGGCCCTCACGAGAACAAGATCAAGAAAAGGGTCTGTAGCGGACAACTTTGCGGCTCCTTGAGATTGTTGATGAGTCCGAGCGCGAGAGTCGGGTTAACATGCATGCTTGAAGCGCCCTGGCCTGGGGCGCTCCGATGGGGTCGCAAACATTTAAATGAGTACCCCAAACGCCGCAAATACCCGAAACAAGAGTTTGGGTTGCATGATAGCGCAAACGCCTAGGCATATTGCGCCAATCAAATATGAAAGGGACGACCTGAGAGTCGAAGAGAAAAACAACTATATGCCGAAGCGCAATCAGGGACGAAGCTGCAACCGTTTAAAAATACTTTCTGCGTTCCGTAGCAACCGGGTCCCCGCCTGGCGTGCGGCATTTGCCCCAACGAAATCCCAAGAATCTTTTCCTTTTTAAAAAAATATGCTGAGGAAGGGACTTGTTCGCTTCAGCTTCACTCCGTGGGGAACGCTTTTCGGGGCCGATTGCGCTTGCATGGGTCCATTCAGACATTGTACAATATAACTTAAGAACCTGGGCCTTATGTATATCCCGGCGCGCCCACGAGCAACGAGTGCTGCTCAGATGGACCAACCTTGTTGAGTGGGCGGTAAATCAAGCACGTAATCGTCGTCTGTGCGGTTTTAGCAAGTCCATCCGCACGGTTGGTGGAGTGGGATTAATGGTACTCTCGGTCCGTCTCCCTCGAAGTTATATGTAATACTTGGCAGTTTTGTAAGGGCCTTTGCGGAAGAACGTTCAAGTGAAGATTGTTGGGCGGGCAGTTGGATGCTTCTCGAAGCCGGAATAACTCCATGCATGGTGAGCAAGAAATTTAGCTGACATGACAAAGCCTTCGTCATGATGTTCCCATCGTGCTTTGTTTGCATGCAACTGTGGCCCGACATAAGCGGCACCAGCTACCATCAGAACGCAGCTCATGCGCCAAATTGCCCAATATTGCTTTTGTACTTCTACATCATTGGTATCTTTGTTGCGACACTTTGTGTGAGGAAGAACGCAAAAGACATTGCAAAGACGCGACCGGGTTGCCGAGTTGAAATGAGATCCTGGGAGGATATCCATCAATTGACAGATCTTGCTGGGAAACGTACTTCGCCACGAGATCGATATCCTTCGAGCCAGGCACTCCCAGAGGAGATGAGTGAGTGGGAGAGTGCAATATTACAAATTAAATGCCGAAATAGGTAATCGTTTTCGGAATCAAAATAAGATGCCTCAAGGGGAATTTTAATATACAATTATAAATGTATTAGTCATATTGCAACATTTCTTCTATGGTAATCTCAGGGCAAGGTTCTAAACTCTTATGAAGAGAATTTGCTTGGGGGGCTCAACCCATACTTGGTCAACGCTCCCCTTCCACTCTCCTATATAACATCTCTTCTTTTTTTTCCTCACCGCCTCCTCCCCCCCCTCTCCTCTCTCTCTCTACTCCTCACTCTCAGCGTACAAGACGTATCGAACAGCATTCAACCTCCCGCCCTGCACGGATCATACTTTCCTCCTTTAGCGCACTTTCATATTCGGCCCATTCACTATCCCTCCCCCCAAGCCCCATTACTCAGCTCATCCCGTTATAAAAACCAGAACCTAAAAAAATGTGGTTATTCTCTCGTAACCCTTCATCGTCATCATCAGCATCGGCAACAGCAACAGACAGCACAGCCTCAAACTCTCCTCCTCGTATCCTTCGATCCACAATGATGAAACGCTCCCCAAACTCCAACCTCGCTATCGAACTCGTCCTCGATATCCTTGAGATCCTTGCCGCGGACGAAGCCCGATTGAATGGAAAGACTCCTCCCAGTTTGATCAATACTGCACTCGTTTGTAGAGCCTGGGCGCCTATAAGCCAATCTCTGCTCTTCCGAAACGTGGTCCTGGGTACTCAAGGACAATCCATCCAATTCCTAAATGCTATCTATCCACGCACCGAAAAAGCCCATTTTTTACGTGCGAACATTAAAAGTCTCGAAGTGCTCGTCTCAGACGAGGAGGATGGCCGAATCATCACACAGTGAGTAAACCTCTCTCAACCTTGGCGCCTTTTTTTTTTGATGCGATCGCTTCCCTTTTTTCAGAGCCGCGTTTGCTAATATCCTCAAGCTGTGCCCGAACGTGGCGGACCTGAGATTATTCTACTATTGTTTACGACCCCTTGACCGCACCACTATCGATATCCTTCGTACCGTCCCTGCACCCTCTTCCCTGTCCCTTCGATCAGGTATGTTTACCAAATCGCATCATTCTTCGATTTGAACTGACAATATCCTACTTTTCTCGTCCCCCCCTCCCCCAAAACAAATTAGCCCAACACCCCTCACCTCTGTGGGATCTTCTCTCAATATGGCCCACAGTACAACACCTCGAAGTCGCCCTATGGGAATCTCCATCCATTCACACCACTCAACCCCCAAAAGCCACCAACGCTCAACAATGGGCACCTTACGAAGTCCGTTGGTTGGACGAATCCGATTCAGGAGAAGATTGGGCCCTACCACATCTCTTACGTCCAGGATCCCTTCGAATCCTTCAACTCTTGAGAATCCCTTCTGACGACTATTTCGAAGATTTGATGAAGAAACATGGACCTTACTTGCGAAGTTTAAGACTTTGTGGTCCTGGAGGCGGTAGCGTTTCTCCGATGAGAGAAGAGATCATTCCTTCTTTGAAGAATTGTACTTCGTTGGAAGAGTTCAAGTATATGAGGATACCGAGTAGGAATCTTCTTCAAGCTTTACCACCTTCTCTCGAACATCTTCAATTCCAAAATAACAATCGGAAACCAACCTCTATTCGATCTCTCTTGGAATGGATCGAATTTTCGGAAAAATCGAGACGGTTGAGGGTCGTCACGTATAATTCGTGCGGGGATCCTTTGAGTGAGGAGTTGAGGAGGTTGGTGGAGATTTGTAGGAGAAGGGGGATCGTGTTGAAGTGTTATGCGGATAATCCACCCATGGAGGAAAGAGAACCTTTGATTCGGCCTCTTACTTTCCCTAGACCCGTTCCGGACGCAAGGAGGAAGATCGTTGACCCTTCTTCTTCTGCAGCTGGGACGACGCCAAAGGGATGGTCGAGAATTCATTATCCTTCTCCTGGTTCTTCCCCCGTTTCAACTCTACCGAATTCGCCTACATGTCTACCATCCCCATCTCCATCCCTATCCCCATCGTCACTGGCAGGCAGCGGATCATCCCTCCATCGACGGTCTCCCGATTATCCTTCTGGACGATTGAGAAAAGGAAGTTCGCCAGATGGAGGAGTTTTTGGAATCAAGCTCGGATTGTAACCGAAGCGGCGAGAAGTATCCCAAAAGAAGTCCGGGACTTGATGATAACATTGAGGAGTCCTTTCTCTTTCCCTTCGTAACACGGTGCCGTCCATAGGCAAATCGTTGCCCTCCTCCCATATCTAACGGATTCATTCATTCATTTCTGGTTGGCTTGCTCCATGGGGCTTTCGAAAATTCCATGTCATCGAACTTAAACACCTTTTCATGACCGGCCGTTGCGCCCGCATGTTAGTTCTTGTATTCTTTTCTGCAGCCCATCTCGGGGATGTTATATCCTCGTTCTTCATGAATCCCTACACTTGATCCTCCGCCTCCATATTGCATTGCTTTCATCATTTTTTTTTTGTTTTGCTTTGTCTTTTTTTTTTGCATCTCCTTGACGGATCATATGACGTGACGAGTGGCATGACATTATTGGACCTGGATCTGATCGAAGCATCTTTTTGTCCCCCTGTACTAGTATATAACAACGTGTACATGTACGTGGTTTTTTTTTTTGATATTATACATAGTACGAGATGACCCATGCGGTTTTGCTGCCCAGGGACAATTCTAAAAGGTTTTGAAGGGAAGCGCGCCGCGCGGGTTCCTGTTCCATGTTGCGCGAATGCATATATATCTATATACTTAGCTAGGCTGCATGCGCATGCATGCATGGTACTTGATGCTGATCTTCTCGCAACAACATCAGAGAAATCCCCCCTAGCTGACCCAGTCATGTGCATGCTGACCGCGCGCATGATTCAAGAGAAGTCGCTCAATTTCATAAGCGGAAACCGAACTAGAACTTGTACAATTGCAATTGCATACATGCAGGGTAGATGGAAGCAGCTAGCTACTGTATATAGCTATTGCGTTGTTCTCGCTTGCACTCTAGTATAGTTAATCAAGTACTGCGGGCAGGGCGAACAGTGGGATATATTCCCCTCTGCCGGCGCCGCACGCGCGCATATGGGCGCGCGTATCAATATAAGAACTCCAAGGTGCTATGTATATGAAATTAGGATACTGAGATCATTGATGTATATGCAAGCATTGTATATATGTGATAGATCGTCCATATGTCCATACGGATGGAAGTCGCATCGTCGTCTATAGTAGAACATGAACGTGTTGAAAGTTCAACGCATCCTTCATCCGATCACCATTTATGGAATAAACCATTGGAATTTCTGCGTAGGTAGGGTTGAAATACATCGCCCCCCCCCCATGCAAACTCATTGTTAGGCGAGGGATATATATCCCCGTCTTCGAGGATAGATGCAGTGCATAAAGGTTGTACCAGTCTTTGCAAAATATTGTAGTGGTCGCAGAGCATTTTTTTGAAGGGGGACAGCGGACCGGCTGGAGCTCCGCTAAGGCACTACGTATGGTCGTGTGCCCTTGACCGGTATGACTGTCATGATGAACAATTATGTACGTACGAGACTCTGAAGATACTACATAATGAAACGACTAGCTTCATCTCGCCGCATGCATGAACATCATGAATGTTCCCCGCAATATGATATGAACTCGCTTGTGGTTAGAAGCCCGGGGCGGAAATAGCACCGCTTATAATTCATGCAAAAGGAGGGGGTTTACCCCAGTACCGAAATGGACAACTTGGCCTAATCTATCCTAATCTATCTGGGCTGAAGTGGCCGAATCATAGGCATGTGGGTGGGGCGATCTTACCCAAAAGTGTGTTTTTTTTTTTGGCTGTGCAAGGAGTTCGTTGAATTCCAGACGTGGGAAACTTGGATCGGTTGGGGGGGGCATTTTCTATGCCATTCTATGGAGCCAGAACATCAAGAAGCCCCCCCCCTCCCCTGGCTTTCGTTCGCAATCGTTTCTCACCGAACCTGAGTCAATCCGAACGGATATCAATCAAAGCAAGACGATTTATCTCCGGATCTGCAGAGTCCCGAGATCCGAGGACAACTCACGGCTACCCAGGGAAAGTTTCCCTGCCCGGTAGTAATTAGAGTAGCTAGAGCTCGGAGGCTAAATATATTGAGAACCCCCCATGAATCCTTGTTTATGTTCTAACTAGCGGGTAGGGGGAAGTGGTCATATTTATCCGAGAATGCGAAAGGATTGACCCCCCAGAGCAATGACCCACCTTCGTCAAAGTCACACGTGCATGGAAGAAGCAGTAGCATGCAACCGTGTGCCCTTGCACGAAGACCGACGGTCAAGGAAGAAAAAAAAAGCCTAGGGTCTTGGATCATCCGCAGGGGATTCATGCAGGAAAGAGAGAAGAACCCAAAGGCTTCGGCCGAATTAGATTAAACAATTGTTTCGTCGTCATCAGAAAAGTCGGAAAGGGTGAAAAGTTGGCATCTTTTTTTTTTCTTCTTAGTTCCAGTTTCGCAGGGCGTATGTAGGTGGAGGGAAAATATGTACAGCGAGACGAGTCGCATCTCGGCGGAAGATAATTCATAATTTTAAAAACCATTGCGTATATTGTAAGGTTGAGGTGGGTATCATAAGTGACTTTGCTTCCTAGCATTAATGGTCTGAGCTGGTGTTAGGGGATTCAGAGCCGTGGGGAACCCTGGGTTGGGCCGGCAGTTTGTTTGAAGACCCATTAATGATGGGGATCCGGAAGGCGGTTATATTTCCATCGGAAACGACCTCGAGGGCATATACCATCTAGTGGAAACGAGAATGACGCGTCGATGAGCACCGGATTCATAGTGGCCCACAGGACAACACGGCTACTGCGCGCGCGCTGCCAGTGAAACGAATTGGAGAGATAGACGACGAGCAGATGGCAGTGAAGTATAGTCAATCTTTGGTGCATTCAGTCGAACACATGCCAATCCAGGAGATCAAACGAATGGACTCTCGGGGCTGACAGGGTCCGCAACATTGGCGGATCCGCGAAGATTGTTGACCTCAAAAAGCCGGACGGTTGTTTCGTGGCTGACATAAGCTATGCATGTGACTACACCCCCAGATTCGAAGATAGAATGAGTTGCACTGTCAGTGAACATGATAAGATTATCGAGGTATTCTTCCTGCCACTTCTCGCTGCGGGATCGGCTTCCTTGCGACAAGGACGTAAGGTCATCAGAACTGTTTCACGAGTCCCATTATCCCCTCTTTCTACATCGCCAATGTCCCCCACTTGTAGGCAGGACTCCAGCCTCTATGACTTCGTAATAATATATAGACCCACTTGTCCAGTCCACCCCAACTGCCCCTCCCATTCTGACCACATGTTCGGGCGAAGGGATTGGTTTGCTGCTTGTATAGGGGTCGTCTTACCGCACTGTCATCGTCGTTCCGTGGTGAACCCATAGGTGAGGCCTCTGGAGGTGTGTTCAAATTCACGTGTTTTATGTTACTCGAGATCCACACTTATCAGACAATAAGCATCCAAATTCGCCGGCTTGTGTCAGGGCACCATTGTTAAACCCTTACTTGCTTCGCCCAGGTCACAGTGATATGGCAAGGTAGCTGCGGTGGTAAATTGGTAATGGTAAATCCTCCCATTTCGCTATCTTCTTGTCACTGGCGGGGCGCATTACCATACATTTTTCGAATATGCAACAGCCCATGTGCGCCTGGCGCTGGCCTTCTTGGGGTGTTCGTTCCTGTTGCCATCAAATCTCCGGTAGCGAACTAGGACAGGACCAAGATAGATGGGTGTAAGCAGCTAGGATCGATTTCTCAGTTGGTTCTGCATTAGAGGATGGAATATGCCGCAAGAATTTCCATAAGTGCGCAATGGGATGAATTGCGCCTTGCGGCGATCTCATGGCTGTGAACTGCGCAGCCGCTACTTGAGTGTCACCATCCGCTGCGCGACCGACCTTTTCTCCCCATCCTTCACTATTGACTATGTCGCTGAAGCAGAGGGTCGATAATCTCCTCGCCGTGGGAGGCGATGTTGCTATTCCAGTCCTCACCGCCGTCAATACCGCATCCGGCGTGTTCCCTCCCCTACAGGCTGCCACCAATGCCGCACTGCTCATCCTCACTGAAATCAAAGTTAGTAGCAATATATATCGATCCTGGGACGGAACTTGACAATCTGCATTGCATAGAAATTCAAGGGAAATAAGGGAGAATTGGAGCGTTTTGGAAAATATATCGGGGACGCCATGGTCAATGTGGTTACAGCCATTGGTTCGTATGGTGAATCTAATGAAAAACCCAAGTCGTGGGTTGAAAGCGTCAAGAAGCTGGGCGAGTAAGTAGTATCTGCTCTATGCAAGCCACTGCGGTTGTATAACATGAGTAATCTGTAGGGCGCTGGAGCGCATTCAAATTGAAATCTGTCGATTGAGTGGGAAGATGGAAAGACAGTCTGGTATCCGCAACTTCTTCTCCCATATGAAGAACCCCAGTAGGCTCGATGATTTAAAGAAAGATTTTAGCGAAGCCTCGGCAATGTTCCAGGTAGTTCCGTTTGATTCCCGGTTATGTTTCTGTCCTGATCTCATTATCGTAGCTGGAGACAGACTTGATGGTTGGTGCGATAGCAAACAATCAAGTTCTGAATGAACTTAAATATCCTATTGTCCCCCATCACGATTCCACACAGCCGTGCCTGCCAGACACTAGGATTGATCTGATCGGCGTATAATGGCGTGGTGTCGTACCACGGAGGATAGCAAGAATCGTGTATTACTGCTTACTGCCGTGGCCGGTGCGGGCAAGACATCTGTTGCGCTCTCAATCGCAGAGGAGTGTAAAAGAGAAAAGATATCGTCGTCAAGCTTCTTTTTCAAAGCAGGGGAGCAGTCGCAGCCGGACCATCTGTTCAGCGGCATGGCTCGATCTCTGGCAACCAATGACCCCGCATACCGTGCCTCCCTCATATCGGCTCTTCAGGAGGACCCAGCTCTTTCGACTGCCCCATTCGCGACGCAATTCGAGAAACTAGTGGCTGAACCTCTCCATCTCAAGACATCCTTGTCTGACCGTCCTATGGTGATTATCATTGATGCGTTGGATGAGTGCGACACAAAGTCATTCCCACGTCTTGCCGATATACTTCGGAAAGCAGTCCCAAAACTACCACCTAACATCAAATTCTTTCTCACTTCGAGACAATTTGACCTCGTTGATCGTTTCCTATCGCCGAATTACCCTATTGATCGCCTCACCATCGATCTGTCGGACGATGCTAACATGCATGACTGTGCTATCTACATCCGATCACAACTACACGAACTGAAGGACGTGCATCCTGGTTTGGAAGATGGAATCGGGGAAGAAGATACATTAGTCCAGCATACAAGAGCGAGCGGGTGGCTTGTTCATTTGGATCAGTACTGTCTTTGATTACATGAAGGTCAGCGGTAGCGATGCTATGAAGATGCTGAAGAAACTGCTGGATGAAGATCTCAACCGACCAAAGGCGTCCGCTGAGGAAGTGATGGATAGGCTGTATGCGAGTATTTTAGAGAAGTGTAACTGGAAGGATGACGATTTCGTGCATGACTACCCGATCGTGATGGGAGCAATTCTAATTGCACAAAAGCCGCTATCTGTTACGGCCTGGGATGCCATTCTCTCACCACTGTTGGAGTCGGGCATCCGATATACATTAGCTCAACTTGCACCCCTCGTCTCAGGAGTTGGGGATGCTAAAAGGCCAATTCGTATTCTGCACCAATCTTTTCGCGACTTTATCACGGACCGAGTCAATCCACAATCACCCATACTTGGTCGGTTTGGAGTGGATGCGAGGAGGGAGAACGACAGAGTGGCCCTGCGCTGCATCGAAATCTTGAATACAGAACTTCCGAGTATGAAGGATTTAGGGCTGATTGAGGACTTATCCGAAAAAGCCAAGCTGCCACCCATTCCTCAAGAGGTGCCGTCTGAACATGTCCATTATGCATGTCGGCATTTCGTGCATCATCTTAGCCAATTGCAGGAGCCGCTGGAGGCGGCCAAAGATCCTATTCACGCATTTCTCAACGAGCAAATATTGCGCTGGGTGGAAGTCTGTGTGAGGACGGAAGGGTACATTAGTATATCATTGTTCCCTGAATGGGCCAAGGTACGAATCATCAGTAGCGATTGTTTGAGGCTCTTGTTCAGTTTCATGTTCCTGCAGTTGAACGTTGATCGGGCCTCCAAAGAAGTCATTCACAAGTTGGTCAAAGTGTTTCTCGATATGGCGAGAAATCTTGCGTTCTTTTTAAGATTTCAGGAGGCATATGAGTTGGCAAGTGATTCAGTTGCGCTGTGCCATTGCCTTGTGTCTACGGACTCAGAGTCCTACACCCCAGATCTGGCTCGAGCACTCGGGAATCTTTTTGTATCACTCAACAAAGTTGGACGCCATTCCGAGGCGCTCACTGTGATCGAAGAAAGTGTGCAGCTCTGGCGTGAGCTGGTTACTGCCCACCCAACATCATACACCCCGGATTTAGCTCGAGCACTTGGGAGCCTAGATGCATCACTCACCAACCTTGGACAACATTCTGAAGCACTCCTTGTGAACGAAGAAAGTGTGAAACTCTGGCGCGATCTCGTTTCCACCCATCCAGCATCATACACCCCAGATTTGGCTGGAGCGCTCCGGAATCTTAAAGTATCACTCGACAAAGTTGGACGCCATTCCGAGGCACTCACGGTAATCGAAGAAAGTGTGAAACTCTGGCGCGAGCTCGTTGCCACCCATCCAGCATCATACACCCCAGATTTGGCTGAAGCGCTCCAGAATCTTAAAGTATCACTCGACAAAGTTGGACGCCATTCCGAGGCACTCACGGTAATCGAAGAAAGTGTGAAACTCTGGCGCGAGCTCGTTGCCACCCATCCAGCATCATACACCCCAGATTTGGCTGGAGCGCTCCGGAATCTTAAAGTATCACTCGACAAAGTTGGACGCCATTCCGAGGCACTCATGGTAATCAAAGAAAGTGTGAAACTCTGGCGCGAGCTCGTTGCCACCCATCCAGCATCATACACCCCAAATTTGGCTGGAGCGCTCCTGAATCTTAAAGTATCACTCGACAAAGTTGGACGCCATTCCGAGGCACTCACGGTAATCGAAGAAAGTGTGAAACTCTGGCGCGAGCTCATTGCCACCCATCCAGCATCATACACCCCAGATTTGGCTCGAGCACTCCAGAATCTTAAAGTATCACTCGACAACGTTGGACGCCATTCCGAGGCACTCACGGTAATCGAAGAAAGTGTGAAACTCTGGCGCGAGCTCGTTGCCACCCATCCAGCATCATACACCCCGGATTTGGCTGGAGCGCTCCGGAATCTTTTTGTATCACTCGACAAAGTTGGACGCCATTCCGAGGCACTCACGGTAATCGAAGAAAGTGTGAAACTCTGGCGCGAGCTGGTTGCCGCCCATCCAACATCATACACCCCGGATTTAGCTCGAGCGCTTGGGAGTCTAGATGTATCACTCACCAACATTGGACGACATTCTGACGCACTTCTTGCGAATGAAGAAAGTGTGAAGCACTGGCGCGAGCTAGTTTCCATCGAACCGATATCGTACTCCCCGGATTTGGCTCAAGCACTCGAGAATCTTGTAATATCTCTTGACAATCTCGGACGCCATTCTGAGGCACTCCTCGTAAATGAGGAAAGGCTCAGGCTCCTGCTCCAGTAGTTGTTCGTTTATCCACTCCGGGTTCGACACGATCATTCTGCAGCCTCATGCTCACCAGCTTGTGCAAAATGCCAAGGCCCTAACTTCCGTTCAAGATTTTGTTATTCGCAGCGAATTACTCACCTGCCATCATGTGTTTTTGGTGTAGCCTTGGCAATGCAGACTCCACCTGTTTTCATGCTTAGGGCGCTGTGTGGACGCAGGACAGGAGTCAATATTACACTATCACTAGCTTCATTCCCAATACATGCACACAAGTCTTAACTATCATATTCCTGCGTTGCTCATGTCAGACTTTCTTCCCCTCCCTTGATCGATCATCATTGTTTGAGAAGACCCAGGAGTCTAATAATTATCATCGCTTTTCGGGACTCATCAAGACCATTTCATCCGAGCGCGAAGGTTATCACCGGGAATCCGGAGTGAAGAAGCATGCACACCCAACCTCACATTCCCGGACCCGGAAAACCCGGCCGTGAGTATGTAATTATACTTAGATTAGTTAGTCACTTGCCACAATTTCTCTTTCACGTGTCGGAAACACTTCCCGAGGAAAGTGATACTCCGACTCCATATTCCTTTCTGATCCAGGACGCAGAAGGGCGGGCTGTTTGACAAGTGAGTGCGGGAATTCGACCTCAGTTGATCGGCCGACCATTCTTCAAGTAAGAAATAATGTCCCAAGGGCCCATCCACAATCCCTCCCTTCTTCCACATCTGTCCCTCACGCCAAGCGAAGAGACATATCTATGATGTCATCACCACAGGATCATTACCTTAATTCCGCAAATCCCATCCCAAGCCCCACCCCCACGCTTCTGCCTCTATTACCTGCAAAGCGGCTTGCGCAGCAACAGACACGGGGTCCCGCTTTCATCTGTGGTGAAGGACCGTTCTTTAGATTCTTGTTGTTTTCCCTCATCCAATGCTGTCCTTCTGCGGTAACTACGAACCCAACTTAGGCGCGATGCGTGCTTAAAATTGATTTTAACCGCAGTTGATCTATCTCCACATTGTCCTTCGAGGTGTGTCCTGATCCAATTCAAAAAGTATGTATATTTACAGCCGATTCACTCGAGGCCCAACACTTAAGAATTAAGCGTTCAAACCTGTCAGCCAGTGTTAGAGCGCCATTTTTCACTTATCTGCTTCGTCGGGGTCCAGTGACACCACGAGGTCGTTTGCCGTTAGTGGCAGTGCCAAATCCTCCCTATTCCGCCATCCTGTCTTGTTACTGCCAGTGTGCATCACCACTCGCTTTGCAAACACGCGACATTCCACATGTATCTAGTGCTGGTACGCAGTTTCCTGCAAGATCGAAGTATTGCCAACTTCACACGAAATCTCACGTAGGAAATCCTAGGGTAACTATTTTACTTGATTCTGCGTGAGAGGATGGAATCTACCGCAAGACTTCCAAAGGGATGAATCGCGCTCGCTGTGAACTGTGCAGCATCTACGAGTGTTATCACCCGTTGCGTATCAGACCTTTCCTTCCATCTGCCTGTCATTGGCCATGTCGTTGAAGCAGAGGGTCGTTGGTCTCCTCGCCGCGGGAGGTGATGTTCTCACCGCCGTCAATGCTACATCGGAGCTTTACGATTTTCCACTGGTGTCGCACTCCTGATCCTCAGCGAGATCGAAGTTAGTAATGATTTATACCGAGCCAGGAGCGCAAGTTAACAATATGCATTATGTAGAAGTTCAGGGGAAACAAGGAAGAATGGGAGAGTTTTGGAAAATGTGTCGCGGACGCTATGGTCGATGTGGTTGCAGGCATCGATTTGTACGACTCGTCTAACGAAGAGGTTAAGCCGTGGATGGAAAGTGTCACGAAGCTAAGCGAGTGAGTAGTTATGCAAGCCATTGCTGTCGTATAACACACGTACTCTGTGGTGCGCAGCAGCGTATTCAAATTGATCGATTGTGTGGAAAGACAATCAAGTACCAACCCCCTCCCCCACACGAAGAACCCCAGCAGGATCGATGGTTCAAGGAAAGATTTTAGCATGGCCTCGGCATACTTCAAGGTAACTGTGTTTGATCCTCGTTGGTCATGTTGCTGCTCTGATCTCGTTATCGGAACCATGTAGGTCGGTACAATAGCAAACAATCAAAAACGGTTAATTCGTGGAGTCGTGAATCCTTCTGTTCTGAATGGACTCAGGTATCCCATTGTCGTCCATCGTGATTCAACTCAGGTGTGTCTGAAAGACATTAGGACCGATCGGATCGAGCATCTTATAGTCTGGTGTCGTAACACAGGGGATAGCGAGAATCACGGATTACTGCGGAGCGCCGTGGCCGGTGCCGACAAGATCCCGCAGAACACGCACACGCACGCGCACACAGTGGAAGTGTCATCTAGCTCGTCTTTGTTCGACGTGACGTGGTTATCAGAGTCGCGACATATCAACTCCGGACTGCGAAGCTCGTCAAGTTCAACCAAAGTCCAATGAGACCGGTTACGCTTTCGACCCACTGCCATCACAATTTTCCAGAACCGAGAATGACTGTTCAGGTCACCGATGATAAAAAGGTGGACAAGATTCCATAGGGTCACAAAATGCATCTTCCGTACATACAATTATGAGGAAAAGGACTTGAAACGTCTTGACTCGAAGGAAGAAAGTAAGAAGGGAGGAGCTGCTTAGAGGGAGACTGTTGGTTCTTACGAGTTCTGGCGATCCTGAAGGTAATCGTTGGAGGAAACTGAAGGAATCTACGTTTTTGCACACTCGTGAATTCGACTTGCTGAACCCGGTCATTGCTTGTATTATACAGATTTCGGTACGAGAAGCAGTGGCCACTCGAGTGAACGTATCCCTCAGTCGCGTAAGTTCTGACATGCCACTCCTGCATCCATTCGGTCTCCGATTCACGATCGCTGCCCAGAGCCTATCATTTGATCTAAGGCGCCTGAGCATGGCTGCTAAACCGAGCACAATGAACCACTGAGAAATTGTGTCGCCCGCGGCCCACATCTACACGTTACCGGACATGCGCAAGACAGCAGTGGATAGATGGACTTTTCCTTACAATGCAAGCCATTCCCAAGGGGTATGAACAGTTAAATGTTCTACAATTGCGTGCCGAAGAAATTATCATTATCATGATCAGTATGATGAACACAACTTGAGTCGTGGTGATTGGGATCGAGCCAGCGCGATTGGGGATCCCCGTGGAGAAGATGAGATGTACATAGCAGGATCCTATCGAGGAGGAAGCAATTATTTTGTTTCGGACTTAGGGAATAATGATATGAAAGAAGCTTCGAGCGTGATAGGCATTGATGTAACATGTCATACAGCCGGAGTGCTTTGGGATGAGCTGGCTTGCTTCGTCGGGGGTTCTTAGGGGATCGTTCATGGTTGTAAAGTGAGGGATTCGGCTTGTGGCACACGATCGTGATGAGGAGATCGAGACGAGCAAGACGCCGGGACTCATTACATAATACCGTTGGGCTTTGACGGGTTTCACCGAGCTGAATCACCGGGAATCCGGAGCAATGAGGTAATGTAGGGTAATGTGCAGCCCCATTCTGACCCACATGTTCGGGCGAAGGGTCCATCATCGCTAGCTGTAGGGATTGGTTTGCTGCCTGTATAGGGGTCGTCTTACCGTACTGTCATCATCGTTCCATGGTGAGCCCATGGACAAAATTTTCGGTAGCGTGGGTTCAGTCTCTAGAGGTGTGTTCAAATTCAGGTGTCTTATGTACAACTAACTTGCTCGAGATCCACACTTAGTAATCCTGATCGGAGAATAAGGATTCAAATTCATCCACCTATGTCAGGCCTACCTGCTTCATCCGGGGTACAGTGACACGGCAAGGTCGTTAGCTGCGGTGGTAATGCCAAATCCTCCCATTCCGCCATCTTCTTGTTGCTTCCGGGGTGCATCACCATACATTTTGGCGAACATGCAGTAGACTATATGCGCCTGGCACCGGCCTTCCTGCAAGGTCGAAGGATGTTTGCCGAACTTTGCATCAAACCTCCCGTAGCGAACCTAGAGCAGAACCAAGATAGATGGGTGTGGATCGATTTCTGAGTTGGTTCTGCATAAGAGGATGGGATCTGCCGCAAGACTTTCCATAAGCGCGCAATGGGATGAATTGCACCTTGCGGCAATCTCATGGCTGTGAACTCCGCAGCCTCTACTTGAGTGTCACCATCCGCTGCGCGACCGACCTTTTCTCCCCATCCTTCATTATTGGCCATGTCGCTGAGGCAGAGGGTCGATAATCTCCTCGCCGTGGGAGGCGATGTTGCCATTCCAGTCCTCACCGCCGTCAATACCGCATCGGGCGTGTTCCCTCCCCTACAGGCTGCCACCAATGCCGCACTCCTCATCCTCACTGAAATCAAAGTTAGTAGCAATTTATATCGATCCTGGGATGGAACTTGACAGTCTGCATTATATAGAACTTCAAGGGAAATAAGGGAGAATTGGAGCGTTTTGGAAAATATATCGGGGACGCCATGGTCAATGTGGTTACAGCCATTGGTTCGTACGGTGAATCTAATGAAAAACCCAAGTCGTGGGTTGAAAGCGTCAAGAAGCTGGGCGAGTAAGTAGTATCTGCTCTATGCAAGCCATTGCGGTTGTATAACATGAGTAATTTGTAGGGCGCTTGAGCGCATTCAAATTGAAATCCGTCGATTGAGTGGGAAGATGGAAAAACGGTCTGGTATCCGCAACTTCTTCTCCCATATGAAGAACCCCAGTAGGCTCGATGATTTAAAGAAAGATTTTAGCGAAGCCTTGGCAATATTCCAGGTAGTTCCGTTTGATTCCCGGTTACGTTTCTGTCCTGATCTCATTATCGTAGCTGGAGACAGACTTGATGGTTGGTACGATAGCAAACAATCAAGTTCTGAATGAACTTAAATATCCTATTGTCCCCCATCACGATTCAACACAGCCGTGTCTGCCAGACACTAGGATTGATCTGATCGAGCGTATTATGGCGTGGTGTCGTACCACAGAGGATAGCAAGAATCGTGTATTACTGCTAACTGCCGTGGCCGGTGCGGGCAAGACATCTGTTGCACTCTCAATCGCAGAGGAGTGTAAAAGAGAAAAGATATCATCGTCAAGCTTCTTTTTCAAAGCAGGGGAGCAGTCGCAGCCGGACCATCTGTTCAGCGGCATGGCTCGATCTCTGGCAATCAATGACCCCGCATACCGTGCCTCCCTCATATCGGCTCTTCAGGAGGACCCAGCCTCTCGACTGCCCCATTCGCGACGCAATTTGAGAAACTAGTGGCTGAACCTCTCCGTCTCAGGACATCCTCGTCTGACCGTCCTATGGTGATTATCATTGATGCGTTAGATGAGTGCGATACAAAGTCATTCCCACGTCTTGCCGATATACTTCGGAAAGCAGTCCCAAAACTACCACCCAACATCAAATTCTTTCTCACTTCGAGACAATTTGACCTCGTTGATCGTTACCTATCGTCTAATTACCCTGTTGATCGCCTCACCATCGATCTGTCGGACGATGCTAACATGCATGACTGTGCTATCTACATCCGATCACAACTACACGAACTAAAGGACGTGCATCCTGGTTTGGAAGATGGAATCGGGGAAGAAGACACATTAGTCCAAAGCATACAAGAGCGAGCGGGTGGCTTGTTCATTTGGATCAGTACTGTCTTTGATTACATGAAGGTCAGCGGTAGCGACGCTACGAAGATGCTGAAGAAACTGCTGGATGAAGATCTCAACCAACCAAAGGCGTCCGCTGAGGAAGTGATGGATAGGCTGTATGCGAATATTTTAGAGAAGTGTAACTGGAAGGATGATGATTTCGTGCATGACTACCCGATCGTGATGGGAGCAATTCTAATCGCCCAGAAGCCACTATCTGTTGCGGCCTGGGACGCCATTCTCTCACCACTGCTGGCGTCGGACATCCGATATGCATTAGCTCAGCTTGCACCCCTCGTCTCAGGAGTTGGGGATGCTAAAAGGCCAATTCGTATTCTGCACCAATCTTTTCGCGACTTTCTCACAGACCGAGTCAATCCACAATCACCCATACTTGGTCGGTTCGGAGTGGATGCGAGGAGGGAGAATGACAGAGTGGCTCTGCGCTGCATCGAAATCTTGAATAAAGAACTTTCGAGTATGAAGGATTTGGGCTGATTGAGGACTTATCCGAAAAAGCCAAGCTGCCATCCATTCCTCAAGAGGTGCTGTCTGAACATGTCCATTATGCATGTCGGCATTTCGTGCATCATCTCAGCCAATTGCAGGAGCCGCTGGAGGCGGCCAATACTGGGCCTATTCACGCATTTCTCAACGAGCAAATATCACGCTGGGTGGAAGTCTGTGTGAGGACGGAAGGGTATATTAGTATATCATCGTTCCCTGAATGGGCCAAGGTACGAATCATCAGTAGCGATTGTTTGAGGCTCTTGTTCAGTTTCATGTTCCTGCAGTTGAACGTTGATCGGGCCTCCAAAGAAGTCATTCACAAGTTGGTCAAAGTGTTTGCGATGTGATGGAGAATCTTGCGTTCTTTTTAAGATTGCAGGAGGCATATGAGTTGGCAAGTGATTCAGTTGCACTGTGCCATTGCCTTGTGTCTACGGACTCAGAGTCCTACACCCCGGATCTGGCTCAAGCACTCGGGAATCTAGATGCATCACTCACCAACCTTGGACGACATTCTGAGCACTCCTTGTGAACGAAGAAAGTGTGAAGCTCTGGCGCGAGCTCGTTGCCACCCATCCAGCATCATACACCCCAGATTTGGCTCGAGCGCTCCTGAATCTTTCTGTATCACTCGACAAAGTTGGACGCCATTCCGAGGCGCTCACCGTAATCGAAGAAAGTGTGAAACTCTGGCGCGAGCTCGTTGCCACCCATCCAGCATCATACACCCCAGATTTGGCTGGAGCGCTCCAGAATCTTAAAGTATCACTCGACAAAGTTGGACGCCATTCCGAGGCACTCATGGTAATCGAAGAAAGTGTGAAACTCTGGCGCGAGCTCGTTGCCACCCATCCAGCATCATACACCCCGGATTTGGCTCGAGCGCTCCAGAATCTTTTTGTATCACTCGACAAAGTTGGACACCATTCCGAGGCGCTCACGGTAATTCAAGAAAGTGTGAAACTCTGGCGCGAGCTCGTTGCCGCCCATCCAGCATCATACACCCCGGATTTGGCTCGAGCGCTCCAGAATCTTTTTGTATCACTCGACAAAGTTGGACGCCATTCCGAGGCACTCACGGTAATTCAAGAAAGTGTGAAACTCTGGCGCGAGCTCGTTGCCACCCATCCAGCATCATACACCCCGGATTTGGCTGGAGCGCTCCAGAATCTTTTTGTATCACTCGACAAAGTTGGACACCATTCCGAGGCGCTCACGGTAATTCAAGAAAGTGTGAAACTCTGGCGCGAGCTCGTTGCCGCCCATCCAACATCATACACCCCAGATTTGGCTCGAGCGCTTGGGAGTCTAGGCACATCGCTCACCAACCTTGGACGACATTCTGAGGCACTCCTGTGAGCGAAGAAAATGTGAAGCTCTGGCGCGAGCTCGTTGCCACCCATCCAACATCATACACTCCGGATTTGGCTGGAGCGCTCCGGAATCATCAAATATCGCTCGACAAATCAGGACGCCATTCTGAGGCACTCACTGTGATTGAAGAAAGTGTGCAGCTCTGGCGCGAGCTAGTTGCCACCCATCCAGCATCATACACTCCGGATTTGGCTCGAGCGCTTGGTAGTCTAGATGCATCGCTCACCAACCTTGGACGACATGCTGAGGCACTCCTTGTGAATGAAGCAAGTGTGAAGCTCTGGCGCGAGCTAGTTGCCACCCATACCAGCATCATACACTCCGGATTTGGCTCGAGCGCTCCGGAATCTTTTGTATCACTCAACAAAGTTGGACGCCATTCCGAGGCACTCACGGTAA